CCAGTTAACCTTCGAGACAGAATCGAAGAGCAACGAGCCGTCATTCAACAAACCGGAAAAGAGCCGACCAGACCTCCACCAGGAAAACGGACTGGATCTGGAGAAACGAGAATCGGACTTACGGTCGACTTAACAAATAAGTCGAAACGTAACTTTGTCCCACCCGAACAGCAACCGGCGGCCGAAGTCCAAGCAGAATTGCCAGCTCAACAAGAGCAAATGGACGTCGAAGTAGCTGATCAGATGGCACAACTACCACAAGTGGAAGTGTCGATCCGAGAAGATCCTCGTTATGACCGCGCTCGACAACAAGGAATCGAGGTCGTCATGCTACATCCCACTGAACGGACGAACTACATCATGAACGTCATGAATTACGAGGAACGGAACCGACCACAAGTTTGGCGGATGGTAGAAAACCTTCGTCAATTCCTCGTCCGATCTGGATACCAGACTCTGCTGGAACAACACCAGTGGCAACCCGACTTCAACATGAACGCGCACACAGCGCCGAATGTTGAACACCCGTATATCAGATCGAATGCGTTACCGTCGATGACCGACCCGGTCTTGTTGAATGTACCACTCTACAGCCCGGATGGAACGCGCGCAAGCCAACTAGGAGCTCGGGAATACCCCCACGACGAGTTGGAAAGTATTGCCCAGTTCGTCATCACGGACGCCCATCCAGCCTTCGTGATTACCGCGGCTCGGGCAGCACTGGACTTAACCCAGTATCTTCCAGAAGGTGAAGTCGACATGGCCCAAGACGGAGTCACGGCATTCCTGCGATTCATTTTCGCAGCCCGACTTGGCAATTACTTTTGCCACTATACCCTGTACGGACTGTACCAGACTGAGATGGTACCAGTGGCCTTGGAAACCCTCATCGCCCAACTTAGCACAGCAATGAGAAGTGTTATCCTCGCCGTCTGGATGCGCGACTTGCTGTACACCCACGAACGGTATGCGACAAAGTATGCCTTTCGAGAGGATCACGTAGATCCCAGCGACGACGCAACTCGGTTTATTAGCTGGTACCGCGAAAAGAAGACTTTGCCCAGCGGATTTAACTCGTCGCCCTACGAACCTTGGATGTCGGACGACATAGCACCCGGCGCACGACCGTATGCGCTGAGGCTCCGAAAATAGGCGGCCAGGGAATCGAAGAAGGGTAAAACGGATCGCCCCGGCCACGAAACGGATGAGACCGACGAAACGTCTCAACGGAGTGGCCCGGCAACTTGTAAACCCAGGGATCCGAACATTCGGCTACACCACCGACCTCGCCCGGACGACGAGGACGAAGAAGACTACTTCGGCGGCGACAAACCCGTCGAAGTCCCACTCAGTTAAGATCGAGTTCCCACATTGGAACTCGATCCCCCCACTTGGAACAACTAAGGGGACTTAACGCCGAGAAACGGCACGGTCGAGAACCGACCCGACTGAGAAACAGTCTAGCGGATAAATTGCACCGTCGAGAAACGACTTCGGAATGGACACTTTCCTTCAGTTCTTTTCACAGAAACCGACCAACCATGTACACAGCGGATGTCAACGATGACTTTGCCAGAATGCCGACTACACAAGTCAGCCGGACTCTTCGGTTTGACTCGGATACGAGTGGTTAGACCTGACAAGCCGGCTTTTTCCACCGTTCCGGTACGTCTTCCGAGGAATCCCCTGGACAGAACTGGGCAAACCGACCTCAGTTCCCCGGTATGGCACCGGCAGATCGCGAACCACATCTGCTACGACCGGAAGCCAACAGACGCCCCGGCCTAAGATAGTAAATCGCAATCGACTGCTACCATTGGAGCCAACAGACGCCCCAATCCGCGTTACATGGAGCCGACCGTCAGTTACATGGTACAGATCCTGCCATTAACCACGATCAGCTACGAAGATTACTCCGGCCAACCGACTCCGGAGCATAGACCGAGAGGATTACGCTAACATGGCGTGGAATACGTCGCTGCGTGTTCATCGTCATGTTTGCCAAGCGCCCGTGGCCAACTTTGGAACCGGGTAGCCGAGCAGCCTTCACCATTGTAAACAGCGGAAATCCCTCGGCCGAGTCGCCAACAGCGCAGGAACACTCGGAATCGACTACCCGTACTTGAGCCGACCACAAAGGTCGACTTCGTACTTCACCCATAACTTGGACACATTGCGGACATAGCTGCATTAACCGACCACATAGGTCGGTTGTGCAAGCCGACCACACAAGTCGGTTTCGGAAACGATAGCCACATCAGAAGGCCGGTTCACGATTAGCTACTTAAGCCGATCACACAGATCGACTAAGTACATGGTAGCCGACTAACGAGAAGTCGACATTATGGCCGACCACACAGGTCGACCATAACGGCCAACAGAAGCCGACCAGGAAGACTGGACGAAAGCCAGAGGTAGTTACGTGGTAACCCAACCGGATTCTCCGTTTGAACCCAGACCTACAGGGACTAGGAACCTGTACCCGGAGTCCAACCGCAGTCTCCCCCGGAGGACCTCGGGTAAACCAGCCGATTCACCGGTGACCACGACTACGCGCGTCGCGAACGTGCTGCCATTCCCTGAAGAGGAACAGCGACGGTGACTTGGCCGCCACTCCAACGACTCCGCCGCGACCTGCTTCCCCATGTCTTCAATGGAACATCCTAGGCAGACCGAGTTAGAATACTCGACCTGCACCCCCTTAACGAACCCCGATGGCGGTAACCACCTGCCCGCAACAGTAACGGCCAGTTGGCCAGCGTCACCGGCAAAGAAAAATTTCCCGCGGACGTGAGTCGTCTACCCCCAACAGAAGCGGCTAGGCGTCTCAGGTTCGCGACAAAACAAAATGGAAGAATCGGATCTGACGACCTCAGGGACTTGCATGTGCATGAAGTTTAAAACCAAAGAGTTCGACTCGGCAACCAGGGCCACAAAGGCCTTAGCGTTGTAAGCCGGCACAACTGCATGATGAAACGCCAGTCACTCGGCCAACAGATGCCAAGGAAACTCCTACCTCGCAGAACTTGGCGGCCCAGAGGCAAGTCATTCGAACTAACCGACCACAAACGGAGGTCGGAAGTCAGCAAATGGAGATCCTAAGTACGCGACAACAGGTCGGAAACTTAATCAGAAGTAGGAGATCGACCTCCCAGTAGAAGAACTTATCCTTTTGGCGGATAAAACGCAAAGTTTATCCGACATGAGGAAGCCGGAAAATAACCGACCTCGGAACTCCGAAATGGATAACCGACCTCGGAACTCCTACATGGATAACCGACCTCAAGTCGAGATCGAAAGTAAGCGCGCATAAGTCGGAAGGATGCGACAACAAGTCGGCAAAGCCATTTGGAAGTCGAGAACCGACCTCATAACGGAGAAATTTAACCTTCGGACGGATGAACACACAGTTCATCCGACCTTCCGAAGTCGTTCATAACCGACTACTAGTCGGAAGTCGGAAATCCAGTCAACACGACGGAAGAAGATCGACAGCTGTCTGCGGTGGACGAATTCGACTTGAAGGAACTTGTGTGGCCCCACACGGGCATGTAATTGCAGGTTAACCCTAGTCGACTACCGACGGACAGGATGACCGACCTCGACCGAAGGTCGGATAACAATGGAACACACCGGATGGAAGTCGACTGGACACCTCCATTGACGAAAACCACGAATTCCGATCGGACCTTCGAGCCAGTTCGACTCGGATTGCTCCAAACTAGGCTCGTGGTAGCAGATTTAGCGGTTGTAACCGACCACATTTGAACGGAATGGCTGTACATGACGACCACAAAGGCCGCATGACTTACATACAGCTTTTTTCCGACCGGAACGTTAACAATTCGGAACATAGCCGAATACCCCCCGCCACCGGTCGACTTACCGGTAGGCCGACCTTGGTCAAACCGACCTCGGTCCTATTCCCCTTTCAGAGAGGATGCCTCAGCATTTGCAACCGCAACAGTGCCTCTCAATCCCTAACGGACGGATACGAGTCGGAAGTAAGTGTTTAACCGTGCTTATCCGACCTCGGTGAATGTAACCTATTACGACGGGTAACCCGGGAACCGATGCCCCGGACCCAACCTTACCGGATGAATGTGGACAGGAGACCCCGTGGAGACTCAACTGCCCCGTGGACGTCATCCTAGTCGGAATAGGACCCCCGGACAGATTTTTGCATTTTTTTTAGCATTTCTCCTAACAAACGGAATTGTATTTTTCTAGTTCGATCTCTTTGACAGATCTGTTTTGTAACCCATTTTGCTCACTGGAATTGTGATTAAACTTTATTTACTTTCTTTCGCGCTGCATAAACTTTCATTACACTTTTCTTTTCACATTGTTCTCCGATGCCAACAGAAGCAAGAAGCCAGCCAACAGATGCATCACCGGTCCAACGACACGCCCGAGCGGCTTCCGGATTTCTCGGCCGTGAGTGGTTTCCACTCATGGGTTCGGAAGTGAAGAAGGGACGGTCAACCAGACACCGGACTCCCACTGCCAGAGGACGCGTACCGGCGACCCCACATGGGTCCGACCGGAGAGTTGTGCGGTACTGGTGCGGTACCGAGTCGGAGCATCCTTCGCAGGAGCTCGGATTCCCGCCCAGAGGCATGTCAGAGGCGTACGACTGCGCCTGGTGCGTACGGTCCACACAGGACGTACTTGCACTCATTGCTTGCCGTTATCGCCTCTCTCGCTTGTACGTACGTGTGCTGCTGCACTGTACTCATCCGCTGAAGCGGATATACGCAGCGCATACACTGAGCCACACTTGCTCTCTCGTTCCTCTCTCGCAGTATGACTCAGCGTTCATACGCTCGCGTTGGATAGAGTCCAGTCTGCGCATCATCACACAGCTGATGGCACACAGCACGTGGTTGCCGCCAGTTGCTTCTTTCACGCCATCAGACGCTCAAGAACCTTCCTAGCATCCACTTGCTATTAGCCATCAGTGCTTTGTTCTTGCTTTCCTGCTATCACGCAGCATTTTTCCCACTTTATTTGTACAATAAAGCTCACTCGTGATCTCCTCGTGCTTGTCTGTTACACAGTACAACAAAATGTACCAAAGACAGAGAAGACAGAGTCATTAAAATCTACAGTCACACTTCCATCATTTTAAGCGATATGTTTACTTCGTGACCATAAAGCGCCAGTCCAGTTAATCGCTGCTTAAACATTATGCGAGGCCGGAGGTGCAAAGAACTGCTGTCCCGAGTAGGCATAGGCAGTAGCAGGCGGCTGTCCGTAAGGCTGCTGTGCCGAATAGGCGGCAAACTGCTGACCGGGGTACTGTGCCACATTGTACACCATCCCCTGTTGCGGTACCAGGTGCGTCACGTGTGTCACCGTCGTCATCGTGTTGCTGCGCATTGCTTTCATCGCACGCGTGCTGAAGACACACATGACGATGCTGGCGATGAAGACGATGATGAAGAAAGCCAGTTGGGTGCCCACCACCCTGACTCCGTAATAGCGGATAATGAAAAAGTAGCTGTCGAGATACCATGCGATGTCGAGAAAAACGCTGCACCAGATGATCATGCTGAAAGCGTTCAGAATGGACAGGATGCTCATCACGAGCGAAGCGATGGCCAAACACCGCCCCGATCCGGCGGGGTTGCGGGCGCTGGATCCGGCGGCTGTGCCGATGGAGCCGGTGATGATGTAGAAGATGCCCAGGACGATACCGGAGTAGACCGTCCCGGAGTATTCGTACAGCGACAGCGCTACAAATGCAGTCTGTATGATACACTTCAAGCGAAATATAATTTTTTATTGCATTGATAACAAATAAACGGAAAATAAACAGTAAATCAGTCAAAAAATGTAGTTCTAATCATGGAAAGCATTTTTATAAAATATTGTTGCTACTTACATAAAACTTCAGCAAGGAAGATGGCGACACCGCAAAGCAGTTGTACGACGCCGATGGCGATCATGGGAGTGGCGTTAGCCGCTGCGAAATTCATTTTTCTAATGGTCGATTGGTGGCTCGCAGTTCCAGTAAGGCTAACACAATTTAACAACAAGGGCACAGAAATTATGCTACGGGCACCAAATAACCAGCTAGTTAGTCTAAGGAACACATACGTTGTGATTGATTTGGTGCTTGGTATTAAATAAGTCTTGTTATAACAGATGTTAACTGATAGGATTTTTATCAGTTTATTCGGAGAAAGTTGCGTTAAGTGACGATGCACACCGCGTGTTGTTTGTGAGGAAAATGAATCATCATGGTTTCGAACCTACATATACAGTTATAATTACTTATAAACATGATTTGCTGCCATTGCTGTAACAGTGCTGTGATATTATTGGAATTATTTGCTTCGTTGCAACAGAAGTGTTTTACGTTGCTTTCTGTTCTTTTAACGTATTGTCACGCGACGATATGGATCTTAAATCCGCGATACGAACCATTTTCACTGATTACTCGTCCACATAGGCACAGATACCATCGGCGTCTAGTATATTGTGATGCCTGATATTGCGTCTTGGTTAATTACGAGATGCAAATCACAAATCAGATTAGGAATGTGAACGTGTCGCCGGTAACGAGAGTAGCACTTTCTGCGCTTTTCTAATAATTATTCAGTATCAAGCACGACAAACGTTTAGAAGTGGAAGTACGTACAGATTGTACCAATAATATGTAGCCGGTGTCTCGTATTCGGTAGCTACTTAGTTACGTGTATATCAGGGCGCAATCTTTTTATATTCAGGGAATTTTTTGTAATTTTGCAGTGTAAACTAAAGTTTGCACGTCCGATTGTCCAAAAAACATACGCTGGGGCTTCCAGTCTGGCGAAAAGAAAAATCGCATCACGTAGTCGTGATCTCGAATCAAAAAACGAAAAATGTCATCGCCCGGGTTCGAACCGGGGGTTCCTGTTCCACAGACAGATGTGATAACCACTACACCACGATGACAACTGATGATATTCGTAGTACGTTATCCGAATACGGCCGGTTGCACCTAATGGTTACTTGGACTTACGTATTTGCAACATGAACATGTAAACAGGAAAAACCGACGTCACCGCTTGTCGGATACCATCTATAAGAGGATGTGTGTCCTTAGTATCTTTACGATCGTAACCGCAGTCTGTCGACATACGTACGCAACATGCGCGCGCTTTCCGCTGAGTTACATCCATAATACCTTCCGACCATTGCTGCATACTGATGTTTACTGTCCGCGTCTTAAAACGCCACTTAATTAAAATCAAATCGTCGAAAACGGTTTGTCGCTTGTGACCCAGACGTTTTTTCTTGAAGCTTTTCTAATGAAGGCCGACCACTTGTGTTTGTCGAAATGGATGAAGTTGGAGCCACTGCGGGTCGCATAATCACTTTGGGTACCATTCAGGTTATGTGCGGACTGGCGATCAGCATAGCGGACGCTATCGGTAAGCGGGCAGCTTCCTCTCACTGCTTTTATTGGAACCTTGTTTTAAGGTCGCGCGACATAATTTGCAGGCTTGGGACTCCATGTTCGCCCCGTGGAAATTCTGTCCGGCGTATTTTGGGGCCTGTACTACATCGTCACTGGATCCTTTGGAATGGCCGCCGGCACCTTTCTGCTCCGTAACAATGGTACCATTCGGAAGAGATTGAAATTAATGGCCGTCTCCTTCGCCTCCAGTATTGTGTGTTCACTTAGCGCTGCTACTGTGTTGGTTTGGTACGTGCTTGAGTTAATGGATCTTAGCCAGAGCCGATGGGACTGGAATTCCTCTGTCTGCCAGTATGAAGTGGGGTTATTGGGCTTTGAATTGGCATTCCTCTTTCTGATGTTCATTGTCAGCGTCATGATGTCCGTTTATGGCTCCCGTATCATGTCAGCTCTTCGTGCCAACAAGCCCAAAGCCGATACCATAACACTGACATAACATTTTGCTTTTCTTTTTAAAGGTGTCCCATGCGGGTGCACCATTGTATCCCGAACTGCCTAAGATGGTTACGCATAAGCAAATGTTGTTTCGCTAAACAAATGCGGTTACGTATGACGGAATATTTGCTGGATTTTTATTAGCAGCGAACAACATCGAATATAATGATAAAAATGTTCAGTCACTAAAATACCTCAGCGTCTACTTCTTCATATCATTTCAGACTCCAGACGTAGAGTATACTAAACTACAAAGTACGAGGCCCAGGAGATCATCTTTGTGTGTTGAAAATATTAAAATTATATTTTTGCGGCTACGCGACAGGTCGTCGCGGGTCATTCGGTTTTACGGACATTTCGTCGAAGGACAAATCGTTTTTGTGGCAAATACAGTAGTCATATGACTGTACGTTGCAATAAACCAGTGGATAATTTGTCGACTCTCAGAAAATCGCGCGACCAAATGTTACACAACAAAACGACTGCAAAACGAGTTGTCCCAAACACAAATTATCCGCTGCGGCGAAACACGTTTGGCGCAATGTCCACGACAAAATGTCCCGCGACCACTTGGGCTGTCACGATTTTTACGTAGTCGCTACGGTTGAAACCGGCAATCCCTTCACTTAAATTATGTATTTTATTCCAGTCTCTTCGATGCCTAAATCGATAATAATCCTAAATATGTTGTTTCTGTTACTGCTGACCTCTTGTTTTTTTTGTGTATTTTTCAAAGTGTATAATTCGAAATCACCTAAATAATGTGCCGGATATTTTGCCCCTCGCTTGGTGTTACTTACCATTAGTGTGTCACCGTGTGATTGACTTGTAATTGAATTGACTATACTGCTTACTAAAACCACACAATGCGTATTTTGCTTCGGTCATACAGATGGACTTTCCGTTTCAGTCGCTTTCACTTGAAGAACTATATTCTTAATTGCGGTCGGCGGGTTTTTAGTTTCTTCTTTTTATAGGGGACCATTGGCTTTGTCTGTAAAGAAAACCTTCACCTCATAAACTTTGACCGGTTCATTTATGCGCTTTGTCTTTTCACGCGATATCTCATTTGTTCGAAGCCAGTGCTTGAATTATCTACGGTTTGGTATCTCTGTAGCATGCAATAGAATTGTTGCCGTAATCTCTTAATTCTCTATGGCTCTACGAGCACTGCCAACGGAGAATACAACATCCAGCAACAGAACAACCCAAAGGAATCATTATCGTACTGCAGAAACTAGAACAGAAAAGCTGCGAAAAGGGTTTAAGATAAAGATAGCAAAAAGCTGCACTGGAAGGATGCTACCGAATACTTACTGTTTCTCATACTGTTCGACAATTCATTATTTGGTTTTTCCAAATCCTTCCAGTGTCCCCAAAACCGTTTTCCCCTCTGTATTTGTGTTTACCTCGTTTTCCTCATTCTCAGTCATACGACACACGTTTTGGTTTTTCATATCGTCAAGTGTTTTGAAACTTACCGGCACCGAAGCCGACAATGCCTGCGTTAGTTGTTGTCTGTGACGCAGGCATATTCGTGGATGGCGACCTGGCCGTGGAAGGACAATCAATCCATACCGGCGACGATGATAAAATTGTGCGGATAGATTTCCCTGAAAGTCAGAAGAAATTAGCTGTGAAGTACTTCACCCGAGAATTACCAAACAAACGCAGAGACTGGACGAGAATCGAGCGACTGCGTACACTGGAAAATCCCTACATCACCAACTATTACTATGCCGGCTCATTAACGCATGATCGTATAGGACTTCTGATGGAGTACTTTCCGAGTGAGTGCTGTAAAAAAAAAACAGGAGTCTCGGATAGCTCGAGTCACATGGAGAGCATGGCCTGGAAAATCCGGGCAAGGCACATCCGATCAACAAAACTTTTTTCGGGTTTTCTTCTGGGTTGCTGCGTTTCGCAGTCAGCGGATCCATGTAACTGCTGCCAAAATGGCACTTCCAGAACGCCAAATTTTTAGTACTTTGCACTTGAAGTTCAACTGAACAAGAAGTGAATAGACTTGCATTTACTGGGAAGATAAGACGGTTTTTGTGGTGCCCATTGGACAGCAGCCGTTGCACAGTAATGCGCCTGCTGTCTTTATTACCTGTGGTACACCAGTTATGCAACAGCTTAAAACAGCACAATTTTACAACATCAAAATTTCATTAAACTTTTCCGCTCCTTAATGCGCCTTGTAATACGATTATGTTCCTTATTTTTCAGCGCGCGACCTTTTTGCATCCGAGGGCAGGTTCAATATCTTGCAAACCTTGCAAATTTCACATGAGATTTTGCAAGGCATTGCGTTTCTACATGGAATCGGAATAGCACACGGCAACCTGTGCTCCACATCTATCCTGTTGAATCAGTCCAGTCAGCGGGAGGCTCCTTTTCCAAAAATAATTGGCATTGAACGAGTTCCTCCCATCGTTAAAAAAAGCGCAACCAAACCAGACACGTCTAAAGACATGAATAACGCCACTCCAGAAGACTTTGTAAAACAGTGTGCTTGGAATATATGGAGCTTTGGTGACATTTTGTGGGATTTGGTAAATAAAACATCGTATGATAATCTGCGGTTAGACATCATGCGCAACCCATATTATACACAAGACACACTACCAATGTTAGCAAATGCAAAAAGGCTAGTGGACAACTTGTTGCCCCGCATACCACCAGGGATGCTGGACCTGATGCATCTGTGTCGTCGTATGCACTCATATGAACGGCCGACTGCGGAAGAGCTGCAGCAGCATTATATCTTTGCTATGGATGTCCCATTCGAAGAACGAGAGAGACAGCGTTTGTTTCGTATTCTGCAGTTCTTGGGTACCGAATACTATCGTCCGCTGTCGCAGCAGCAATCGGAAAAACAATATTATACTAAGATTAAACGAATACACCGTGTTCAACAGAGCAACGAGTTTTACGTTACAACAGTGGACCATGCCGATGGTAAATTCGGCAAACGGCTGATATGGGAAAGTATCTTCCCATGCTTGCTGGAATTTAGAATGCCGGCGGATCGCGGGTTTCTTGACAGACTATACGCTTTCCGAGACAAGGAAATGCTCCGTTTTTGCGGACTACAACACCAGTCCATATACCCAATGTTACAGTGTTATTTACGCTATATCCATGATTACATTAGCGTCGTTTACCAATTCGAAATAATATGTAGTAAGTACATTTCCATCAGTTCACTCTGTTTTCTGAACGATAAACTTTTGTATTTTATTGTAGGCGAGAACCTTGAATTGTTCCTGGAAAAATTAGCATTGCCCTGGAATTATATTAAGATTTACTGTCGGCAGCTACTGGAGGGTTTAATGTTTCTGGAGGAAAGAGGACTGCGCATTCAGGGTATATGTTCCTATATGGTGTCCCTTTGCTCCAGACACATGACTGGTACTTTCATGCAAGCCAAAATACATATGGTGCATTATTTGGATGAATTACTGATGGAGACCTTTGTAAGACAAAGTAATAACAGCGAATTACTGCGAAACCAGAGACGAGTCGGTCGGTGTATTTCTCCCGAAGCCGCGCTATTACCATCGATTTCTGGTTTGCTCCACGCGTCCAGCCAGCAACAAGTCTGGGGAATGGGACATATCCTGCTGCAGATGGCAACAAGCGCTGAGTTGCAGTTCGAAAAATTAGCGCAAAATGGCGAAACGGAAACCAGAAATGTGAGTGCAGATGTGTCCAATGGTGCAGTTATGGAGTGGTTACGGGACGGCTGGCGTCCCAAAGTGCCGACTACGCTTGCCGATGGCGTTCGTCGCGTACTAGAAATGTGTTTTCGGGTGAAGGAAAAGCGACCCTCATTGCAGGAACTGGCTGCAGATGTATTCTTCCGGACTGCTATGCCGCTAGAAGCCGTCGTTAACAGCACCATGTTGCCGGTCTTCTGCATGCGTCCATTAACTGTGGGTGAAATGGGGCAGGTGTTCAATGGTTATAACCCGGGTGCAAAAGAAAATGAAGTTCAAATAATAGATATGGTAGCGGAAGCTGGACGTGAAGCCGGAATTTTTCCAACGTTTTTGCAGTATCGCAACTTCGATAGTGATCGGCCATTAGCTATTGAACTGCGAAGCTTGAACAATTTCAATCAGGTAGCGTTTTCTCCGGCGAACGATCTAGTTGTTGATCTGACAATTTTTGGGGTCAGCGGTCTCGATTGTGAAATTTTCAAAGAGTTAAACCTGCCGAATCTGCTGAGTCTCCGGCTATACCACTGCCAAGACGTTGTGCTTGGACCAGGTTGTTTGAAAGTGTTCCCTAAACTTCGCTGCTTCGAGGTTCCCGAATGCAGTTTCTTTCAGTTTCACGAAGACGTTTTGCGCGAAATACCGCAACTGGAAATGGTTATCTTGGACAATAATGCTGCAGGATTGTCTGAGCCTGCTTTGATTGAGAGAATTCGCTGTGAAAACAAATTTGCAGAGCTCAAGCAGTATCTGCAAAACCATCCTGATCTAATACAATCAAGAGCGGGTGGCGATGTGTGGCGGTATCAACGCTTGACAAGCAGACTGAATACGGGATGTGCCCTGGATTGGTAAATCATCTGCGCTTCCAGGAAGCTGAAACGAGGCATGCTTAATACTGAGATATTTGTAGGCTGGGCAGCACATCGGCGGCTTGTCCGCTTCCAGCAAGGTGCATCCAAATCGGCCTGCACGGAGAATTTCGGCTTCGGTCGTCTGATGTGCAAAATGTCATTAAAATCATTACAGCCGACGACTTGGACAATGCAGATTACAACCGCGAAGTTAGGCGGTTATGTGAGCTGAACCATTCAAATGTGGTCACCCTGTCCATTTGCGAATCGGCGTCGCGTAACGCGCTAACACTGCGGATGAAGTACTACAGTGAAGGTAAACTGTTAATAGTGCCATAAAGAATAGAAAAGCTAGGGTAATGTTAGCTAGATCCTGCTCGTTCTAAATACTCGTCGGTAAACACCTCATACCTAATAATGCAGATACTTAAAGTGCATGCCATAGTACGAGTACCGCATGTACGGAAAGATGCTTATGCTCTTGTGGAGTACGTGTTCTAGAGTTGACCTTTCTACAAGTGTTGGTAGTTTTGTGTAGCAACGTTTTCGTTAAGCGCACTTTTAGAGATAAAGTAGCTGAGACTTTCTTTTTATAAATTGTGCAACGAAAGCACCGATAATGCGAAAAACATCGAAGTATGTGCAAGCTGTATTTGATGTAAATGCAAATTACGGTACGATTTTCAGTTTATTTTTTAGTGGGTTCTTTGGGAGATTTCCTTAGTCGTAATCGTCGAGTGCCACCAACTTTGCTGCAGATTACCGAACTGACGCACGGTATTCTACTCGGGTTGCAGTACCTGCATTCTACAGAAAGAAAAACGTTGCATCCGCTACATGGAGCCCTCCATCCGTGGAACATTATGCTAGAGTCCAATGAGGTGTTTTTTACCCCAAAACTGAGCGACATGGATAAACACTTACAAAAGCTGTATCTGCGACAGCAAATCCAGAAGAATCATCATACTTATTCTCGCTATGCCAACTGGTACATGTCGCCGGAAATGCTGCAGTGTACCGGCGCAGGGTGCTTTGATAAGTTAACCAGTAAAACCGATGTCTGGTCTTTTGGAAGAATCGTACTGTACTTATTCGAAGAACGCATGCAGATCGCCAAAGAAGCGCAAACAATTATTGATACTTTTGACATCAACTCAAATATGTTCTACGTTGAGGAGGACCGACCGCCATGGTTTGCATTTACGAACGAAGCTATGCCGCCAGCAGTTATTGACTTAGTATACCTAACCCATAAGGACGACCCACGGGATCGGCCGGGCGCGGCCATCTTACTCCATCATTTCGTGTACCGAAAGGATTTGCCATTGAAAAACAGATTGTCTAGACAGGTTCGCACCGATGCAATGCCCACATTGTCTTCCTGCATCTATCCGCCAGTGATGCCGTTGCGGCATAGTGGATCTGTGCAGAGTGGGAATATTATTGCCGTACAAATATGCAAAGAGTGGGTTATCCCGAGTCCGCATTCACATTTGGAATCAAAGGATTTGGCCCATTCAAAGCTGAGCTATCTGGTGCAGCAAATGATTATCAGATCCGACGTCATTATTAAGTTTGCCACGGTACATCTGCTGTCAACAGACGTCTTACGGTTTTCCGGATACTGTTACTTTAAACCTGGTATGTTATACAATTGTTTTCTTCGTCGAATTGTTAAACAGCATTCTAGTCGAATTCTGTATATCCAATGCAGCAATTTTTATAGCCACTAAAAATATTAATTTTTCTCTCAGAAAATATTAACCTACGTTGGCACATGGATAATTTCGCTCTGTCAATGACCGAAATTCGAACATATTGTATTAACATCTTACACGGACTGCAGTATCTTCAAGACAATCATATTGACGGGGAGCCTATAACAATTGATTCAGTTTATTTATGCAATCAGCATGCCTGCGGCATCTATCAGACGGCAAAAATAATTATCACACCATCTCTGTTGGACCTTTTTAGCCCGGATAAGAGGCTGGAGATGCTGAGTACCAGCACCGGTTACGCTTTTGCACCGGAGGAGATCTCAGGTTACTCCAGAGATCAAGTCCATAAAGCAAATATCTGGCATTTCGGTCAAATATTGCTGGACATGGCAGAAGTTCAAATAAGAGGATATTGTTTCGAAGAAACACCGAACACTCAAAATGACGCCGCAATGCAAAACGCCTTAATAGTCAATCGATTCAGAAATCCGTCGGCATTTCTGAAAGCTGGTATGCGGCCCACTATTCCGTGGTATTTTTCAGATCCGTTGCAGGGTATTCTTCGAAAGTGCTTCGCAGAAAAAGTTCTCCGTCCTACCGCAAACCAACTGCAATCCTTCGCTAACATTCGCGAATCGTTCTTCTACTGCTCGCCAGATATACAATACAAGATTCTTTACAACGAGTGGCCGCGGTTCGCGAGAAGAGTGACTAATGTGGATGAATGCGACACGTGGACAAACGTTCTCTATCCCCGCACGACGCCTAACGTGAATGCACTACCGGCTAACAGAATAAAGGCAGGATTTTGGCCGGGTGGTAATCGGCTTGACGTTTTAAATTTGTTCAGAATACGCACTATGGACAGAGATCACCCCATGACTGTATGGATCTTTAACGAGACTAGTCTGCAGCGTCGAATGTTTTCGCCCGTTTCCGATTTGATCGTTAAACTGGTCATAGGAAATACTGCGAATTTTGATTGCCGTCTCCTACAGGGTCTCCACCTCTACAATTTGTTATCGCTGCGGTTTGAAAACTGTACCGGTATTCGGATTTCCCAACGAGATCTCAGTGGCTTCCCTCGCTTAAGGTCCTTGAAGTTTACTCGTAGTACAATCCTTAGTTTTGAAGTTGGAGCTTTGAGTCATCTGTATTGGTTATGCAATCTTGACCTGACAGGAGATCTTTGTCTACCGCAGACAGATGAACTGGAAGAGTATATCGAGCGACTTTTGTCCTGTGAAAGTTTTGGAGAGCTCAGAAAATTTCTTCAACACCATCGTGAACTAATTCAAGCGAAAGATACGCCGTTAGTGGAACCCTATAAGGCGCGGAATTTAGGACATCTGACATTTCTGTTGTAGTTTAATAAGACTATTCCACACGGCTGCTACTCGTACTTCGTAGTATCACACTGCGAACAATTTTTGAGTGTTGACGGCTGACTCAGCACAACAACGTGGAGGAATTCTCAATTCCCAAAAACTACATGATGGCAGATGTGTTGCACAAGATGGCTAAATTCTTATTCAAGGATGTGATATGATATGGAAATTAGCATTTGGCATTATTCAGTCCAATCCGTTATTTGACCGCCGGTTTCAGTGCAGTTCATCCACTGGATTGGCCAACACATGTAACGTGCACGACGCTATTTGACTAGCAGAACTAGGTATTTGCGGTTGTGCCTGTTCATTTATTTGCGTAAGGTGAACGATGACCAAGTGGCATTCTGTGATGAGGATGACTCTCCCGTGGCATTGATCGCGAGATGCATGCAGGGTAGCTGTTGCCTGTTGCCATACAACTATGACGAAATGCAACTATCATAAGTTGTTAAATAATCGTTAAGGGAGGCTACAGGCTCCCGTGTACAGGCCCATAATCATTGCAAAACTACCAGAAAACTTGACCCGACCCCGAAGGCGACCCGACCAAAAATCTCGGTTTACAATTGTTTATCTATTCATCCAATAAAACCAGGGTTTCTCTTTAACTGAAAATGGCTGAAACAGTTGATGACCATTCGCGGCATTGACAACCACCGAATTGCGGCCGAATGTTTTCTGACGGACGTCATCACTATAGTTATTGATAATTGTTCGTAATTTTGCCCATAACTGATAAGCCGTAATCCGTTGGCCGCAGTTTGCAATTAGACAGGATCGGATAAGGTCCCTTGGCACTTCTTCGATCTGATCCGAAATGAAAGGAGTATAACCCTGAATAATTTTTAGCATTAGGCCTTTTGCATCATCCTTTATTCGGTCGTGTGGATCTGCCGGATTGTGAAAAAGCTTATCTCCGATCAAATAGCAGCAGTTAGCGAGGTCCAACATCACGCACCCTAGACTCCACACATCGGACCGCTGGAGGCTCTGCTCGCAGACCTGTAGGGCTACCGCTTTCAGTAGTTCAGGGGACGCATACGCCGGAGTGTACTGAAATCCGTGGAGCGCCGTTTTATCTATCCTGCCGTCTTGGATAGGCACTGCATTGTCTAAGTCGCCGATAAGCAGCATGCAACAGCCTTTCGGGCCAGTCCTTCCGTTGATAAAAATATTGCTAGGCTTCAAATCTCCATGGATGAAATTGTTCTCGTGGATGAAATTGAGACCACTAGCTAAGTGCGACATCATTGTAATCATACTTGGTATAGTTAAAGGATGCTGATGTTGATGATGTTTTGTAACCATGTCCGCGAGATCGCCAGCTAAAAGACAGTATTTTTTCATGTCACTTGTATAATTCACATTCTGACGCACGACAAGCAAAGGTTCAACCTGCACATTTTTATTTCGGCTCGACACTTACCTAAGTACCCTAACACCGTTTCTTATTACAACTGAACGTCACAAACAATCGGTAATACAACAGAAAAATACCATTCCGCTCCGGAACAAACTATCGGCTCGAGTCTTCGGCTGTTTGCATTTCGGCTCTGCTTAATGCGGCCAAAGTTTTTCTGGAGCCGCTCACCTCGGTTACCATGTATTTTGGCTATCTTCTGGGGTCCACACGGGTGTTGGCTGTGGGCACGGGATTCCTACACGGGCGCTGGCTGCGTGCACGGGCAATTTCTACTTCGCGAATTTTTTGAATGATAAAGCGCTCCAAAAGCTTTTAAATTTCGTTTGTACGTCGATTTTCGGATACGCAGTTTCCACAATATATACTATATTGTGGATATATATTGTGGGTTCTTTGAAAGAAGTTTTTCTAAGATGCACGTTCACGTTCTATTGATGCTGTATGTCTATGTCATGTAAACTACACCACTCCATCCTGCGCATTCCGTCGGAAGGGTTGCCAAAACTCTGACTCAGAAACATTATTCTTAAAATCTACCCTAGGTTCTGATGGCACATCTACTCGTACAATTTGAAAGCTGTCAAAATTTAATGGTACTGCAAACCGGTACAAGTAAAAATCCGTGTACGTAAAAAACACCTGTGCCGACTTCCCGTGCACGCAGCAGACGCCCGTGTTTTCCCGTGCAAGCAGCACCGACCTTTACTTCATACCAAGATTTATTTTTGTGGTGTTCTCGTGAATCTACGTTTACGTATTATTCCTGTTGTACTTAGCAACTCTGTTAGTGCGTGTTTGCCACTTGTCGTACTTCATATTTAGTCATCCTGCGAGCTCGCTCCTGTCAACCTGTATTATTAAAGTCATACTTATTTACGTACTTCTTTACATACATGCATACATCACAATTTTACATCAATATTTGGCTTTCACCGACCTTGCCAGACGCATTTCACGCGTAGACACTGTGACGTGGCTCGCCGGAGTGCGTAGTTTGGCATAACCCATGAAGCTGTATTTTTCGCTGTATTTATTCGTGCTCAACGCCTTGTTATAGCTCCAGCTAAAGTACTGCTGCGAGTAGCGACGGTCACAAAATAGACTGCAGAAAGGGATGTACGAAAATTTGCACATTGTTCAAAACAGCGTGTACAATGTTAAGTTTGGAAAAGACAGCCTAACTGTGCTCTATGTAAGAGTAACTCGAGACCAGCCCAGACTTAACCCGTGGCCGTCGCTAATGTACACGTTACAATTGCGAAAAGCAGCCGAAAAACAATAATAACGATGTCGTTTTCTTGGCATAAAGTGGTCGTCGCCTAATAGAGATAAACGCAACCAATGTTCTGGTAGTCTCGGTGCTTCCAAAAAATGTACCCCGAACCCCATGAACTAGCCTAACACCGGGTAAATTTATGTACATCGTGACTGACCTGAGCAAAAGTTCATCAAAATATCGATTTTTGCATGGTCTTTCCACAATATAAGGATAAATTTGTGATAAGCCACCAAATACGTATGCCGGAGTTTGATTAAAGCTTCCCAGCGGTCTTTTTCTTTGAGCAAAACAGCTGCTTCGCAAAGTTGACTTTTCCGTTCGCGATCCACCCGCACCGATTTAACGGCAATTATGGACGGCCCCAAATAATTATTTTGGCTTTCATTTGGTTGATAAGTACGTTTGGTGATGGTAGCCTTAAAGACGCTGCCAAATGCTCCCTGGCCGATATAACATTCCGGAAACGTAGTCTTGTACTCACAGGCGCCTCCCACTTCCTCTACCACGGGATATGCTGCTTCAGGAGCTATGATATTCCTGTCGGTTTCTGCTTTGCCCATATCATTGACCTCGTTTTCCGCATAACCCTCCTCTATACCGGTCTGCCATGTGGTTCCCCATAACTTCTTATTTTTACCGTTTGCATTTATTAGTGTTTCGTGCAGTAATGCTGCCGTATGTCGCTTATTACAATCGCTTTGCAAACAGACTTCAAGAACGTTTTTCCTGAAATCGTTAGGAACACTTTCCGACGGTCTGGGCACGTATCCTTCGGCGGTTCGGACCAGGGTCCACATCCATGAAAGGTCCGAATCAGCAGCAGCCATACGGTTACCGGCATTTTCTTCGGTTCTATAGCAGCATTCAGCCAGTTCTAGTATAATGTGTCCCAAACTCCAGATATCCGTCTCAGGGCCAAACACTACTTCGGCATCGGAATTCACGTTGTGTGCCATCTCCGGAGACCGGTACAGACTGGTCGACTTCCCGATCTGCATGCGCATGTTGTCGCGGATGTGTGCAAATATCAGGTGATGTGGCGCGGATGGTGTGCAGAGCAACATGACGATCCAGGCCACCGATGCGCAGCCGTACTTGTTTGTTTAGTAATAGTTCGACCAGGATGCAACTTGGCTTCAAGTGTCCATGAATTATATTGCTGTGGTGCAGATACTTTAGGCCGCTTGCCATTTGTTCGGACCAGTCATTTAATTTTGCTACCGTTAACTTGTTCCGTTCCTTGTCATAGCGATAGATGGTGTCTCTTAAGCTGCCATCTAAAAATACAGCCCGATTTAGGATGCGGTTAGCAAAATAATTCGGTAAAGTCAGTGCATGCGGATCCATTTGTTAACTCTTTTGCGATAGCTCGCTTATAACACCCGTACCAGTATCAGAATAAATTCTTAAGTTTTGTAGGCAGAAGGTTCGTACACACTAGTGCAAAAAGCATTGTGCGCTAGTGCACAACCTCCTACGAAAGTTATTAGTCAAATAAGAGCACGCAATTCGAAGATAGCACGCAATTGTGTAACATCAAGTTGAGAAACGATGGCCTTCGAAATTCTGCACACATGTACATGTACGTAGTTTTGTTTAAGCGATCTCCGTATGCACATATGGAAACTGCTTAAAGAAAACTGCATAGCAGAAGGTTCTACTATTCATTTCAAATTTTTATTTTCGAAAGTTTTGAAATTACTACGAAATTACTATGGCCGCTCGATGAGATTGCATCACTGGTTTAGGGAGGCAGTTCCACATACTTTTTAGTTCGATGTAACGTATGCGTGCACGGCGGGGGGAAACCCAACGTAATAGTAGCGCAAATTTATCGGGTGCCTACAACGATCTTGAGATTTGTAAAAACCTGTAAACTTGATTTGGTAATAAAATTATTCTAAATATTGTGTGTGTAAACATGAATTTCGAATAGACTACGTATTCTTTAATTACAGAGACCACTGATTGACTGGGTGCTTCTGTTTATATTCATCTTTATGCTTATTGTTTTGCAGTTGTATATCAAGAGTTACCAATCGCATATGCGCACTATCCTTTTCGGAAATAACATTACACGAATTCTGACAAGGGATTGTAGAAACATACGGTAAAAATTAAATTAGAGGCTCGAAATTACCTGGATGTGCCGGTGTAACGAGATTACTTCCTTTAGCCAATAAATACAGTAATAAATTACCTGGGTAGTAATCCATTGCGAACTCCGTGTACCCTTTCTTTCCAGTTATTCTGATCGTTACGTTCCTATAAACTGCCACATTTTCATCGCTCAGAGATATAAGGCGTTTACATTGCTCCAGAAGTTCCTCTTTTTCAGCTGATTCCGGGGTCAAGCTTATAAGCTTTACAGCTAGAAAGCCAGAATTGATTGGATGCTCACTTGCTGTCACTTGAGCTTTATAAACGCTCTTGGAATTCCCAATACATTCTGCTTGCCCGTAAGCAAATTGGCATTTTAAGCCAAACGTTGTTATCCGGTCCGTAAAGTCCATAATCCCGCGGTTTTCAAACAACGGTGTAATACTTGTAAGCCCATGTAAAGTTATAGAAATCTAACTAGGAATTTGTTGCCGGTCGAAGCCAGTATAAAATTGCCGGTATTAAATCTCGAAGCAAGCGCAGGAAAACCGAAACACAATCTCTCAAGTTATCTACTCGACATTACCGCAATAATTACCGAAAGCTATATTCGCCGGTATTCATCTGTATTAACCGAACTTGTTGCAAATTTTGCCAACTTACTGTACTTGCTGTACTGGCACCAATTGCTTACGAACGTTGTGCATGACTACATCATTACGATGCTTGCAGTAGCCCCTAAAGTTCCAGCACTAAATTAACGCGATCGCGCATCGTGGATGACTATTATTTTCGGACAATAGTGTTACAAAGGACATTCAGAATTTAGTCAGTTAAGAAGTTTGGACTGTGCTCGGTGTATTATTCAAGATGATTCTTTACTGAATCAGCGATTAAACAGAATCCAGTTGTGCAAGTGATAAAAACGCATGAACGATAACAGTCCATAATTGCCGTCGAAAACGTTCGCATGCCGTGAGCTTGAATGGAACCGTTTCGCTAACTTGTTTATGATAATGTATGACAGTTCTGTTAGGTAACTGTGCTTCATTCTAGCTGCCATAATAATAATGTTATTATTGCTTTCAGAATAATTATTATCGGCAACCTGACTACAGCATATACTGTTGCCTATTCAGTTGTTTCAGTACTAGCATCTTTACACACTACAGATTAATTGTCGTGCATCGCACACCAGATGTTTTCAACACTAGAAAGTCGTGCAACCAGATGTTTTGGTAGTACCAAACTGCAGTATTCCACGCAAAGGAGCAGTTACCGGCTTTTTTAAAGCATACGCTTGGTAGAAACTGAAGCCCTCTAGACGCGGAATATTCTGTATCCCCATGGCTTTAGGTGGTGATTCCGTTATTGAACTGAACATTAGGACCATTATCGGCTCTGGAAATCAAGGCAACGTATACTGTGCGAGAAGAATGGATACAAATGAGATCTTGGCCTTGAAAACAGTGCATGTTGACGAACAAGTACCTGAAAAACGGGCTCAGTTACTCAAACAGTTAACAGAGCAATTGCAGCGCTTTTTAGAAGTGAAACATCGACATTTAGTGAGACATTTCGCTCACCAAACTATTACGGGACCGCATCCTGATATCAAAAGCATGGAGCGGACCACGTTGCAGATTCTAATGGAATTCTGCGAGGGTATGTACGTTTTTGTCGGGTTTTTCATGTTTGAAAAAGTTGGTAAACTTGGAATGCAGAATATCTGTACAGTGATACACACCGTGTCAGTTGTCTGTGTGCTCATGGACACACTTTATGACAGTTTATGTGGCCTCAAAGGTTAAATTTTTTAAATCATAATTACTGTGCTTTTTATTGAAGCTAATTGCAAACTTGGACAATTCAAGAGCCCACTTTACGCCTACTCTGTACTGTCCCCAATGTCGTGTAATGTTCACCTACCCTGTACTGCTGCTTCTGTAGCACAGAGTACATTTACGACTAGAACACTATTATTTTATGTTTAGCAAGCTTTGTCCCCGGATATTTGGCTGTTTCAAAATGTACCTTGGTTTTCCACCGAAGTAGGTCGTAAATAGGTCTACGACGAGGTTGGGCATTTCACTTTATATGCGTTTTCCGTCCTTTTTTTCCAACAAAAGCGCATCTTCGTACCCCAGTTTACCTGAGTTTGTGATTAAGGTCATGTTTTAAACCAAATTTTACCTTCCTTATAATAAAGAGTATTTTTAAACCAAATTTGTCTTCCTTATCTTATGATTTCCGACTTTTTCAGGTGGTTCACTTGGAAAATATGTCAAGACTAATGTAGTGCCGGCTTCTTTGATACAAAAATGGACACAACAATTGGTTGACGGTTTGGCGTACCTCCACGAGCAACGATATGTCCATCGAGACGTCAAAGGCGACAATATCGTCCTAAGTAGCCCTGATGCATATAGTTGTGACTTGAAATTCACCGATCTGGGAGATCTTAAAGGCATAATGGGACAATCAACCAAAGCCAACGAGCTGTCCAAGAGCAGAGGTACTCATCCGTTTATGTCACCGGAAATGGTGAGTGAGAGTGGGAATGTCGGACGTCGAACCGACATTTGGAGCTTGGGCTGTGTGATCATCCAGATGGTAACCGGCAGACCACCTCGTTTCTTCCGGGAAAGAGAAGAGGTCCTTGGAGACGCACCTACAATGTTTTTCGTTGCATCAGGAGGGCAGCCGGCTATGCCGGCTGGTCTGCCAGACTTGTTGCAAAGATTCATCGAACGATGCCTTATTCGTAACGTGGATGGCAGACCCTATGCTCCTCAATTGTTGTCGGACCCTTTCCTTCTGGCTACCAATGCTGCGGAGTGGCCATTGCCGAATCGAAAAGATCTCTGGACTTCGCATGGATAGTGTTTTAGTCTTAAGAATTTTCTGTTAGGTTAAGAACGCTGTACCTGATCGAAACATTCTCTCAACTTTAATAATATGGCGATAAGGAAGAAAAAAAGTGCTGCATCTGATCAAACAGTGCAGCCAAAACTGTCTTTTAACAGTTTGGCAACAGGTTTTGTGACTTTTGTCCACATTCCGAAACAGCAAGTACGACTTGTTCAGGGTTTGATTACAAGACAAGGGCGCAAACATTTTTGAATATTGTAATTTAGTGTAAGACGCGTAGCAACTAAATTTTGTGACTAAATAACTAATAATTTTGTGACTAATAATTTTGTGACTAATATTTTTTTTTGGCGCGTAGCAACTAAATTTTGTGACCTACAGAGGACGGGATATTCTGTGGTATTCTACTCATTATAGTTTATCCGGCCAGAGTGGCACAATAAATACCTGTGCCAAGACGTGACAGGTTATTCCTAGGTTTCTTGTGTTTCGTTATTGGTTTCTTAAGTTTCATAGGTTACTTAGGTTATTTTTAGATTTCTTGGGTAATTCTTAGGTTTTCTAAACTCTTGCTTAAGTTTCATTGGCAGTTTTAAGAAGCTTAATAAAACTATTTTTTGCTTAATTAAATGTCTTTTACGATATATAAAGTGGTCCGTTATCGTATTATATTTTACTTAATACCTCCAAGATTTATTTTTACATCATGGCTTTACAAACCATTTCAAATTCATGCTACGCGTAGACATTGGCGTGGCGCGCCGGATTGCGAAACAGTTATATTTCCGCTGTATTTATTCGAGCTCATCGTCCGGACTGGCTTGTACAACAGAGATTAAAATACCGTATTCAAACGTCTGGGACCCTAGATGTTACAGTATTAGGTGCTTGTGCAGTACATTCAACAAAATTTACAGTCACACTTGCTTGCGACGACGCCCATTTATGTAAGCACTAATGCTTAACAAGCTTAGCACTGAAGCGTAGGCGCAGATGACTCTGACTACTGTCCCGATTCATAGACCCCAGCAGCGGCAGTTTGTACGGCTGTAGTCTCGAATAAGCGGCCAACTGCTGACAGGGATACTGTCCCACATTTTACGCCATCTCCGGTTGCGGCACCACATGGGTCAGGTGCGTAACCGTCGTCACCGGGTTGCTGTGCATGGCGTTCATCGCTCGGGTGCTAAAGACACACATGACGATGCTGGCGATGAGGACGATGACGAAGAAGGTGGGCGCCGGCGATTTCGTATCCATGCCAGTGGTATGCGGGATACCATGTTTCATGCAGGATAACACTGCACAAGCTGATCAGGCCAAAGGAAATCATAATGAACGAGAACCTCAGCTCCAGCGAAGTGCTGCCCAGACGCTGCCCCGAACCGACGGGGTTGCGGGCATTGGAACCGGCAGTCACGCCCACTGAACCGGTGATGATGTAGAAGATGCCCAGGATGATGCCAGAAAAGCCCGTAGCGGGGAATCTGTACACCCACAGCGCTGCAACACAAAAAATGAACTATACGCCATGCAATTGGGGGTCGTCTCCTCACTTTGGGTACCATTCAGATTATGTGCGGATTGGCGTTTAGCACAGCGGACGCTATCGGTAACCATTCAACTTCTCTCGCTGCTTTTATTGGAAACTATTCTTGAGCTCGCGTGACATAATTTGCAGCCTTGGGGCTCCACGTTCGGCAAGTGGAAATTTTGTCGGGCGTTTCCTGGGGCTTCTACTACATCGTCACCGGATCCTTCTTGATAGCCGCTGGTGCCTGTCTGCTCCGTAACAGTGGTACCATTCGGAGGAGATTGAAGTTAACGGCCGTCTCATTCGCCTCGAGTATTGTGTGTCACTCAGCGCTTGCACTGTTTCGGCGTGGTACGTGCTGGATTTGGTGGATCCAAGCCAAGGCCAATGGTACTGGGACTATTCGGCCTGCCAGTATCAAGCGGGATTTTGGGATTTGAATTGGTATTCGTCTGTATGATGCTCATGTTAGCGTTATCATGTCCGTCTGTGGCTTCCGCATCATATCGGCTCTCCGTGCCAACAAGACCACAACGGATGCCATCGCACTGACATAACCTTATTTTGCTTTTGATGGTTACGATGCGGGTACAACATCGTTTCCCGGGCTGCTCAATATGCTTAAGCAAATGGTGTTTCGCTAAAACATTCTGCTATTATTTGTGGAATTGTTATTGGCAATTTGGTAGCGAACGACATCGCACATGATGACAAAATAAAAACGTGTACGAACTAGAAATATTTACGTACATCTTTATTTCTTTATATCATTTCATATTGCAGCCGTAGAGTGTAAACTACAAAGTACAAGACTGGGCAGCCTGTCCATCTGACGGCCGACAGAATTGTCATGTCGCACTAGATCATCATTGCCGCGTTGAAGGTTAAAAAAATATTATTTATGTTAGCTGCATACTTTCTTACATTAATAGCGATGTTAAGGCGATTTCTTCATCACTGAAAGATATTTGTGAGGCTGCCGAGGCACACAGAAAGTTGCGCCGACGATCAACTGTTCTTATAAAAACCTGTAAATGCATCATAAACTTTGACCGTTTCACTTGTACGCTTTGTCTTTACCTTGTTCATATGTTATCTTACTTGTGCACATCCTCAACTGTTACTTAAAGTCTTCTGCGGTGCTTTATCTGTTTAACGTGTTATGGAAGTACTGCCACATTGTATACCGTTATTCGAAACAATGGGAGATATAAACAGAAAGATATTTTAAGAAACCACTATCGTATGAAAGGAATCCTGTTGAGATAGCAAAACGTCAATAATGAACAGAAGATGCCCGATAGCTTTTTCCGTTCAGCAGTTCTCCATTATCGGGGCTTCTGCATACCTTGTCACTGTCAGCATAATATGCAAAAAAAATACACAAGCTTGTCTTTTGATTGGTGTGCAAGATTATTTTAGTCGATCTTTTAGTAAATTCTCAGTTTCACGGTTGAAGATAATTGTGTCTGAAAGTGCAATTTTAAGCTGCTCGTCCACTCGCTGGAACGCGTAAGGGTAATGCCGATTAACACCTTCGCGAGTTCTTAAAAAAGCTACCGGCATCACAATAAAGATGCCTGCCACTGTGACGGTATATGAGAACAGCGTAAGCGTTGATGGCGAGCCGGTTGGGGAAGCTGAATTAATTTATGCCGGTGAAGATGACGCCATTGTCCGGATGGAAACTTCTAAAAGGCAGAAACAATTTGCTTGTAAGCATTTCACCAAAGAATTGCCAGATAAATACCGAGATTGGACTAGAACCGAGCGACTGCGTACACTGGAAAACCCCTACGTCGTCAACTACTACTATGCCGGCCCATTAACGCATGACCGTGTCGGAGTTCTGATGGAGTATTATCCTAGTGAGTGCGAATGCATAGAGTCATAGACAAAACGAGTTTGCATTAGGCCTGCTGGCAGTGCTCTTACTATTGGCAGTGCCCGCATTTTCATTGGCTCGAGTCTGCCGACTGACACATTACTTTTAATATTATGGAAGGCATGCTTTTATTATGGCTGGCACATTCAATTTTATAATGAAGCCTTTCATTATGGAAGGCTATAGACATCTCCTTCCACCTTCGTTTCCTAAAATTACCTCCCGCTGTACATACTCCGAATTACCGTACTACAGGTATCCTGATTCCGTAATACTGTTTACGCGTACGCTGCTTCTTTTAACAAGTAAAACTAAACGTTTGAACTACACGATGCACAACGTAGTGCATTAGTTACAGAACTTACAGTACCATTCTTGTTAACTACGATAACAAGATAGCAATAAAGAAGTGTTGACCTTGTGTTCCCAACTTCTCATATTCTGCGCACGCGTGATCGTTAGGTTGTTTTTACATTTTATGTACAATGCTACCATCGTGATGTTGTGAAAATTGTTTTCGTCACATTAATTTGTTTCTTTGCTTATCAGTGCGCGATCTGGAAATGTACGAAGGCAAGTTCACCGTATTTCAAACTTTGCAATTTGTGCACGAAGTGTTGCAAGGCATTGCGTTCCTCCATGCAAACGGATTAGCGCACGGCAACCTCTGTACAGACACCATCCTGTTGCAACAGACCGATGAGCGGGAATTTCCTTCTCCTAAAATAACGGGCATCGAACGGGTTCCTCCCATCGTAAAGGAGAGCGCCACCAAACCGGACCTGTCGAAGGATATGACCAAGGCTACTGCCGAAGATTTCGAAGAACAGTGCGCCTATAATATATGGAATTTCGGTGACATTTTCCTTTTTATGTTAAATTCTCGCAGGATTTCGTACGGAGATCTGCTGACAGTGCCTGACCTTGAAAAGAATCCGTACTATACACAAGACACTTTGCCATTGTTAGCCATTGCGGAGCCATTAATGAAACTGCTTCTGCCTTCAACCCCACCCGGGATTGTGGACCTGATACACCTCTGCTACCGCATGCATAGTTTTGAACGACCCACCGCTCAAGACCTCATGGACCATTATATTTTCGCCATCGACCTTCCCTATGAAAAAAGGGAGCAAGAATGTATCCAGCGCATTGGAAGGTTTGTGGGAACTGAATATTATCAGCCAATGTCGGACCGGTCAGATAAACAGTATTACAGTAAAGTAAAGCGAATGCAACGCTTCGAAAACAATTTTTATGTTATCACGGTGGATAATGCCGTTGGGAGGTTCGGAAAGAGACTGATATGGGAGAGCAAATTCCCATGCTTGCTGGATTCTGAATACAACCATGCGGATCGCGGGTTTCTTAACAGATTATTCGCATTCCGGCAAAATAAAATCCTCCCTCTGTGCAGACTAAAACACCAATCCATATATCCTATGTTGAATTGTCATTTACGGTATATCCATAACTACATCAGCGCAGTATACCAATTTGAAGTAGAACCATGTAAGTACATCTGCATCTTCGTTCCTGATTTTTGCATAATCGCTTCGTTAATTTTAGACAGTGAGTGTCTTGAAAAATACTTGGCAAAGACGATGCTGCCGTGGAACTACATAAAAATTTACTGCCGGCAGCTGCTGGAGGGACTGATATTTCTGGAAGAAAATCGACTGCAAATACACGGCATTGGTGCCTACATGGTGGCTCTTTGTTCTAGGCACATCGGAGGTACTTTCTTGCAAGCCAAACTACAAACGACGTTTCATTTAGATGAACTGCTGTTGGAGAGCTTTGCGAAACACGGTAACAACAGTGAGCTGCTTCGAAATCACAGAGGAGTTGGTCGATTCGTTTCTCCCGAAGCGGCACTCCTACCATCCATTTCTGGTCTGCTTCATGCATCAGAAAAACAACAAGTGTGGGGAATGGGACACATTCTGCTGCAGCTGGCAACGGTCGGTACGCTTCGATTCGAAAAAGCGACGCAAAATAGCGAAACGGAAATAAGAGTTGTCGAAGATGACGTCTCCAATGCTGAAATAATGCATTGGTTACGAAGCGGTTGGCGTCCGCACGTTCCACTCATGCTCGCTGATGACATCCGGCGCGTGATCAAATTGTGTTTCCTGCCAAAGGACGAGCGGCCGTCTTTGCAGGAGCTAGTTGCCAATGAATTCTTCCGCACAGCCATGCCGTTAGAAGCGGTGGTTAACAGCACCACGAAACCGGTTTTCTGCATGCGTCCACAGGCTTTGGACGCACTCGCAGAAGTATTCGGTGGTGAGAGAGTTGGTGCAAAAAAGGATGAAGCTCAGAGTATAAGAATTACTGCGGCAAGTGGAAATAAGTTGGACATGTTAGTCATGCTGCTACTGTACCGCAACTTTGATTGCGATCGTCCTTTGTCTGTCGAGCTGCAGAACATCAACGACTTTAAACAGGCAACATTTTCTCCCGCCAACGACCTAATTGTTGAGCTGATAGTTTCCGGGTTAAACGGTTTGGATTGCGAGATTTTCAGAGAGTTAAACCTTCCGAATCTGCTAAGTCTTCGCTTATACAACTGCCAAGATGTTGTGCTCAAACCAGGCTGCCTTCAAATGTTTTCTAAGCTTCGTTGCCTCGAGGTTCCCGAATGTACTTTCGTGCACTTTGATGAAAATGCGTTACGTGAAATGCCGCAGCTGGAAATGGTCATCTTGGATGAAAACGCTGCAGCACCGTCCCCACCAACGCTGATTGAACAAATCCGTTGTGCGGACAAATTTGCCGGGCTTAAGCGATATCTACAACATCACGTCGAACTAATAAGACCAAGAGCGGCTGGCGATGTTTGGCGGTATCAGATGTTAATCAATAGATCAAGTACTGAATGTGCCCTGCATTGGTAAGCGTTTACTCGCCCAGAAAGCTTTTGTGATAGAAGATTTACTAAGAGAATTCTAGGCTTGGCAGCACTACGGATGCGGTTGAGCTACCAGCAATCTGCATCCAGATTGGCCTTCACGGCGAATTTCGGCTGCAATCATCAGACAATACGAGTCTTGTTAAAGTTATTACAGTCGGCGATTTGGAGCATGAAGGCTACAACCGCGAACTCCGGCAGTTATGTGAACTGAACCATCCAAACCTGGTCAGTCTTTCCACTGTCCCGATAATGCCGGAAGGCCCGCTAACGCTGCGAATGACATACTACAATGGTGAGGTGCTATAAAAATGCCTAAACTTGCCGTGAGTTACAACTGTTACATTAGGTTAACTCGAAGGTACTCTACCCTATGAGAGACAATTTAACAACGACTGTTTCCATATTTTTGTTACAATTGCGATATTTGTTATCTTCTCAATATTCCAGTGGGATCACTGGGAGACTTTATCTGTCATAATCGCCAAGCGCCACCGACCTTACAACAAATAATGCAGCTAACGCACGGTATTTTACTCGGACTGCAGTTTGTGCATTCTACGGACAGAAAGCCCTCGCGTGCGTTACACGGAGCTATTCACCCTTGGAACATTATGTTGGAACCTGATGAAGCTTTCTTTACACCCAAGCTGAGCGACATGGATAACCACTTACAGAAGCTATACATGCGGCAGCCTTTTCAGAAACATCGTCACACGTATTCTCGTTATGCCCGATTTTATATGTCCCCAGAAATGCTAGCGTGCACTGCAGAAGGACGCTTTGAGCAACTTACAGGTAAAACGGATATATGGTCTTTTGGAAGGGTTGTGTTGTACTTATTTGACCAGCGCAAGCAGATCGCCATGGAAACACAAACAATCATCCCCAAATTTGACATCAGTGCAAATATGTTTTATCCTGTGGATGATCGACTTTCATGGCTAGCATTAACGTCCGACGCTGTGCCTCCGGCGGTTATTGATTTGCTTTACCTCACCCATAAGGTAGATCCACGGGATCGGCCAGACGCAGCCATCTTGCTTCGTCATCTGGGCTACCAGAAGGGTTTGTCTCTGAGAGGGCGATTGTCACGACATATTCGCACCAGTCTTGTACCAACCATGTCTGCCTGTATATACCCCCCGACAGTGCTCTTCCGGCATACTGGCTGCCGAAACCAAAATGGAAACACTACTGCAATAGAAATACGCAAAGAATGGTTGATTCCGAAATCCGCTCTACTTCTACAATCGAAAGATATTGTCAAGTGCAAACTCAACCAGCTGGTGCAGCACATGCTTATCAAAACCGAAGCCGTTATTAAGTTCGTTCTACTGGACCTGCAATTAGAAACTAACGCACTCCGATTTTCTGGATTCTGCTACTGTAGCTCTGGTTAGTATTAAGTTACTGTACTGTTAACCATACTACGAGTGCACGACCCTGAAAAAGCGCTTAAACCGCAGCGAATGCGTGCTGGCGCTGGCAGAGTAGGTAAGCGCGTTGAAGACATAATAACGGGACAAGTACACAGCTACACACGTTGTAGTTGTCGACGTAGCCTCGTAGGCGCCGTGGTACGAAAACTCACAGAAAACGTAAACAGAAAAGCTACTGGTAAGTAACTTTTCTGGCCGCGTATTGCGTGAATTGCACGAATAATTTCATGTAACGGCACGTGCGTACCCACATTATCATAAATAATATGTCTAGGCCCTAGGGTAGTGCGCCCACCTGCTATTTTACCTAACTTCCCCATCCGCCAAACATGCAGGCGTTGATTCAGGCTTGAGACATACCAAAATCCTGAGGAGATTATTCGCAAATCTCCATAAAAGACGAATACGCAAAACCGCGCAATTAGGTTATCAAAAATAGATTGTACCAGTATAACCGGCAGCATTCGTGAGATCTTCGAAAAAGGCCCTGGGAAAAGCACTCGTCTAACAGTATTCGTTTTATTGTAGGCGACATAAATCTTCTGTGGCACTTAGATAATATGTACCTGTCTTGGACAGAAATTCGGACGTATTGTATCGACATCCTTAACGGTCTGCAGTATCTTAGAGACAACAGTGTTGAATGTGAACCTATCACCACAGATTCAGTTTATTTGTGCAATCTACACGGTTGTGGCATCTATCAGACGGCCAAAATCATAATCACACCGTCTCTGCTAAACTGGTTTAGTCCGGGCAAACGGTTGGAAATACTAAGCCAAAGCACCGGTTATGCATTTGCTCCGGAAGAGATCTCGGGCTACTCGACCGATCAAGTCCATAACACAAATATCTGGCATTTCGGTCAGATATTGCTGGAAATGACACGAATCCGGATAAACGGACTTTGCTTTGACCATATCGAAGAAAGTCACGATGACCTTGCAAAAGAAAACAGTGCCACAACGATAATAATATCCAAGGATCAGTTAATTTTTGAGAAAGTCGGTATGCGCCCCATTATTCCGTGGTATTTTCCGGACCAATTGCAGCGTGTTCTGCAGAGGTGTTTCGCAGAAGCTGTTCATCGTCCAACCGCCAATCAACTGCAATCATTTTCCAGCATTCCAGAATCACTATTTTACTGCTCACCAAGTATACAGTACAAAATTCTGTATAATGAATGGCCGCGTTTCTCTCGAAGAGCGATTAGTGTAGAGGAAAGTGAAGCTTGGAGAAACGCTCTGATTTGTCGCACCACAACCAGCTTCCATCAACTGCGGATCGCTAAACTTAAAGCTAAATTTTGGCCGGACAATAATATACTTGATATGATGTTTGTTTTTCAAATACGTTATGCCGATAGAGATTATCCTATCACCGTACACGTCTCAGACGAGGCTAGCTTTAGCCGCCGAAATTTTTCTCCAATTTCCGACCTAATCGTTAAATTGGTGATAGAAGACATTACCAATTTCGATTGTTGCCTTCTACGGGGTCTCCACCTCTACAATTTACTATCGCTACAGTTTAAAAACTGCTCTGGCATTCGGATTGCTCAAGCGGACCTGAGTGGCTTTACACGCTTAAGAACTCTGAAGTTTACGCGTAGCACGCTCCTAAATTTTGAAATTGGAGCACTGAGCCAGCTGGATTACCTATGCAACCTTGACCTGACAGGAGATCTACGCCTGCAAATGGCAGAGGCAGAGGAAGAGTACATTGAGCGTCTTCTGTCCTGTCAAGTCTTTAAAGAACTTAGAGCATTTGTTCAACATCATCGTGAGCTTATCCAAAGAAAAGACACTATGCTCCTCGATCCTTACAGAATGCGTAATTTGGGTCATCTTGATTTCCTGTTGTAACTTACTCTGTACCAGTAGATTTGAGAAAAGTAATTATAACAAAGCAATGTCCGCTTACCTCAATATAAATATCTTTGTATTTTTAAGTAAATTTTACGATACAACATTTGGGCTTGTGTACTTTTTAATTTGTACAGACTGTACATCACCTGTGCTTTGATTTGTGTTTCATTGTTTTATTTCGCTCGCTCGTATGATCATTCCAATCATTCCAAATAGGTACCTCTTAATTAATGCGCTAACATATTTGCTTAATTTACTTAATGACGCAATTTAATGCACTATTTGCTGATTGGTACCCAACAAACATCTGTGCATTTTTTTAGGTTATTTAAGCGAACATTGTTTAAACATAAAATTACGCGATACATCATTTCATCTGTTAGTGGTCCATCTCCTTGGGTAATTTTTGGTTCAAACTTACTGTAGTGAATGTGGCTGTGTGCGCACTGTGCTTGCTGTACTAGTACCGTTGCACACTGGTTTTTAATCAGGCGACATTCATTCGGGCAACATGCGAGTTTGAATAGGGTGATACAATTCAGTCCTGTGTCAGCGAAAGTCCCGACAATTCTAGAACCTCCTGGATTGAGCAGATCAGACGGAAAGTGGCCGGAGGGCTTATTACTCTTTCCTTGGAGGAACGGCCTTCCACTGATATGGGATGTGACGGTATGTGACACATTCGCGATGTCGTACATAGCTGGATCATTAGTGGCAGCGGGTTTAGCAGCAGACGACGGGGAAGAACGAAAGAGGGACGTCTATCTGGAACTCACTGACCGATATTTCTTTGAACCGGTAGCTTTGGAAACGATGGGTAGTTGCGGCACCAAAACCCGCCAGTTTATCAGTGGAGTCGGTCGGCGCATCAAAGGGCAAACAGGAGAAGCGCGTGCCACTGAGTTTTTGTGGCAGCGTGTACATAAGTGCCGAGATTCAGCGCTGAAATGCGGCTTCCGTTTTGGGTACTGTTGCTTGTTCTAAAGAGCTGGAAGGGTTGTTTTATTTCTAGCTAGCTGATCTTTTGAGTTTAAGTGAAAATGGCATTTTGCATGTATAAGTATATTAATAAAATTATCGTTCTTAATCTGAATGGATGTACTGTATGTGAACGCACAAGCATTCTAATTTTCTGTAAGTCTGTAGGGTGTATAAGCCACGCCCCTTGTTTTCACCTCTGAACCAAAAACTGGGAAATGGACTATAGGTGTCAGTCGGTATCACATTAATGATTAAGCCCTAATTGCTTAGTGCTTTGCAGACGCACAAAGTCCCGTGTTCCTGCATATAGAAGGCCACCGCTTCGGTCGATAATAATAATAATTTTATTATACTGTATTTACTTGCCCAACCAATAAAACCAAGGTTGCTGCTCAGCTGAAAAAGGATCAGACAGGCCATCCTCTACGGAATTTACGATGACCCGATTACGACCGAATGTTTTCTCACGCACGTCTTCACTATACTTGTTAATTATTGTTCTTAATTTTTTCCATAACTGGCCAGCCGTGATTCGTTGGTCGCACTTCACAGTCAGACAGGAACGGATAAGACCGGCCTGAATTTCCGCAATTTGTTCCGAAATATATGGAGTGTAGCCTTCTATGATTTTGAGCATTAGGTCATGTGCATTATCCGGTATTTTATCGCATGGATCTGCCGCTTTGTAGTACATCTTATCTTGAATTAAGTAACAGCAGTTAGCCAAATCCAACAGAACACACCCAAGACTCCAGACATCGCTGCGCTGGAGACTCTGCTCACATGCCTGCAGGGCTACTGCTTTCAGTAGTTCCGGGGACGCGTAAGCGGTAGTGTACTGAAAGCCCCGAAGTGCTGTCTTGTCTATTCTGCCGTTGTGGATGCGCGCCGCATTATCCAAGTCACCGATGACCAGCATACAGCAACCTTTCGGGCCAGTTCTTCCGTTAATAAAAATATTGCCCGGTTTCAAATCTCCATGGATGAAGTTATTCTCATTGAGAAAATCGAGACCACTGGCTAAGTGCGACGCCATGGTGATCATACTTGGTATATTTAACACATTTTTGTGTTTATGATATTTCTGAATCAGATCTCCAAGGTCACCAGCTGAAAAAAACAGTTACAACAAAATCAACTAAAAATTCGCTGCACTCGAATAAACTAGCACTGTGAGCTACTTGAACATCGTTAGTTTATACTTGCAAACTGACGCTATCAATTAAGTCCCGTCACTAACCTGAACAACAGTTCATCAGGATGTCTGTTCTTGCGTTATCCTTCCACAATGTAAGAATAAATTTGTGATAAGATACCAAATATGAATGTCGGAGTTTAATCAGAGCTTCCCAGCGCTCCTTTTCTTTACACAAGGCTGCTGGTTCGCTTAGCTGTCTTCTTTTTTCACTATCCACCCGCAGCGATTTAACGGCAACCGTAGATGGGCCAAGATAGTTAACATGGCTGCCGTTTACCTGGTAACTGAATCTAGTGACGGTGGCCTTGAACACACTGCCAAAAGCTCCCTGACCAATAAAGCACTCCGGAAATGCGGCCTTGAACTCACAGGGACCACCAACTTCTTCCACTATGGGATGCATTGTTTCGTGTGCAGTCATCTCGCGTGCATTCTCCGCCCCGTCCATCTGACCGTCTTCGCTTGCAACAACATTTTCCTCTAAATTAGCCAGCCACGTGGTTCCGTTTAACTGCCTGTTTTGAGCGACTGTGCTTGCACCCATCAGTGTTTTGTGCAGCATCGCGGCCGAATGTCTACTTCTGCAATCGCTTTGCAAGCATACCTCAATGATTTCTTTTCTGAACTCATTAGGGACACTTTTCGACGGTGTTGGGATGTACCCTTCGGCTGTGCGCACCAGTCTCCACATCCATGAAAGATCCTGGTCAGCAGCATCCACACGGTCTCCAGCATCGCGGCTGCTCTGAGGATTTTTCTCGCCATAGCAGCATTCAGCCAGTTCCAAAATGATGTGCCCCAGACTCCAGATATCCGTTTCTGGCCCAAATGTCACTTCGGTGTCGGGGTTCACGTTGTGGGCCATCTCCGGAGACCGGTACAAACTGGTGGATTTCCCGATCTGCATGCGCATGTTGTCGCGAATGCGTGGTAAATCAGGTAACGTTTTTTGGGGGATAGGTAGTGCAATGCAACGATTCAAACCACCAATGCGCAGCCGCATCTGCTTGTTTGGTAAAAGCTCCATAAGGATGCAGCTCGGCTTCAGGTGACCGTGAATTATATTTTGTTGGGGCCCGTGCAGATACTTCAACCCGCTAGCCATTTGCTCGGACCAGTTGTATAATTTTGCTACTGCCAGTTTCCTTCGTTCCCTTTCGTAGCGCACCATGGTATCTCTCAGGCTGCCACCTGGGCGTAACATTTTGCCAAAGTTTACATATTAGTAACTGTGAGCAAAACAACACTCTTTATGAAGTAACAGCCCATCACAATAACATAAATGCTACCGCGATGCAGTCTACGTCTGATTAACAAAACCTATTCCCAACTGTGAAGTCTCTCCGTAGTGTAGTTAATATTTATTAATTAACTACACATCAGTACAATCGATACTGAATGATAACTGGTAATAACAACAAGTAAGAAGTATCACAATAACCATCGTTGCTATACGACCATAGATACAATCTACATATGTACGTACACTACACCAACATCCATGTAAGTTTTTTTTTAATGTTTAAATTCGTATCATTTTAATTAGTGTCCAGCGCAGCGCATTTTTACATGTGTGCATTGGCTTTTGTTGAATAAAAGATTTTCAGTAAAGTTTTTATTCGCAACAGCCAAACCAAAACGCTCTTCGAGGAATAAACCTTAGAACGTGTTTATGTTAATACGTATAGTAATTTCGAATTTTTGGTCATAAAATATGCGGAAGCTGGTTTAAATCTGGCCCGAACACTTCAAACTCGAAATACATACGCTGTATTTATGTAGCATTTAATGCAGCTGCTATTTGCAGTTAGGTATATGCAATAATGCAAACTTACATACTTAGATATGCAAAATGACCCTGTTTATTTAGCTGTGCCAGGCTTTCGCTATTCAGTAGATCGTCGGCTCCAGTACAGTAAATTACCTAGATGATAATCCATGCCGAACGCCGCATACCCCTTCATTTTGGTTACTCTGATCGTCACATTCCGATAAACTACCACATTTTCATCGTTTAATGCAATGAGGCGTTTACATTGCTCCATTAGCTCTTCTTCCGCAGCTGATTCCGGCGTCATACTTATCAGCTTAACAGCTAAGAAACGGACGTCGGATGGACTTTCGCATTCCAGTACTGTAGCTTTGTAAACGCTCTTCGAATTGCCAATACAATCAGATGCTCCATACGACAAACAGCACTTTAAGCCAAATCCAGTTATTCCGTCCGCAACGTCCATACTGCACAAATTTCGTGAATTTTGAGAACACTTTCTGTACAATGTTAAATAAAACTCTACAGTACAGTTTATACACCCTACAATCGAGCCTAAAGGCGTACACTCAGAAGGTACGAGTAAAATTAGCACTTAACACTTAATAATATTATTACCAACTGTATCATTGCCATGCTACACTTACTTTCACCGATCTGATTTGGCGCTAATCTGACGTGGTATCTGTCATAAAAATTATTCAAGTTTCGATTGATACCTGCGATTTCACTAACGGATAGACCAGTACAATGCTAACGTGGATATCCACCGTTTCGGTAATGGCTGGTAATACAACATAAGGTAAGTAGAATTTGATGGGTATAAACTTTGGTCGACTTATTATACGAGCAAATTCTTGATTGATCACCAATTACTCAAATTGTTGTAACGTGTGAACAGTAATCTAACAGCAAATAATGATACACTTAATAATTGTGTACTTTACGCTCGGATGTCATGATAAGCCTAATTCCCCTTTTCTTACTATTGATTGTCTGCTCTGATCAGTGTGGGCTATCGTCGGACAGATGTTTGATTACAGCGGTCATAAATGAATAAGAGGGAGTTTATAGCGGTTGCTACAACTTTGTGGCTACGTGCTATCCCCTCCCCCGATGCACAAATGCTAGTCTGCTCGCATAAACTCGCCGCCAGCTTGCTACACTTCTAGCTGATAGCAAGAAAGTAGCCAGTTCACAGCGACTTGCTACGACTAGACGGCACCCGCCCGGTGTGACCGCAGAAGGCAACCGCCCACAGTAACGGCAGGTAGCAACAGCAGCGCCCGCCCACCGCTGCGGCAGCGGACAACCTCTTATGGTGGCGGGCTACTTGACTATGGCAAGCCGATATTAGGCTTATGGCAAGCCGACATTAGGTATATGGCAAGCTGACATTAAATACATTATGGCAAGCCGATATTAGGCGTACTTGTAATATTGCTGTTTTCTGGAAATTATTTTAATCCGCTTTTAACTTTTTAATTTATTGTACACATGAAACATTTTTTATTTATTTGATTTGTTTCGATTTTATCTTTGAAATCTAAATTGAAATCTTTGAAAATTTTAATTTTGAAATTTAAAAAAAAAATAAGTTCCAATTGAGCTTGAATTTTAAAAAAAATACAGTTTAACTTTCAAATTTAATTTAGAAGTTAAAAAAATTGAAGTTAAAATTTAAAAAGTTTCATTACTTACCTGATCGTGTTTGTTAATTCGAACTTGGTTTCAAACTTTTTAATGGTTATTGTGTACTGTATCGAATTTCTCCGCATTATCTGTGAAGTTGGTATATGCCTTAGCAACCTCAAGAGGTTACTGCATGGCTTAACCATTGTCCTTACGAGCTAGCAATCTAGTCACGACTACCCGTAGCATCGTCTGTTTATGCAGACATTTGCGCTACATAGTCGGTGCTACATAGCCAGCTACGTAGCAGTAGTCAGCCAGCATAAACTCATTTTGTGGAACTACTTGCTACCAAAACGGCTACGGGAGACCACGCCTACGAAATTGGTAGCAAGTAGCAAGTAGTCAGGTCCGATAAACTGCCTCTAAGACAACCGCAGCACTTATTAATTTTTGGCTATGTTGCACAACCATCATAATAAATTATGTTTCAATCTGGATTCTCAGTATAACGCAGAATAGTAATACTTAAAATTACTAGTTTAGTACGGTACGATAACGTGCTCTGTGTCAGCAAAACGTGTGCATTGTGCAACACCTTTCCCGAGCTGTCAAATAAATATACGACATTTAGCTTAAACCAACGGCTTATTATTTTTGCAGTGATCAGCGCAGGGTAAGTTAATCTTTAGAACCCGGTTAATTTTCTGTGTTGACGTGTACTGGCGTCCCTTAGTACACATCGGTACTACTTCTACTACTTCTACCCCAAGGCTTAAGCTTACTCCTTACTACAGCCCCTTCTCGAGTCATGGCCCCGAATCTCAGTTTCGACTTCCTAGATATCTCCGGCAGACAACTTTGACCGCGACTTGCCATTTCGACGTGACCGCGACTCAGTGACGTAGCTTAACCTATTGTTTAGTTGTACTAGCAGCCCTCTTGTTCTTATTGGTCCACGTATGTTGATGCTCTCTTTAGATTAGTCCACGTGTATGTAGTCGTCTCTCATTGGTTGACGCTTAGATCTCTATTGTTCTCAGATCCGTAAGAAGAGCGCGCGCGTACGAAGAGCCAGCGCCTGCGAGTGCCCAGGGCTATATAAGGCGCTCGTCGCCCACAGAAATGTCAAGGGTTGTAATCCCAGCAAAAGTAGAGGCTTGTACTCGATCTGATTAACTTCAGGCTTTTGCTCGGGTCGGCCAAGATTACCTTTGCCTCCCCTTTGCCTTTGCCTTTTCACTTTGCCTTTTTCAACTTCACCTTTACCTTTGCCTTTGCCGCCGTCAACACCTTACCGTCCCATTTAACCATCCCAAACACCGTTTCAGAAAAACCTTTGCCGTCGATTATAACCGTTGCATGACAAACCACCGTTAAACACTTTACCATTTTCAGAATTTATCGCCGGCATCCACGTTTGTGAATTCACTGCTCTAATTATTAATATTATAGAGCTGGAATATGAAGACGCTAGTAATTTTTATTGTCAGTTTTTTTCGGTTTATTATAACAAAGGACAAAGTGGCGACAATAATGATAGGCCGAATTGCAGCATTTTGGCGTTAAAAGTGGAGACAGAAGATTTAAGATTTTCGTGTCATGTGCGAGTATTGCCGCTTAATGGAAACGTAGCTGATTAAAACTTCTGGAGAATCACAGCTTTTACTTGGACCGAGCTACAAATAGCACTCAGTAGGTCTCAGCTTCTGATATCCTGAATGTATCCAAGAGTAGCCTGTATCCTGTGGTCTGTAATTATATCATTTGAAGTAATGCTACAATGGACCCAGGGGCTCCACGAGACCCCTGACGACCTCGGGACATTTTTTTAGAGCAAATCTGACCTCGGGATAATTTTTAGCGCATTTCTCTGATATAGAAACCATTTTTCAAAATTTTTTTCGGAAGAAAAAATTTCTGACTGCCGGTGCCCCATACGCCCTTCAAATACCTTGGGCGGCTGCAGTGGCGCCACAAAAAATCTTTTATTTTGGCGTTTTGAACACTTTTTCTAGGTAAATCGATATTGCTGATTCTGAATATAATATCAGAAAAAAATTTCAGTTCGAAAAAAATAATTTTTTCGATAAAAACAAAATTTTGCAAAATCTATCCAAAAATTTTAAAACTTGGAATTCTTCCTTCCTATAACTAAAACAATTTTTCTGACAACATATTCAGATTCAGCGATATCGATATACCTAGAAAAAGTGTTCGAAACGCCAAAATAAAAGATTTTTTTGTGGCGTCATTGCAACCGCCCAAGGTATTTGAGGGGCGTATGGGGCACCGGCAGTCAGAAATTTTTTCTTCCGAAAAAAATTTTGAAAAATGGTTTCTATATCAGAGAAATGCGCTAAAAATTATCCCGAGGTCAGATTTGCTCTAAAAAAATGTCCCGAGGTCGTCAGGGTCTCGTGGAGCCCCTGAATGGACCTGAAAGCGTGGACCCAATGAAGGTTCACGCGTAGGAACAGAATTGACGGAATTCTGCCTACCAAAAAGCCTAGCAATGCTATAAATGCGCCTACGCTACGGAAAGCGAGAAACGGCGTGATTGCTAGGAATTTATAAAACGCAGACTAAATTCGATAGAATTTCCTCGTGGACAACTCCGCATTGCTGACTGCAGCAAGCGTGAAAAATGCGCACGTAACCGCCATACAGTGCGGGTGCGCGCAGAACACCATGCTTCCGCCACGCGTAAGGCGGGCGTGCGGCAAAACACATCAGACTGCCAAAGCGAGGGTGACGCATGTACGCCTGCGCTCACAGACCATTTGTTACAGTCACCGGCGCTGGCGCACTTTGTCCCGTTGCACGAGAGCGCTACAGCATTAACCAGTTCGAGAACTGACTTTTATAAAATTTTATAATAATGTGTAATAATGTGAATAGGAAAAAATCGCAATAAAGGTTGAATTTTTTTTTGTACTAAAAATTTTTATGCAGGTTCAGTATTGCAGCCGTCAGTTCTCTCTGCAAATTGATGCAACCTTTAAAGTGCCCAGTTTTTAAATTTAGATAAAGGGCGATGTTATTGTTTAATTTGTATTAATAATTTGAACAATAATTCCACAAGCGTGGATGCCGACGATAAATTCTGAAAATGGTAAAGTTTTTAACGGTGGTTTGTCATGCAACGGTTATAATCGACGGCAATGGTTTTTCTGAAACGGTGTTTGGGATGGTTAAATGGGACGGTAAGGTGTTGACGGCGGCAAAGGCAAAGGTAAAGGTGAAGTTGAAAAAGGCAAAGTGAAAAGGCAAAGGCAAAGGGGAGGCAAAGGTAATCTTGGCCGACCCCTTTTGCTCTGGTCTTCTCTTTCCAAGTGAGGTTGTTCTAACTGACCTCTGAGTGACCTTTCACTCATTGTCAGGGGTCATCCCTCTATCTCGTTGACGTGCAATATCATCTTCGGATAGTCTCGTAACGTAACAGGTTACCCACTAGATCCCACTTGCATCCCCTGACCTTTCGGTCCCTTCGATCTTCATGCCCTGTAGCGCCAGGTTGATGGATTTCTCATACGCTTCGGCTACCATCTAACGTCGGACAGGTAACGTATAACTTCCTCGCATCTCTCTTGTGTTTTCCTTTCGTGCTTGCAGCAGTGTTCCGGGTTCCAGTTTTCTTCATCTCCGCACATCATCAAGGATTTGTACCATCATCTTTACTTTCGTTCCATGAAATACATAAGAAGTTGAGATAAGAGTAGCTCTATTCCCGATTGTGTCGTGCCCGGGAAATGCAACAACAACAGCACAACAACATTATATTCTATTACTTGCACGACAGTGTAGTAAGTGTCTGCCTGAAATGTAAAAGTGCCTACTTAAACTTATCTAACATTTTCTTATCCTTAGTTTAAAATATTTTGTGTATTCATTTAGAACAATTTTTGGTATCATGAAACATATTTTGCCATGACTGCGGATAGTGACAGGGTTATTGAAGTGGATTTTAAGAAAGTTATCGGAACCGGTATCCAAGGATTGGTCTATAAAGCGTGTTGGTTAGATACGGAGGACACTGTGGCTGTAAAAATTGTTCGCTTCAGTTCCTTCAAAGATCAAGATCTCAAAAAAAAGAGCAGAGGCGATCTCCAAACTGAAAGCGCAGCTACAGCCATTTTAGAAATGAGACACCTGCATCTGGTGCAGCATTTGCTCACCAAATTGTTATGGAACGACATTCAGATATCGGAGGCGCTCAGCAGACGATGTTCCAGATCGTCATGGAATATTGTGACGGTACGTTTTGATCTGTTGTAGCTGATGACCCTATTGTCGCAGCACGTTGTAAGTTGTGCTATATATCTCGTAAAACTGCCATCATATACATAGATAGGTCAGGTTTTTTTAGGTTTATTGCTTAATGTCTGCAAATACAACGAATCACTCCTTATCGAGATTCACAGACAAAACTGTCGAAAACGCTTTAGAGAATTACAAGCTACAGCCACTCAGTTATAACTGCCAATACATATCTATACAAAAAACCCCAGCTCAGTTCAATAAAAAGAGGTACAGTTAACGATGAAAAATAAAATAAAATCGCCACGATGAGAGACGTCAATGCTAATAAACCCGTCAATGATAAAATTATAATAAAGTACTACAATTTTAGAACATTCCGTGTGCATACATAGGTTCCAAAATGGATAAAAGGTCAAGATTTCGCACATACTCGTTCACGTAACGTTGAAGTACTATTCCGGATAGATATGCAAGCAAAATCTTTCTTACTTTCTCTGGTTAAACTTTAGCAAGATCGTGGCTTAAAACATCTTTATTTTTTCTGTTTGCGGTAATGATTCTTTTTAAGCCGTACTTATTTTCTATCACACTCAGTTCCCAGATAACTAAACTTGTTGCTGTTGTTCTCATTTTGTATCGGCCTTCGATTTGCGTAACTTGTTCTTTGTTCACTGTTGTTAAGGGGCATGACTCCGTTGCACGAAGATAATAAATTCGCCATTATTTGTTTACTTATTATTTTTATGCAGGGGGCCCACTTAGCCAGTATGTCGCCAAGAATGAAATGCCAGCCGTTTTGATACAAAAGTGGTCTCAACAATTGCTCGACGTTTTGGTGTATCTCCATGAGAGACGATTCATCCACCGCAATATTAACGGCGCCAATATCATCCTTAGTAGTCCGGATGCGAACAGCTGTAACCTGAAATTGACTGATCTTGGAGATGTGAAACGCATCGTATCGGAAGTTACCCAGGCAAATGAGGTGCCAAACGAGAAGGGCACGCACCAGTTCATGTCGCCGGAAATGGTGATGAACCACAGAGGAAATGTTGGACGTTGCACCGACATTTGGAGTTTGGGTTGCGTGGTCATCCAAATGGTTACCGGCAGGGCGCCGCGATTTTTCCGAGGGAAGACGGAACTCCTTGAAAATCAGTGTATAATGTTTTTCATTGCCTCTGGAGAACCGCCGGCTCTGCCAAGCGGCCTGCCAGACTTAATGCAACGGTTTATCGAGCGCTGTCTTATTAGCAAGGTCGAAGATAGGCCATATGCTGCGACCTTGGCGATGGACCCCTTCCTGAAGTCTAGCGATACCACAGACTGGAATATGCCGAATAGGAAAGACCACTGGAAAGTGTATGAGCAGCCCTAAGCTTTTGTTCGGTGTTATGCACGGTTTGTTACAGAACGATACTTGAACGATAGTCAGTACAGTACGTTTGTCATACGCTTTAGCAGAAATGTGTCCAGCGTTATGAATAATCGATAAAAACCGGTGACCAAGCATTCAGATGTCAAACCTGTTTGACTGCTAACTTTCTGACAGCTTTCGAAACAATCTTTGAGCAGTTTTTGTGATTTACCCCAAGGTCACAAATATTAATAATTTTAAATATAGACAGATTAACTTCAAACTCATTCTCCATAAGCATAATAAGAAATACTCAACTATAATTTCTGCTCCCAATCAGCAGCACCGTTACCCTTAAAGAGACAAAGATTACGACAATTTGACTAGTTCTTGTGACCTGGTGACAATCGGCCCCGTGATCGGCTCTCTTTTATTCTGGTTAGCCGCAGTGATGCTGCCAAAATAATCTGCAAACAATTAAACATGTTCAGTTCTTGAAAACTTTAAAACGTTCAGATAACATAATATATAATTATGTACTAAATTTTGCTCCATTGTAACGCAGTCTTTGTAACCACTTACCACACTTAACACATACGGCGCAATAAAGAACGCCATAATCCATAACTCCAGCACCGGCATCGCCAAGAAATCCTGGCGATCGTACAGGCGCGTCAGCATAAAGATGACAAAGCATGATATATACAAAAACGACACTACCATCCGCGTCACGGCCGGATGCAGCGCCACACTGGAGCGCTGCAGCGCAAACTGCCTGCGCGGAGTACAGGCTAACGACAGGCCCAGTCGATCCGAAGTCACGCTCACCGACCACACCCGCCGTCGCGACACCCGCAACGCCGCAAACTTCACCAACACCGCCACGTACACTGCCTGCACGAACACCGAAGGGATATACACTCCCAAGAAAACCAGGATATTGGGATAGGGATTCTTGGACAACTCCACCATACACGCGCCGAACGGCCCGCCAGGGATGTACCGCCCTCCATAACCCAGTCGTACCGGGAGATTAATTATCAACGGTATCAACCACGTCAAAACAATCTTTAATCCGACGAGTTTATATGACGTCAGCTGGTGAAATGCAAACGGGAAAAAGATCGCGACGAGTTGGTGAATGGCGATAAAGAACCAGGAGTAGTACAACGAGTGGGTGTTGACCATGAAGAAATAGTAGGTGTGTTCGCAATGGGCGATGGGTGTACTGTGGGATAAGGAGAAGAAGACGGAGATGCAGTATACCGGCATGTTGATGGACAACATTAGGAGGTTGCTGAAGAGATAACTGGCGGTTAAGTAGCCCACGGCGTTGCGCAGGGATTCCTTGATTAAGAACATCAAGAGGAGGGTGAAGGTGATGATCGTCCCGATGCAGCAGAGGAGCAGCATACAAGATAGCCATAGCGTAAGGTTTGGTTGGAGTGCCGACCAATTGTGGCGTGTGGCGTTGAGCGGCAAACTGATGTTCATGGTTTCAACAGAATATAACGATAAGTACATCCATCAATGCACTTAGGACTAAAAATGTGGAGATCGGCCAGTCGGTCCGCGGTGTAAAAATTAAATAATAAAATCAACAAACAGTGTCAGCAAATAGGAGCATAAGTCGGCAAAATCGCCAATACGGAAGAGCTTGGTACGCGATAATCGAACATTTTGGTAAACTGTAAAACTTGGTGTATGTCCTCTGTAAAGCGGAAAAATATTACCCGAAAGCCAGCAGTCTTGCACTATTCCAAGTACAAAGTGGAAGAAAGAAACGCACGGAAAGAAGTTAAATTACATCGCAGGACAGGGAAATTAACTATGATCAGTTGGGTCTAGGTACCCCCAAAGTATCCATGTTTCTCTTAGATAGGATCCGGTAATTTGATATAACCAACCGCGAAACAGTAAACATTTGCCGCCGGCACTGCGCAACCGTCAGTTCGCAGCATGCGGAAATAGAAAAAGCGGATAATTAAGCAGGTGATCAGCAGCGGAGCTCCCATAATGAGAAGGCTGAACAGGAGAAGGTATCACTTAGGGATGACGCGCGCATGTTGTGTACGGCGAAGAAACTGCTGTGCACCGACCGATATATTGGACACTAACAACGCATATGGAATGCCGACACCAGGAAATGAATGCCAATTAGCCGTTTCCTCTTGAGAAGCGTGTGAGCGGATGGCTCAGTCGGATTGCGCTGCACTGATTAATCAACGATGCATTTGCGCTTTTACCCGACTTTCTACAATCACAACAACTGAAGGTGTACATAGCGCTTAAGAAACACAGCTTTTTGCTGTTAAAATACGATAGTTTTCCGCTGACACGCCTTTACAATATTCCCGTAAGATTTATTTTAGTATTTTTCCGCGTACTAGTGTCGGCTGCGAAATAGCGTGCAAATTGTTCATTGTCTGTATGACGAGGCGCGTACGTCTGAATCACGTGTCCGGCACTCGCTCGGATTACCTGATTAATTGAACCATTTGTTCGCCATCACAATGCGATGGCGTGCTAACAAGACAAACACAATACGCCATTTATCCGAACAAATCTGAAGAGAAAAGAACAGTATACAAAAGCGTCACAGTACAACAAAAACCACATAAAAGCCACGCGAGAAACCATTAACCTGATTAGATAAGAATGGTGTTCAATGGCGCAGGGCTGTAGATTAATTTGGACAAACTGATAAAGCACAACAAAACAGCGGACCTAGATAACTGGTTAGCACAGCGTTAGTAACGCTGCATTCCTGAGATCTTCACGGTTTTAATAGCATCAGCTGTTACTGTATGGCAAGGTTCTATATTTACAAAAAATTCCGCGTCTAATCAACCGCAACTTTCGGGACTTAATGCCTCTCGTAAATTAGCCCTTAAGAAATTCCCCTTAGGAAATTCCGATGTCAATACGGTTAGTCGCGCGATTAAACAAAGTTTTTCTACTTTCCTTTGTCTATGCATGGCTGCTGCTGATTTTGGATGGCTGCCGTGGACGAAACAACACTTAAAGAAATTTCCAGCCTGGGCAATTTAGCTTTCGATGTATTTGCTGACGGAGAAAAATGACACAAGAAACTCCAATGGATATTAAACTGTTAATTGTCGTGGGAGGGATTCAAACACTGTGCGGGATCGCCATTTTCATTACTGATATGACATGTAAGGAAAAGCACTAATTTGTGTAACTAATAATCTGTCGAGTGTTCCAAGACGCTTTCCTTTTCCGAACATTACGTAACCGGGTTCTTAAAAAATTAACTAGGAAACAATCGCTCGTCATTGCTGTTCTGTTCGTCATAATTCTATATCCGGTTATTGCAGGTATTGGATTATTCGGATATCCGATAACCGTCTTCCTCGGCACCGTTTTCGGCCTTTTCTACATGACCACTGGATGTGTGGGCGTGGCCAGCGGATTCAGCGCGCGGGACTACCATCCCTCCAGGCGGCGTTTCGCTATAACCGCGCTGGTCTTAACCATTATCGCCAGCCTGACCGCCTTCCCGTTGCTGCTGTTCTGCGCCGCGCTTTTAGCGGGTTTCAGCAGCGCGGATGCCTTCCACCCCGATGATACGGCATTTCTCGGCGTTCTGCTGGCTGACCTGATTTTCTTCTTCATAATGTTCATCAGCTGCATCGTCATGTGTGTCGGGATTGCGCGCGTCATGTCGCAGCTGCGGACCAATCGGATGGAGCCGCGGATGACGCACGTCGTGACGCGCGAGTCCATTGTACAGTGAAGCTGCTGCCAGCGTTGGTTTTGTGATCCTGTCGTTGATCTTTAATTGCGTTCGTTATCTTCAGGTGTTCGTGTTTTATTATTGATTGTGACGCCGTTTTCTTACAGCTCCGGGCAGCGGTTAATTGGTTAGCTTGCAACGCATACGTTATGCTAAGCTTGGTTTTTTATTCTTTCTTGCAATACTCCCTACAAAAACCGCTGCCTCATAATGTTGGTACAAGTACAAAAACTGTAATAAACAAAACCTATACCTGTTTATTTAGACGATGATAAATAAATGCTGATACGTTTATGCCAACAATAATAACGCTAAAGGCAACACAAAATACTCGTATTTACTAAACAGAGCAACAAAACAGCAACAATCGCCTTCAACCATGACCTTGGAAGTCATTCCAGTAATCACATAATCATTTTCTAAGTGTTGACGTAAAATCAACTGCCTCGCTAAGCAATGTTATTTCGACCCATCGGCAAGAATGTAAGCGCTCAGCAAACATTGATCAAAAGTGCATCAATGATCTTTATGCAAAATGTGCACACCTGTCTTTTTGTACGAGCGTGATGAGCGGGTAAACAAGGCTACTATCTGCTCCTGCCGACCCCAATAAATAAATAATTACGTAATTTACGAGAAGGTCGAACTTGTCCCGTTGCGCAGATCACAGTTCATTTATCATGCTACCAAGAAAAAAGATTTCACCACGGGATGTCATGGGGCTGCCCGACATTACGTGCTCTCGTAAATCATAGAAGGATGCATGGATTTAAGCGGCACAAGAAGAGCATCTTCACGCGCGTTGTTTTATAACCACTTCCAGCCAGTTTACGATTTGTGACGTTCATTAACTGCACATTAAATTTCTACGGGTGAACACGATGCTTGGGTGCTTGGAACAACGATACGACTTGTATTCTACTCGATGACGGTAAAATATATTATCTGGGTGACTCGAAGCCGAGAGCACTGATTTTCATCGATCAACAGGACAAAAACACTTTAGATATGTCATGATCCAGTTACGCGCTGCATTATCATCCCGAATTTCAGACACACTGCCGCGCAGGTGGAGATATCGGTTAATCCACGTTTCATTTACAGCATAGCGCATTGATTCTGGGAAGCGTTTCTTCCGCTGCTCTTTGTGAATAGGGAGCATGCCGTCATATATCTGCAGGCAAATGTTTGAACGCGCTTAATTGGCAATCTGCTGGCACCACTTTAAAAGCGACGAGTATCATCGCGCTTGCTGACAAGTAGCGGAGTAATTTTCTTGATTAACACCGCTCCCGCATTTTACTCTGCCTGTCGTATTTCATTCAGGTGCAAAAAGCGTTCATTTATTAGCAAAAATGTCGACAAACAACTCTTCTACCATTGATATTGCGAACGTTCGTTGGAACTATGTGTCCATCTTCTCTTTGATAATCGCCATTTTATCAGCAACGTTGAACTCTTTAGTTCTGTTTTTGGTGATCCGTAAAAAGCGCCTGCACACCTCGTTTAACATCTACGTAATCAGTTTGCTAACAGCTAACGTTGAATACGCTTTCACCGGGAGTGTGCTGGATTTTGTGAATAATTTATGGCCCGTATGGTGGGCGGGGTTTCCGGCTTGCACGCTGTATCTATACGGAATATGGACGCTGACAAGCTGCCAAATTTTTATGCATTTTATCATCAGTCTGAATCGGTTCTGCGCGGCGGCGTTTCCCATTCAGTACCGGCATAATCATACCAATGTGCTGGCGGTGTCGCTGTCGGTTGGAGCCTGGATTGCCGCCCACACCATCACGCTTCCAGGTGCAGTTATTCACTATTGCTGTAAATAAATTGAAAGCTCGCCAGATTAAACTTTTACGCTTTTATTAGTGTTGAGCTTTTTTAAGGTTTTAATAGCGTACAACGCTCATCTAAGTGACGCTTTGTTTAAGCAAAGTTATGAATTCTAATGAAGTGCTGACCTTTTGAAACAGCAAGTTTAGTATAAAATATTGGAAATTGAACGGTTTTGTATTGTAGGAATAATTATCGATGCGGAGAAGTACCGCAAACTGGACTTGTCGGACGGCTGCCAAGTGGACGTGGCCGTAAACGCCGGTCAGAAGAACTGGATGATCTGCGTGCAGTTCTCCACGTGCACGGTGATCGGCAGCATCCTCCTCATGTACGCCTTCATCATATACAAACAGGCGAAACGCCAACGGAAGATCTTTACCAAAGGCACGAGTTCCAGTGTCCCGACCGAGTACACCTCCGGGATGGTGGCTTCGAAGAAGCTGAAAGCCAACGCAACCACCTTGCTGACCGTGATCACCTGCAGTCTGGTGGTGTTTTGGAGCCCAGCAACGATTTACTACGCCATCGTTCCGTTTCAGGATGGGCTGTGGAATGAAGATGTGGTGGCGGTGTTGAATATCTTGTTCAACTTCCAGACGGTGATGGATCCGGTGATTATGGCGCTGGCGGTGTCGGAGATTCGGGAGTATGTCTTGAGAGGGATGTACCGCCTGCAGGGCCTTGCCAAGAAAGAGAGCCGCGCGTCAGATCGATAGCCTGTAGCTGCCTAGTACCTGCTACGTACGAAATGCTTTAATTCACAATAGCATGATAACAATATCAAGAGTTAGTTTCCAAGAGTTAGTACCTGCTTACTGGTTTTATACCAACAGCAGACCGCAGGTGCGAATGGCGAGCATCGTTACTTATATATGAGGAGGCTTGATTGATTAACAGCTCAATTTGCGGAATTAAAGGACGTGTAACCAGTGTTCCTTACATTGTATTTGCTGGACGAAACGTCGGGTAATGTCCAATACGTACAACCTGCGATGGTGTTTTGGACTTTTCTAAACTAAAAAATTTCTTGTCAGATTTTCATACACTACCATAGCCCAGTGTCTAATCTTTTTGGGAGTGTATTAACTATTAATTATCCTGCATTAAGATGGCAACAGCCAAACAAGGATGGAGACCGGGCGTTTTTTACTGATTTATGGTACAAAGTGTTCTTTTCTAGCCTGAGCCAATGCACACTAAAGTCTTAAAGCAGAAATGGCAGAGCAGAAATGCAGAAGCAGAAAAGCTCCAGCTAGGTCTTGGCCTTTTAGTACATACCGAATGCGCAGTGCCGACAGGGTTTTGCATGCAGCGTTTCTTTTTGAATTACAGAAATACGTTGGCACTGAGATTATTGCAAGCCGATATCAAGATACGCAAAAAAATTAACAATCTGTGGAACGATAATCCCGATACCAATGCGAAAAGCTAATCAGTATAAGGCATGAATTGATCCCACTAGCCACGGGTTCGATTTCTACGTAGGGTGCGGTTGCACGGCAATTAATCCTGCCCCAGTCGCACATGCACATAAGTGACTCGCAGTAAGTATTACAGCAGTAATGTGCTTCGATGACACAGTTAATTTTATTTTGTTCTGCATTTTTTCCACGCAAGTACTTCAGTAGCGGCGTAATGTATTATCGGTATACTGCTCCGTGAAGCATAGCTCAGCATATCATCCCTTTGAGTCTAACATTTTGCAGAGTCGTTCTAACTTAACGACTTTTTCTGACAACGAGATGCCGCACCGATGGGTAACAGCTTTTGTCGATTGACGTTCACTGCAGCCGTGTCGCTTTTGGTTTATGCAGTGCTTTTCTTGACCAGCTCCTCATCGTCAGCTTGTCCGACGGCTGTAGTGAAGTCCTGCCGCAACGTCCCTTGCCAGTACAGTATCGCCACTCGTTAGTGCCATTTTTGCATTGCAGCATAATTTAGGTGCATTTTACACAGAAAGTGTACGTCTTGCAGTGGAGAGAATCGTTGAAGACGCAACGCGCAACACAGCCAGCGAGAAAATCCATTTGGTTTTCCAGCGACCCGCCCCAAGCGCTGGTCGCGGCATTCTTCAAGTGATCCGTGTCGACTCCGGTGGTGATGCCTCCTTCCCGTGCGCCGTGCACAACCTCACCTATAACGCTCCGTTGCAACTTCCGGATATCTTCTGGACGCATCAACAACTTGCGCTAGCGTTCTTCAGCAACGGCCGCCTTTTAAGCGAAGGCAAATTTGACCTCCAGTATTCCGTGCACTCCCGTCCGTCGCCGGCATTCGCCTACGCTAACGTCATCATGATATTGACCTTTAAGAACGTCTCTTGGAAGATCAGCGGGGACGTGGCCTGTTCCGAGGTGTGCCGTCTGAACCCGGCCATCGTTTTCGAGCCTCCACATACCGGGATGGTTGGGGATGCTACGTTCTGCGACCGCAACAAACAGAATTTCCGCTTGCTGGTCTTTCCTTCCGCCAGCGAACTGTTCCCCGTCCCGCTGGCCAACGTTAGCTTGCGCCGAGGAGAGGATGCCCACATTGGCTGCGTGGCCAACCGTCTGAACGCAGCCACCCTATCTGCTTTCATTTGGCGCTTCAACGGCCGCGTGATTGCCGCTCCCGTGGACCATCCACTACGTGCTCTGGTTAGCCTCGTCGTGGATCCTCGCGGCGGCCGCGTGCCGCCCGAACAGTTCCCTCTGTACGGCATCTCTGCAGCGAGGGATTTTACCTTTGCCGTATCATTCAACATCACGGAGACGACAATCATAAGCACGCTTGTCATCAGCGACGTCGACCTGCATACGTCAGCGCGCGTGGAGTGCTGGGTGCGGCCGGATGACAGCCAGGAGGTGTGGCGCCGACAGATTGCCTACCTCCATGTTGTATCTACCCCGGCCGCCTAATCGGCCTGCAGATGCCAGTGCGAATTTTTTGTTACTATTAGAACGGTTCACTGCGGCGAATTAGCGTATGCGGAAGACCTAAAGGTGACTCGTATCCACTCTTGTTCCTAGCAAATTCTTGCAGAAGTTGTCTGAATAATCTGCATCAGACTGCACGCACCAGATTTCGAAATAACTGAGACACTGATATAATAGGAAAGTGCACTCGCTTTTTGCGGGAACTGCATGACCAAAGCAGGATCATATGATAAGAAATGGCTGTTGGTATCCCCTTTTAAATATTTTTACTGTAGACAGTTCGTTTCGGTTACTGTTAATGTTCGCAACCCGGTTCTTCCTGACTATGACACCAGTAAAACGACGCAACTCTGATTTCGGCACTGGCAAGTGGCAACTGATGATGAGCGACAAAAAATTTCACAAAAAAAAGGATAACACCTATGGCACGGGTAGCGCGCGTTAAATTTTCCTGGGCATGGATTTTGACTTGTATCCGCAGTATCATAGTATTTTCCTAGTCGAAAGCACTATCAAACTGTGTAAATTTTAGTGGTCTGTTTCCGGTATAAGCAGAACATGTGGGAACATGGAATACACGCCCACATCATCACCGGCTGTGAATTAAGAAAATTTTTGTTTAAAATTAGTGAAAATATTATTTTCATCTGCCATGGCCCACACGGCATGGCCTAACAAAAACAAACGGATACGCAGTGCTGCATAAGTGTTTATGTACTACAGTATTACAGTGCAGGGCAGCCTTCGATTCCTAATAAATATATTTTTACGATTAGACAGCACTACACAAATATTTTAAATTTTTTTCGGAAAAAAAATGCAGATAACAACATGTAAGCATCTTTTACGGCCCTACTGGTACAAAACACGCGAAAACATCAGAACACAGGTTACAGCGAAATGCCATTCTGCTGGCGATTAAGCGGCCGGGGTAGTTTCAACATGGAGATAGGCAATCTGCCGGCGCCACACCTCCTGGCTGTCATCCGGCCGCACCCAGCACTCCACGCGCGCAGAAGTATGCAGGTCGACGCGGCTGATGAACAGCGTGCTACTGCTGGTCGTCGCCGTACTGCTGGATGATACGGCAAACTTCAACTCCTTCGCTGTGGAGATGTTGTACAAAGGAAAATATTCCGCCGGCCCGGAGCCACCGCGACGATCCACCACAGCGCTAGCCAAGGCATGCAGCGGGTGGTCCGCGGGGGCGGCAATCACCCGGCCGTTGAAGCGCCAAATGAAAGATGGTATGTTGCCGGCATCCAGGCGATTGACAACGCAGCTGATATTGGTATCAGACCAACGGAGCACGGTGATGTTGGCCAGCGGAATGGGAAAAAGCTCGCTGGCCGACGGAAAGACCAGCAAGCGGAAGTACTGGTTGTAGCTGGTGCAGAATGTTTTTTTTCCGACGCTCCCCGTCCTGATGGGCACGGGCACAGGCCGAATCACTGGGGTCAGATGGCACAGCTGGGAGCAGACCACGTCGCCGCTGGCTCTCCACGAAACGTTTTTCAGGGTCAGCGTTACGGTAACGTTAGCGTAGGCGGAGGTGGGCAATGGAAGGGATTTTGTGGAATGGTTAAGGTCAAAAACGCCTGGACTGGTGAGACGGCCGTTGCGGAGAGACGCTAGCATGCGCTGATTAATTGTCCAATAAATTTCCGGAAGTTCCTGCGGAGTGCTGAATGTGACATTGTGCACCGCGCACGCCAGGGAAGCACTAGCGCCTGAGTCAACGCGGACCGCTTGGACAAAGCTGCCAAAAGCGCTACGGTCATGTAGTTCAAAAGCCAAGTGGATTTTGTCACTGGCTGGATTGCGCGTCGCGTTTTGGACAATTCGTTCCACTGTAAGGCCAATAGGCTGTTAGATATGCATTAATAATAAAAAGTACATACATGCAATATCATAATAAAAAAAAATAATACTACACGCTTGTTTTGCTTGCTTGCTATGAGCCCCATTGTTTACAGATTGTACAATACGTTTCATGCTATAAAAGACTGACGGGTGGCGATAGTGTAGTAGCACGTGATATTGTGGCAGGCCTTTTGTATAGCTGTCGGACAGGCTGATGAGTGGAAATTGTCCAAGGAAAGCACCATGTAAATCGAAAACAGCACGACTCCAGCACATTTCAACAGACAAAAGTGTCTATCCATCCAAGCCGTACCTCGTGGTCAGCAAAGGTCAGCATGATTTTACTGGTATTAAGACACAGTAAAGAACTATCCTGGAAAATACTGGCGCGGATGAAATGATAATATAACGTTCTTTAACTGACAGTTTTATGCAGGTGATGACAACAAATCTGTCCTGAGTTAATGTAAGTGCAAAATGTACGCTACTCAAGCACGTATGCCAACTATTGCCGTGCAACATCTGCCGCTAAAATGGGATCTTGGGATAACTTCACTCATTGCTTTTCAGTGAGCGAGTGAGCTAGTGCAACCCATATTGAGCCATATAAACAGAAATTCAATTATGTATCTGTATGCTTAAGTGCATACAAGGAATGCCTCCCGGCGAGGCGCGCGCATTCGCGCTCGGCAATATTATATTGGAAGGATAATATCTATCCATCTTGTTTGTTTGATTTCTTCTTTATTTGCAATAACCACTGACACGCGCAAACAGCTCTTGTAATGTTCGCTTCTTAAAACCGGTCTCTTAACAATGGAGTGCGTGAGTTAATTTGCCCCCAATGAGACCCAGCAATGTGTTTACCATTTAAATTACCAATAATTTTAATTAGATTATAGCTCTGCAAGCTTATTGTCATTTGAATTGGCTATTGCCGAATAAAAATAACCATTGCCCATTTTTAACTTTTAAAAAGTTAAAAATCATAACTTCTCAGGCGGTACAATTCTATTCAATACAGTATTACCGCCAACAGTGTTCCTTATTTTACAAATGTGTACTAGCATTTCTTCTGTAAAGGACATGACATGGTTTTCAAATGTGAACGAACAGTTAAATTTTAAAGGGTAAACCGCTGCAGAAAATAAGACTTTTCATACACTAACCATAAGTTTGACTTGAACTAACCACGCGCTGGTTTATCTTTACCATTAATAGTAAGTAGTAACCCATGGCATTTATGCTTTGAGCGGTATTGCGGTAAGATTGTTGAATTATATTAATGGCTTCGCAAACTTTTGCAAAGTTTCTTGTCGCAAGCTTTGACACCACACTTCCGGTGCTTTCAAACGATATACCGCTTAAACGTGGCGCAGGTTGTCGGTTCTTTTAAATTTGGTCGTTTTTGATATCCGAAATTATGTAACATTTCGGACTCTGCGCATGCTGGACTGGAGTTTTATTTAGGACTTAAGTATTCTATTTTACTTACTTTCTAAACTTTGTTCATTTGGTAGCTTTTTTGAATGTCGTTCATTTTGATTTTGGCGGAAGTTTTGGCCAAGAAAATTTCGGCCGACGTTGTGACCACACAAGAATTCTTGCTTTTTGACATTGGCTAACTCGGAAAAAAAATAAAGACTTAGGGCTTTTTTTTAAGGTTTAAATTTGACCTTTGAAGACGCGTCGCGCGTGCAAGTGTTGTTACAGAGTACTGTTGTGACTATTGCCTGGTACATTATTTGTACTTCTACTGTGAAGAAATGGCAGATCTGTGGCTGTGCCTCATAAATTTTGTTAGGGCTGTGAGATGCCCGTTAAAAGCCAAATGGAAATTTTTGAGCCAAATTCTGGCAAACCAAACTTTTTTTTGTCAGCACCATGAAATATCAACGTTCAGCAGTCAGCAAACATGTCTGGGCAGTGAATAACATAAACCATACAAAGCGGCAGATATGAACAAAACATAAAAAAAGAAACATTTTCTTTAGAAAAATACGAAAAAAATAAATATAATAATACAGAATAAAGAATAATAAAAATAAAAATAAGAAACATGTCCTTGGCAACTTTTACTTTAAGTAGTTTTAACATACGTAACACGTAATAACTCTCTCTCTCTCTCTCTCTATATATATATATATATATAAATATATTAGGTAAAATAGGTAAAAAATAATATATACAACAGAAATGTATATAAGGAGGTGGGTCCGTGGGAACTGCCAAAAGGAGGTGTGAAAATGTTAAGACTATAGCCAATGGTGATATAAAAATGTCTTAAAAACGGCGGTGCGAATATCCAAAAGGTGGTGATAGGAGGTGAGAGTAGCAATTTCCTAATTAGAATTCTTTGGAAGGGGAACCGACGGGCAGTAGGGTCGTGATTTCTTTGAATTACTGCAAAACCAACTTGTTAAATATGAGTGCAAATAGTTTCAATTCTAAATCAATAGTGCAAATAGTTTCAATTCTAAAAATTACGATATATAGGGGAACACACAACTCTACTCGGCCCGTTTCCCTGTACTGCTGCCGTCACCCGCCTGGAGTGTGACGTTACGGCAATACATACGGTTAAATCAGGCGCGGTACACAAGCACCACGTATAGCCACAACGTAAAACACCAGCCGGCTGACATCAGAAGTACAAGGGACTGGTTCGGCTAGTCTCATTTTTCCCTGTATATGTACATCTCCATGCTTTCTGTAAAGCAAGCGCGCAGGCCGATCTTAATATATAGACATAATGTATTAGCGCATAAAAATACCGAAATTTTCATTCGCTTACCACTCACGGTCTTACCTTTAATTTGACAATTCGTTCATCCCCTCGTGAAAATAAAAGTTACTAAAAACATCCAGTTACCAAAAGAAGTACTTGTAAAGTTACGCTAAACTTACAAAAAAGTTTTCATGACAGCCGATTATAACTTGGACCTTTCATATAACTTACGGAATACTTCAAGTTGGTCAAAAGTTACTTACTCGTATTACAGCACTGACGCACAGTCACGCAAGGTTTGTAATTTATTTTCTGTAGTAATCTTAAGCAGTAATAAGCAGCCACCAATTGACGTAAGTTGCATCACTGCATATTACTGCGTAACTGCATAGTGCATTGCTACTTTATACAGCGCAAATGCACAAAAACATTTCATGCTATGTAGTTTTAAAATATTAAAACATGATTAATTTTTTTATTAGTAATTGCACATGTATGTATACAATACATATTCCACTTCATTTTGTATTTCTGCGGTTCATACAGATAATAAACATTGAATTAAGTAATTCGGTGGCATCGTAAAACAAAATTAACCAATGTGACTTTTAATTACTAGCAACTAAAATAAATAAGACGCCGTACTGCAATAAAACTTTATAACAACAAAATATTACAAAAATAGCAATACATTTTTGTGGCAGTAGCCGCAGTACACAAAGCAGCTATGTGAAAGGTACACATGTTACCCCACGAGGTGGCGGCCGCAATAAGGGCGCACGCTCGAGCTCGTAAACGTAGCTCAGCTCGCTAATAACGCAGTCGAGCCGTTGAAATTCAACACACTTGTGAGTTGTAGGAATCAGTTTGTTTCACTTTCTAGTTTTAACTGCACTTCGGTTTGATTTTAAGGGTTGAGTAGAAAATGATAAGGTCTGAAACCAGACGTAATTTGTAGCTTTCTGAATTTTGAAACATTGAGTCAGAAAGCAGTATCAGGTTAAGACTGCTTCTTCACGGGTCTACGAGCTGAATCGCCGTTGAGAGTGTCTGTGCTGGATGAGGAGCCTGCAGCTGGGTTGTTGGATGAACCTGCCTTGATAGTAGATTCCCAATCATTCTGTTACAGGTATGATGACTGGTAATAAAACGTTATATGGAACGCAGCCATATGATTTTGGGGTCGACTTCCTTCTAGTAAGCGTAGAAAAATTGAAAATTTGGAAAGTTTTAAAAAAGAGCGATTTAAATTTTTCATCTTTATTTTACGCTGGACGGAGTCGACTCTCTTTGATTTGCTCACATCCTTATGAAAATCCCTTTACACGTTCTAGTTTTAAAAATTGACTGTGCTACTTGGCAGTCTTAAAGGCAGTCAAGCTAATTTTATGGTATTTTGTAACAGGTTCTTCGGTTATTTTTGGAGACGACTCCATGGAACGATCTCTCTTCCCCTTCGTACGCGTTAAGCATTACTTGTTGGCACCTTCGTTGCGAACGCACACGAGCGCACACTGGGCCTTTGGATGGAGCTGTGAAGCACACTGCCAGTCTAAACAAAGGTGAGCTCCACAAACTGGATTTAGACGTTGAGTAAATTGAGTAAGTTGGTGTGGAGTTAATTGTTAAGTAACTGAATTTGTGTACGTGCAGACCAAAATTATTAATTTGTGGTAAATATTTTCCCGTTTTTTAGGAAACTTCCGGACTTCATTGCCCATTTGATGGACTGGAGTCGACTCCGGAACCGAAACAGGCTTTTTGTGGTTTAATTTTTGAATTTTGCAGTATATTCTTTCTTTCTAAATTTCTGTGTTTTAAAACAGCAAGTGCAGCACTCAGACGATAGTTTGATGTTTATTTGTGGTTTTTTTCTGTAATTTCAGTGCCATCTTTTGTGCGTTGAATTGAAGTATGTCCAAAATTACGAGTAATGTGCGGCAAAAGTTGCAATAAAGTTTCTGACAATGATAAAGCAAAAGTTCTGAATACAGTACAATGAAACGTCTAAAAACGAGTTCCAAATTAAGTTGGGAATTATAAGTTCTACACTAACTTTTACGGCACAAAAAGGTACAGCCGCTGTTCAAAGATTGTTACAAAAAAACTTATACATTTTCACGAGGGATCCTTTGTCAGGAGCACCACTAGCCCCACCAAAGCGCAAAACAGCACCAGTCCGGCAATAGGGTTTCTTCGAAACCCGGTTCTGATTTTACACCGGGCACGACGGCCATGACCGTTATCTTCCGGGACGTCAACCCGCGCGATCGCATTATGTACTAAGAGAAATAGCAAAATGAAAATATGTTGTCACTACCTAAAGCCCGGTATCGAACTAATACACGTACCTTGCTGGTCCGTCTGCTGTTGCTTCTGGAGAAAGCTTTTTCTTCTGCCCGATGCACAGCCAACAATTATACCAAACATGACAAATAACGCGGATCCCAAGCCAAGGCGGAGATAGAATTCCATACGGCCTAAACTTTTTGATTGTTTACCTATTGTAGCCGTCGTGCCATTGATAGACGAATTAGTAATCAAACTAACGGCAAGTTTATTAAAATTATCGGATACTGATGAGTTCAAAGATACAGCAGGCGGGGGAAAAATTAATTCCGCCAAAAGCGTCTCATTCCTCAGTGTGTCGTTAATAAGCCCAGCGTATGCGGAAAGTGTTATTGCCGGTAGAATGTTTGCTACCACCATTTTCTGGCTGTAAAACTACGTACGCACAATTTTTTACATTACTCTGATAATGCGTTCTCCCTGACAATAATGCCAAGACTGCGAAAAGGAACCATGACATGTCGCCGGTGACACGAATGATGCAAATGTTTAGACAACGCTAATTGATTCAAATATAGCATTTAACCTGGCCAGCGTTTTAAAAACTAACAAGGTAAAAACAAAAATACCACCTCTGTGCTATCTTGATTAAAGATTATATCCGTCACGCATATCGTGTTTGATCGTCAATTTCCTGAGAGATGCTCGTGGTTTCCGCCAGTCGGTAAATGTGTTGCTCGTATTGCAGCGTATACAAAGGGTCAACTGCACAAAAAAACATCAGGTCGATGTTGCTGCTCGATCCTGCGGGGCATTTCCGGTTTTCTTCTAGGAAAGATAACGTAAAACACTGCAGTGCCATTTATTGATATGAGTCTGGTAGTTTGCCACGATTACCTCTGCCTTCCGTTCTTCGTTAATACGACAATAGAGACTGAAAACCTTGCATGCGTTCCAAAATATCGTTTGCACGAACAGGTTCATTACAAACGAACCAATTATTGCGGAAATTCCGGAAAAAAATTTTCCGCTGGCGCTCTTCGGCACCATATCGCCGTACCTAAAAGTTCTGGTTCTGATTAAAGCTTTTTTTAATAAAACCGTTTACAGATGCAGAGAAATCTATCCTGAAAATCGTAAGCACTATAAAATAGTATTACTATCTTAATGCAATAACACAATATTAGGAAAGTGCACACGCTTTAGGCGGGGACCGCATGACCGTAGATATACAGATATATAGATATACAGATATATCTATAATATTTAGTTGAAAAATTTGACTCGGTTTAATTTTTGAGCTTTACTGAGGCAACGAGTTCTTTAGCGCCAAACATGAATGATATTAATTATTTCGTTCCGTATCATTTTAAGAAGTAGCGCAATGCTAGTATAAACAAAGTACCAAAACAGAACCACGTTCATAACAAAAATACTCTCTCTGTGCAGACTGTGCCTGTGCTATCCTGGTCGGGGACTGTACCGATTACACACATCGCGGTTTCTCGTTGTTTCTTCGATGATAATTTAATTCATGAAATTAATAATTATTGTCATCCAGCAATACTGTAATTTTAACCACTTAAAATCGAATAGTTTTATCCAGAGGTAATTTCTCAGTTTATCATTATTATTCTCTTTCTTACGGTAAATCATTAGCATCCCTGGTGGCAGTTTCGGTTTAAATGCGGAAAGGTTATGAATAACCAATATCGTTAGATTCTTTGAGCACACCCTGCTGGATTGGGTTAATGAACGATTCATAAGCATAATGAGCGCTAGCGGATTGTAAAGAGCATCGGAATAGCCGTGGCGCGTAATGCTGCTACATACTGGCACACGGTTCAAAATGCAGACAAGTGAAATGCGGTCGGGTGCCGGTGCTCTTCGTGCAAGATATATCCGCAGCATCCAACTTTCTTCGTATTCTTAAAATCAACGGCGTGTAAATTTGGAACCTTCGGAAGAAGCCGCGAGTGCAAAGGGTCGATGTACGGGTCAACTTCCCTTCCTATCCTCCGTGGCGGTGGCCGACGAAGGCACACCGCCAGGTACATGTGGTATGGGTACACACGACCACGGCGCATATGTGCATTCTTTAGCAAAGACCACTGCGCACATGAGCATTTATTGGCGGTGACCGACGGACGACACTACGTTTTCCATAATTGCTGAACATAAAGGACCTTCGCTACGCTTCGGTAAAAGTTAGTTTTTATATACTGCACAAGTCATAAGAAAACAAGAAAAACAGAAAACATTAAAAACGTAATAAGAGGAGTAAGAAAGTCAACAGAAGTAAGATATCTGTGGTGTTACTTTAAAACTACAATGACCACTGCCAGTCCCGTTCCCACCATTACCACCAGTACCAGTACCACTTTACTTACCACTACCAGTACCACCACTGGTACCACTTCCACAACCAGTACCAGAACTAATACCATTAACTAGAATTACCATCCGGCGCCGGCAGGAGAAGTAACCGGATACATGGCCTTTTTCCTTTTGCACAGATTTCAATAGGATAATGAGTTTTCAAAATTTGCTGTCTACAGGTAGTATCGGTTATAGCAAATACGTAACAATTTAATTTATGATTTTTATGCAATCGATGAAATAGTCTATTATGTGCTGGTGATTAGTAGCATAAAAGATGCTAAAATCCAGTTGTTCCGCATGGACAATAGTTAGCGCAAGGTGCTAGACGTTCTTCAGCCATAGTTTCATTCCGTTTTAAATTCCGTTTGTGCTTTAAATTTTGATTTTATAGATAACTTTCAGTTAAGCACTAAAGCCCACTTTTATGCAGTAATGAGCTTGGAAACTAAACAAAGTTATGTTATTGTTAATTCCTTCGCGTGCTGCACGGGAGCGTAGACAGATTGCAAAAATAATACAAATATGCATTCATCACCACTAACTAAATGCGTCAGCATTGCAGACTTTTAATTTTCCAGACTAACGTATTGTAAATGTACGAGCCTTTTCGCTTGCACGCGCTGCCAGACACTTGTTTTCATGATTGCTTTATAATTAACGCTTTATAATTTATTGCTTTATAACTGGTTTTGTTGTTCGTTACTTGCTGTTCACGTATAAATGCATAATGCTTTATCTTTATATGTTCATACGAGTACACGCTTACCGACCAAAGCGTATTTATGCGCTGTTTTTTATCTTCTCGTAAACGCGTGGTCAGTTTTAGTCCAGCTTAGCCTTGAAAGTTTCCATATTTTCAACAGGTGTGCCAATAGATTTTTGTTTGTTTTTGATAACCAGGGGTCAAGATGGATTCACCAGTTCTTAAGTATGGGAGACGTAAAGAGTATTCATTGCAGTGACTGCACAGCAAAAAAAAGTACTTAACATAATAACTGTAAACACGGAGACTACAGCGGATACATAAATACTTGCTTTTTAGTGTAGACGATAATTAATTAATTATTGTGTGAACAGGAAATTAATTAAGAATAAAACGTCCATTAAAGCCTAAAGGTAAAGTACAGCGCCCCTTTTGTCGCATGTACAGTATCTGTATACGTCAGAGACTCAGAATGTAAAAATATCAGAAGGCCAAAATGTCAGAAGGCAGAACGTCAGGTAATCAGAAATTGAAAAATTAAGAACATTAGAAATTCAGACTGTCAGAATATTAGAAGTCAGAACGTGAAAAATTAGGAACGTTAGAACGTTAGAACACCAGAACGTCAATACATGAAAAATTAAAAACGCCAGAACGTCAGAATATATCAGATTGTCAGAACGTCAAAACAGTAGAACATCAGAAATTCAGAACGTCAAAAATTAAAAACGTTAGGACGTCATTAGGTTTCATAAAATACGACTACGAAAGCGTAATAGCGTATACTGTATACGATTACAAATTTACAATCATAGTCTTAAAAAAATAGTTTTCCATACTTCAACCTTTTTAATATTTATAATGACCTTTCCAGAATAAAGCAAATACCATCCTATACTTAAGTGCCAACAACCTATACAGCTATACTTGAGTCGTCTGTTCACTCAAACTGCTCCCCCACAAAGCGGCTGGTCACGCTCTTGCAGTTTATTTACGCAATTTTACATCTAGTGAGACCGGACCGAACCCGAGCCGAACTCTATCGAGCGTTATCGTTGTGCTTCGCGTTAGATAACACAACGATAATGCGGTTGTGCCAGGCCATTAATTTTGTAGTTTTCAAAGAACAAGAGCTGCACCTGAGATCTCCCTGTGGAAAACAGTGTTGGCTCTTTTAAAATTTAGCTCTCAATCGTTTCCGTCCCGTAAACTAGCCCAGACCGGATCCGTTTCACGTTCAATCCCGGCCCGTCTGCGGTAGACTGGTTCATGTATAGCACATTAGTAGCCCAAGTCCTGACCCTTTGCTGTCTCACTAAATTTTATAGCTGCGCAATCATAAATACCAACACCAATACCAAATCAACGTATCAACGTATAATTTAATTTCTAGCTTTGCTTCAGTTTTCAGTACTTGCCGACAGCGGTATACTTTTTTAGGGCATTTTTCTGTATGGAACTTGAACAACTTAACAACGTTTCAGAAGAAAACGGCACACCAAACGCAACAATTAATCCAACTTACCCTACGGTCGTCATGGTTATCAAAATAAACCAGGACGAGGCCATAGCGCTGGTAAAAACCGTATCCGGTTGATTCTTCTCACAATGATATACCACTGTAGACAGTATCGCAATGGTAAGGGTTAGCATATAAGATATCATCAGCAGTTCCATTCTACTGTTCCGCAGGGTGTGTTTAATCAGTTTAAATTCTGTAATGCAAGTGAGTTTGCATTCCTTGATGCACGCATTATGAATGCACATACGAAAAGTATGCAAAAAAGTATACGCACCATCTGAATCTTCGGATATCATAAAACTCCCTACGATTTCAAAAACCAAAATGTATTGACCAATAATCAAGTTAATTGAATACAGTAGTAGTAGTCTGTTCTAATACTGACATTAAACTTTCTACAGCAGTTTTCCAAAGCGCTGGCAAAAAACTCCGGTATTATAAGTATTCTTACAATCATCAGTATTCGTATTTTCCGTGCAAAACAAAACACAGCCGATAATAGTTGGAAGGGACAGACAGAAGAACAGTGCACGTTAAATATGTGCAAAACCTGGTGAACTCTGGGCGTTAGTGTTACACGTCTTGTGCATTATGATAACAATTGTATCGTCAGCCTGAAAGCGTATAGTTTTACATGGACAATAAATTAGATCGCAACCGATCCAGACATTATTACCGAGTCGTAACAACTGCAATGCAGCTCTAAAGCCGCTTCAGTGCCGATGCTGAATGCACTAACCGGTGCTTTAACTTCAACTACAGATACAGTCATACAGGTGGCAAATCTAGACGTGTTGCACCGTTTCCAGCTACTGTTCATGTCAGCCAGCTGGTCTTTTACGCTGTGGCTTGGCAGTGTTTTATGTACAGCGCTGTTATTAAGGTTAGGCATTGACGATACATGTGGTATCAGCTGAACCAAGCTTACGGTTACATGTTTACCTGCATTTTCTCTGAAGTACGCGTAATCTTATTAGAAGCGCAGTACATAAAACACTGCCAAGCCGCAGGTAAAAACCCAGCTGGCTGACATCAGCAGTAGCCGGAAACGATGCAACACGTCTAGTTTTGCCCCGTGTATTACCTAGTTGGCTTAAGTTAATTTCGAGCAGTATAGTCTACAACGTTTCATACGTACGGAAGGCGCGAAGCATACGGAGAGCAGAAAATATTCCAACGAACTCGTATTCGTTGAGTTCAGTACCCCATATCAGTCGCAGGACAGTAATTAGGAGACAAATCTGCAAAAGCCAAAAGTGTGCAATGTCATGTGTGTCTATTTCTCAATACACAGCTTCTGTAGACTGTATATAGTTATGGTTCTAGGTTTCTGCTACATACCACATCCAAAATCGACTTAAAACTTAGCAGAAAAACGCACGTCTTTGGCGCATGCCCATATCTTTAGGACGTATTCCACAGTAAATATGACCAAATACAGTATATCCAAAGAAATAAAATAGCTGCGGTACGCCTTCAAGCAGGAAACTGAATGTTGCTCATGTTCGACGGGCGATATATCGCAATCGCTAGATTCCAGGAAATGCGCCACCACCACCATCTAATGCTAGATCCAGAATGGATCCAGGGACGGAGACAGAAACGGAATCTATCCTGTGGAGTGAGCGAAACGATATGGTTCGCGAACTATGCGGAAACACAAAACGTCGCACCGTAATCGCTGACTTTTAATAATATTGACAAATCTGCTCAACAGAAAATCAACACTGATCGGCGCAGCTCGATCGTAAAGCGTGGAGCCCATTCAACAGCGTGCAACGCTGTGCAGCACGTGCTATGCCGCGCCCACTAACAAAACATAAACCAATCAGAAGCGAGACACAACACAGGCCATAATCCAAAGGCGTAGCGCCTAGCGCCACTGACGTGAACGCTAGTGATCCCGGTCTCACATGCCTCTGGGGGGATGCCGAGCTCCTGTGAGGCTGGACACACTCCCGAATCCACGAGAAGACGGTCGCCAGTGTCTGTGCGTGCTCGAAAACATCAAATTCTCTTATTCCATTTATCACATAATTCCAAATGCACAATGTGAATAAAGAGATCTGTATCAAAATACTATTCCATATCAAATCTAATACAAAACAGATCAACAGTTAAAAGATCAACAAAAGTATTAATCAAAAGTAGACTAGGATCCTCCATTTCTGACTCGTATAGGTCACAGGTCCTGTCCACCGTTTTCCGCACTTTGGCCTATTCCGCTCTGTTGAGCAATCCTGCGCATCCATAATGCGACTTTCCATCACAATCCGCTTGAGAATCAGGTGCGTATCAAGTACGACTTAGGAATACTGCTTCAATCTTTGGAATCTGGTGCGTATCATTCGTACGACTTCAAAATGAGATTCAATAAAGGTCATGGAGGGACGTCAATGAAGACAAGCGTAGTTCGCTTCCTCCCTAGTAAAGGTCATCCTTTGTTAAGATGATCCGTTGAGATGTGCGACTCGTTTTGGGTTAATGGTCCCAAAGGTCATGCGACTTTCATTCCATTACGGTGACTCTCGTTGGGCAATTGATGATCCCAAAGGTCATCCGACTTTTCGTCAAACTTCCATTAAAGGTCATGGAGGAACTTAGCCAATTATCTGCGGCTTTCAAGCACTTCTTCGCTTGCCTCCCTGGTAAAAACTTGATTTGACCTTTGCGTCGCACATCCAACTTCAGTATGCCTCGAGCGGCCAAAGTGCCGGCAAGTTTACCGTAGCATCTCTAATGGGGCCGGCTAGTTACCGCATTGAGTTTACCCCATGAAATTTCCACCTTTAATCTTTTACTCTTGGTCGCCGCTTGTGGCTAACATCACTACGAGAAATCCGGCTTGGTTACCGTAGTTTTTCTCGTTTTAATTTTAACACTGAATCGCTTAAAGAGAGTGCCGGCATAGTTTACCGTGGCAACTCTAATGAGGCCGGCTGACTGCCGCATCAAGTTTACCCCATTAATATTTCCACCTGTTATCTTTCTCTTTTTCGCCGCTTGTGGTCCGCTTTCGTATTCAAGAGATCCGGCTTGATTACCGTAATTTCTCTTGCCGATTTGTAACACTGAGTCGCTTAAGAAGGAGAGCCGGCTGATTGCCGTGACTACTCCCTTGGGGCCGGCTTTGTAGACCGAATCAATTTTAACCCCAATCGATGCTCCACATGATTTCTTTATCCTTTGCGGTTCTGTGCTATAAACGCTGAAAACAAACAATACACGAATACAATTTAAGTAAATATGTCACGTGACCTTTATACTTAACCATCATAACCGCTTCTGATGACCTTTTCAGTACTTTAACGTGATGACCTTTTCACGCTGCATTATTAAGCTCATTCTCACATGGTGACCTTTCACGTTTTTGACGTTTACACCAGTTCTAGTGCCCCATCGATAATTAATTAACATTCAACTGTTTCTGATCTCTTCGCCATTATTCGAGTACAAAGTTCTTCCAGTTCGAAGTCGACAGCGTTGTACTCAAAAGGTCATGTCGTCGTCATATTATCCAATGGCATCAGTTATGACCATTCTCCACGCATTTTTGTTTTGTTCCGGTAGTATGTACTCCGGGATGTCTTTCGCTGGTGTACCGCATGTATCCAGTTTCTAGGGGGATGCCGAGTCCGTTGGGTTTGTTTCTTGGCTCCGTTTCTCATCAATTGTCAATATCGCCAACTGAGCCGATTTCGGTTGGTCAGTCTTCTCTTTTTGAGACAAAGTCTCGTGACCTTTCGCTTTCTCGGGCGCCAGTGGAGTCTCCTGACCTTTCGGTTTCTCCGTCGTTGAAGCGTCTTTTACGGTGTAAACAACGATTTTTGAAGCACCTGTCGCGCGGAGTCCGCTTCTACCTCTACTGCCGCTTTTCCATTGGGAGCATGACCTTTTCTTTCTCCCCTTTTTCCGTAATCTCCTGACCTTTCAATTGAATTTCTCCTGCCACAGTTCCAGACGTCTCTTGACCTTTAGGCTGTTCGTCTTTTTCTGTCAAAGTCCCGTGACCTTTCAGTTGGTCTGTCACTTGACCTTTCACTTGACACTTTGTTCATTTGACATTTGACCTTTGAGTTCATTTGCGCTTGACCTTTGGTTCATCGGTCACTTGACCTTATGGTTTTCGGTGATCTGGCTTCACAATCTCGTCTGATGACCTTTCCTTTTTGCTGATCCAGATCTTTCGTGACCTTTTGGCTGTTCCATTTGGATTTCTGCCAGAGTCTCTTAACCTTTTGATTGACCTTTCACTTGCTCCGGTTTTGCTTCAGTCGACGTTTGCACCTCTTCCGTCACTTTGACCTTTCAATTGACGATTCACTTCATTTTGTGCTTCATTCAGAGTCCGATGACCTTTCAACTGGACGACAGTTTTTGATGACCTTTCGTCTTCGATGACCTTGTGATGACTGTTCTGACTACTTTGAGGACCTTTCGACCTCTCTGATGATTCCGGCCTCCCGTGACCTTTTCGCTGTTCTGTTGAATTCGCAGTATCTTGACCTTTCATTTCGATTGACCTTTCATTTCTCCCGTATGATTCAGTCCAAGTCTGATGACCTTTCTTGTTTCCCGCGTTTTCCAAATTCTCTTGACCTTTTGACGTTTCTGTTTGAACCGCAGTCGGATTCTAGTGACCTTTCAACTTGATGTCTTTTTTGTCGGAGTATGGTGACCTTTCCACTAGCAACGAAAACGATCGCTGGTTTGCGTCGAATGACCTTTACTCCTTCCCAACTCCCGTTCTTAACATCGTAAACGCCCGTTAATCTTATTTATGTGGGTTACTTGTTTTTGCGTCCTTTAGTTATCCTATCAAGAAGTTCTTTGTCGGCGGCATCTTCAACTTCACCCTTCTGCGTCAGCAATTCTGTAGGAGTTAGTTTCTTTTTCTTCTGTTTGACCTTTCTCTCATCGATTGCTTTCGCTATATCACGGTCCAACTGTTCGGCTTTTGATTTGACCGCCTCTATTTCCTCTTTTCTCTTTTTTATGAGGTCATTCTCATTGCCGGTAGCAGTGCGTGGTTCGAAAAAATTCGAGTCACGCTCTGATATCTCAGCGTCCGTTCGCTGTTTCAAAAGGTCATCTTTATCTGCGGTAGCAGTGCGTGGTTCGAAAAAGGATTGTTGCAGGTCCTTTTTGGAGGAACGCTCTGGTACTTTGGAACTCGTTTCGGTATCTTTTTCCAGTGACCTTTCTGCCAAATTACCAGCTTCTGCGTTCAACTTAATTGTGACTGCAGTTTCAAAGTCTTTGTCTTCTTTCCTTTTCCTTCCTCGCTTCTGTTTCGGTTTATCTCCGTTTAACCCATTCGTTTGACCTTCTCCCATTTCAGGTAGCGGAGGTGGTTCGAAAAATGGCTTCTGTTGTGTAACTGAGTCATTTTTCGGACTCCGCTCTGGTTCGTCTTCTTTTCCACTAGCATTCTCCATTTCAGGTAGCAGAGGTGGTTCGAAAAATTGATTGGTACCATTTTTCGAAGCATGCTCGGCTTCTTCCGTTTCTTTTTCGTTCAACGTTCGTTGCGAATTTTTCTCGTCGGGTAATGGCGGATGCCATGGTTTCAAGCGATCAATGGAGACTACTTTTAGGTCTGCTTCTTTCTTCGGGTTCTGTTCAATGACCTCGGCTTCGTTTGGTCGCGGGAAACTGAGAATCTTCCAAACTTTATCGTATTTCGACTTAAAGTCCGATTGGTTTTCTTTTTTCCCTTGTTTCGTATCCTTTGGTAGCCGTATCAATACAAAATCTCCCACTTTAAAGTTCGGCTCAGACTTCTTCTTGTTGTAAATCTCCGCGTTCTTCTCATAAGCGTCTTTAATATTACACCGTGCCACTTCTTCTGCAAAGGTCAAGTTCTTCTTCATGGTCTCCACCCATTCGTCTGGAGTCCCATAATCATCGGGTATATTCGTTTTCGTAACCACATCTTCCGGCATTGTCATTTCTCTGCCGTGTAGCATATAGTATGCTGAATATCCCGTTGTGGCGTGTACGACTCTGTTCATCGCTGAAATGACATATGGGAGGTACTTGTTAAACTTTCTTTCATTTCCCGCTTTCAGGTATTGCGCCAAGCCATCCGCAATCGTCTGCATCTGTCTTTCAACTTGGCCTTGACCTTCTGGGTGATATGCGGTTCCAAATGTGTGTTTAATCTTAAACACGTTGGTGACCTTTGCTAATACTTCAGCTGTAAAGTGTCGTCCGCGATCCGTATGTAGGATGTGCGGTGCTCCGTGTACCAATATCACGTGCTTCACGAACACTTTAGCGAATTCCTTGGCCGTCGCCGTTTTCATCGGTACTGCAATCACGTATTTCGTCAGTTGATCGATGAATACCGCTATGTATTTGTATCCGCGTTTCTTCGTTGGGAGCAACGGTCCTTTCAGATCAGCGTACACTCGGAAGAACGGATGTCCAACCTTAATCTCTTGCAATTTTCCAGGTGGGCATTTCCTCGGTGTTTTACGAAACTGACATCCTTGACAGGCGAGTATGTAATTCTTCACATCTGTACTCATCCTGTCCCAGTAATATCGGAGTCGAATCGCTGTCAGTGTCTTCTCAAATCCTAAATGTCCTGCTGCCTTCTCATCGTGCAATGCGTGGATTATCGCTCTTCGCATTGACAACGGTACAACATATGACCTTTCAAGTTTCCCATTTTTATCCTTTACTCGGTATAATATACCATTCCATAACTGGTAATGCACTTCAAATTTCGATCTTGTTTCCGCGTCTGGTAGGTGTTCCAATTCGTCTATGATCATTGCCAGATGGGGATCTTTCAACTGTTTATTCCGCAATTGCAAGTTTGAGTCATCAACCTCTTCTTCGTCACCTTGCAGGTTGACAATGCGAACTGTCGCTGTACTGAGTTCATTCCAATCCTTGATGACCTTGCATCGTGGTAACGGTTTATATCGCTTTTTCGCCTGTTTTGGGAATCTCAACAGTTTGATTGGGCATTCGTTCAACGCTTGTGCCACTTTGTCCGTTTCCCAAAGGTCGTCTCTATTCCCCGCTCTATCATCAAGTCCCGTGACCTTTCCATTCTGCATTTGAGATTCCGCGTCAAGTCCGGTGACCTTTAAGTCACTAACGGCGGGCAACCAGCTTCTCACTCGGTTCACTTTTGCTTCGTTTTCAGCCGACTCGTTCGCCGTAGCTGAAGTGACCTTTAATCGTTTCTCCCTCTGTTCCACCATCTGCAGGAATAGCTGTCCAACTTCAATTGCTGGTTCCTTCATATCAAACTCCTTCTTGTAATCCTCGAAATTCGGAATTTCGTCAAATTCTTCTTCGTGACACGTTGGCCCTTCGATCGGTGCTCTCGATAACGCGTCCGCATTGTCACAGTACTTTCCCGGTTTATATTCAATTTTGAACTGGTGACCTTGCAACGCCATTGCCCATCTTGTCAAACGTGGATTCATTCCAACTTTATTCGTTTCTGACCTTAACAAATTGGTGAGCGCCTGATGATCCGTCCTTACGGTGAATTCAGCATAATCAATGTACGGCTTGAATTTTCTGACAGCAAACACGACTGCCAGACATTCCCATTCTGTTACACCGTAATTCTTCTCCGCTCCATGTAGGACACGACTGGCGTACGCGATCGGATGTCCATCTTGTGACAGTACGGCTCCGATTCCCTCTTTGCTCGCGTCGCATTCAATAACGGTCGGTTTCGCGGGGTCAAACTTTGCCAGTACTGGACCTTCACACAACAACTTCTTCAAACTATTGAACTCTTCTTCATGTGCTGCCGTCCAGTCCTTTTTCACGTGCTTATCTTGTCTCAGCAGTTCATATAAGTGGGAAGTCTTCTGTGCGTATCCCATTATGAATTTGCGATAATAGTTCGCCAGTCCAAGGAATGACCTTAATTGTCTTTCAGTCTGAGGCCGTTTGAACTCGGAGACCGCGGTGACCTTTTCCGGGTCCATACGAATTCCGTCCTCGCTGAGTATATGACCCAGAAATCCCATTTGTCTCATTCCAAATTCGCATTTCGTTGGCTTAATCGTGAATCCCGCTTCCACCAGACTCATTAAAACATTTCGCAGATTCTGCATGAAAATTTCCCAAGTTTTTCCGGCGAAGATCACGTCGTCGATATACCCGAAAACGCAACCCTTTCTTTTCGCTTTCGAAAGTACTTTATCCATACACAATTGAAACGTTGCTGGTCCGTTGCATACGCCAAATGGCATTCTTTTAAATCGGTACATTCCATCTTGTGTTACAAAGGTCGTCTTGTTGATTGACGCTGGATCCATTGGGATCTGCCAGAATCCACTTTGTAAGTCCATTTTTCCGTAATATTTGTTGCCTGCGCACGCGTCGAGCAACTCATCCGGATTTGGTAACGGGTAATTATTCTTTCTCGTTAGCTTGTTAAGCATGATATAGTTGACACAAAATCTTGTCCCCATTGTTCCGTCGCCATTTTTCTTTACTGCCAGCACGACTGGAAAACTCCACTCGGCATCTGACGGTTCAATTACATCTTGTGCCAGCATCTCTTCGATATGCTTCGTTATAAACTCGCGGCCTGTCCAACTCGTTCTGGCCGGGTTACATTTAACTGGCTTCGCATCTCCCGTATCAATTACATGGGTGACCCCTTTCACATCTCCATATGGTTTCTTTGATGTGGGTAAGACCTTCCAGAATTCCCAGAACGCGTTATACACGTCGTTCTTCTGCTCTTCGGTAAGGTCAGGTCCCAATTTCAAGTTTTCAATTATCTTTTTCAATTCAGCTTTCGTTGTGTCGTCCACCTCCGGGTCCTCGAGTACGTTCTTTACTGTCCCGGCGTTGACCTTTACATTTTCCATATGTTCGTACGGCTCAACGTAGCCAAGAAGCTGATTTTTCTTCACAATCCGGTATTTACTGCTATGATTGGCAATGACGATTTCGAAGTATTTTCCCCTGTGGTCCGTCACTCCTGCCAACGGTTGCACTTCAGTTTCCACTTGTGGGACCGGTGTAAACATCAGCTTGTTTTGAGCCGGTGCATATTTTCCCATCTTGACCTTTACACGTGTGCAGTTTGACGGTTTCAATTTGATTCGCTGATCGCTGTAAACTTTGATCACGTCCTTCGACATTCTAGCTTTCTCCACTTTCAACCTTCTGACTTTAATATCCTTTTCTTTTTCCTCATCTACTTCGTCATCTTCATCCAAGTCCATTAAATCCTCTTGCTCCGAAAGGTCACTTACACCTGAATCTTCCGAAGTTGTTGAGTTATCGCTTGAACTCGTCCACTCGGAGTCGGAGTTACTGCTCTCATATTCTTGTGCAGTAGCTTGACCTTTGTCAACCTTTTCAAGTGGGCGCTCATCAACTCCTTCATCTTCTGATGAAAGGTCACTTTCGTTTTCTCGCGAATCGCTAAGTTTTTTCGCTTTCAAATTTTTGAGCAGGGGTTTGTCCCCTTCTTTTGCCTTTCGCCCGTTTCGTGCGGCTACTCTCGGGTGACTCCTTGCTACCCGAATTCTCGTCGGTGACCTTTCTGATTGATCGGAGTTTGACCTTTCTTCGTCCGATTTTGACTTTTCCAGTTCATTTATTTCTTCAAGGCTCGTTAATGGCTTTTCGGTCAACTCGACCGGCGGACATTCCTCACCGTTATCGAGTGACCTTTCCCCGTTTTTTGCCTCAGTTACTGGGTTTTGCTGTTCATTGGATATTCGTTCAACTTCTTCTTTAAACTTCTTCCACATTTCGCCCCTGTCCGTTAACATCTGTGCAATGTCGAAAGCCGACTTTGAACTTTCTTCCGTTTCGTTCGATCTTCCTTCGACTATCTCTTGAACTGGTTCCTCTTTCTCTGCTTCTTTGACAGTCCCTTTATTGGCTTCATCCTGTTGAACTGTTTCGTAACCTTTAGGTCGTTTAGGCCCAACAAAGATGCAGTTTGCCATCAGCTCTTCGGTGACCCATTCATCATTTGGGATCGTTTCATACATGCACCATGTATCACCGCCTCGTTCGGGGTAGTCCACTCCATCTGGATCTGGTGCAAAGGTCACCTTTTTCTTTTGCATTAATCCCGGTAATCTTCTTTTCCGGGTTATCTGTAATTCTCGCATCTCTTTTACATCAAATCTGGGGATTTCCTCTTCAAATTTATTCCAATATTTTTCGAATGTTTTTCGTTTCCATCTTTTATCGCATTGTAGTACACTTCCAGTGATTCATAGACAGGTGTACCAAGTCCTGCCGGGAAGATGATCGTTCTCCCTTCACCTTTATACATGTGGTTCACACGGAAGTCCCAAAAAAGGTCAACCCTCGCTTCTTCCCACATTTCTCCTTCTTCGGTCATTTCTTCTATCTCTCGTTCAAATCTCCTTTCTGTTGCTACCGGATCGAGAGGATCTTGGATTCCTTTCTCGACACGTTGCAACCAATGGTTTAGCCATCTGCCTCTTCCAATTATAAAACTTTCTACACATGACAACCACGTTCGATATCTATTCCAATGATATCGTTCGATGTGTGGTTTCCACATTTCGTTTGTCCGCATGATGCTTTTCGCTTTCTTTTGGGCATGACCTTTAAGGTCTGCTAATGCGGCATTACATCTTGGCCATTCTGAAGGGTCATCTTGAGAGGCATTTTCACAACACTCCGCGCATTCCCATTGTGGTTGCACTCTGCACGGATCCTCAAAGTAACCGTGGTGACAACTCCCGGCTCGTTCTTCTGGAGTTAATGTCCTTTGACTCGCTTCAGGTTTAACCTGTTCCTGTACTGTGGTATCTTCCTCACATTCGATTGGAGTCACGCTTTTATCCTCAGAGGATATTTCAATGACCTCTGGTTCTTTTTCTGTTCGGTGACCTTTCAATTGTTCGAGTGCCTTATCGCGGATTTCACTTGTGAACATCTGCTCCTCTTCGGCTATCCGTTTTAGAACTCGTAATCTTTCACTCTTTTTATCCTTCGCCACTTTAGCCGTCTTTATTTCCAGTGCCTCTGGTACTGGGATAGGCTTTGCCCACTCCATGTCTGGCACAAGAGACTGTTTCGCTGCAACTGCCGCTTCTTTCTGTGTGGCAATTATCTCTTCAATCGTTGGTGACCTTTCGGTAGCAGGTCGCGGTTCGAAAAAGGGTTCCTTTTGAGAGTCACGTTCTGTTACTTCCTCTTTGGCTTTATCTGGTAGCCTTTCATTTTGGGTAACAGATCGTGGTTCGAAAAGGTTCGAAATGCGCTCTGGTTCCAAGTTCTTATCTCTTGTCGTTGGTGACCTTTCGTCTTCCTTTCCCAGTGCCTCTGGTACTGGGATAACTTTTCCGACTTTTCCATTTTCATTTTTCGTTTCCAGTGCCTCTGGTACTGGGATAATTTCTTCCTGCTGCACTTTTGTCATTCCCGGTGCCTCTGGTACTGGGATGACCTTTTCTCTTCCCTTCTGTGCCGGCATGGTCCGATTTAATGTCTTTTCGATCTCCTGCTGAATCATTTGCAACTGCTCAAATGGTGACAATTCTTTTCGCGTCATCTTTTTCTTTTCGTTTCCCGGTGCCTCTGGTACTGGGATTAGCGTTTTATTAACCGTTTGAGAGTTTCCCGTCTGTTTTACAAGTTCGGTGACCTTTCCGACTTGAACCTTGGCGACTGGTTTGGGGTCATCTTCTTTCTCTTCTTCGCCTTCATTATCCATCAGTACGAACTTCTTCTCTAAGAAGTCGAATCCCAGTAGCACTTGTACGTCGTCGCACTTCGGTCGGACGTAGAAGGAATGTTCGCTTGTCTTCTTTCGTAAGGTCACTGGTGCTACACAGTAGTGCGTTACCAGGAATCCTGACGTTCCGCTAATTCCATTTATTTTCACCAATCTGTCAGGTGGCAATGGGAGCATGTGGAGTCCATTCTTCTCGCAAAACGGTTTGCTGATCAGCGACGTCTCAGCGCCGGTGTCCAACATTGCGTTGACCTTTATGTCTCCCACTTTCACTTCATGTGTGTATGCTTCAATTCTTTTGGGCAATTTTCCGTTTTGAATCTTCAAGGTGTGAATCTTACATTTCACAGGGATAAGCGATACTGGTCCCGGATCCATATCGGGAAGCACTTGTCCTTTTGCTGGTCTGCTGTGACCTTTCAGTATCTCGCTCAACTTATCAATCCTGTGTGGAACGTTAGTCCGAACATCGTAATATTTTCGCGGCTTTTCTTTATCTGTTCGCTTCTCTGTAGCCATATTATCACCGGTGACCTTTTCCACCTTCTGCACTTGCTCATTTGCTTTTGTGCCATCCATGTGACCTTTAGTCACTTCATTTATCGTCTGATGGATCAATTCCTCTTTACGGTTTTCATTTCGCTTATCTCTCAGCTTCTGAATGACTTCGCTTGTTATTTGGTCAGCTCGCTTCAATTCGTCTTCTTCGCTATCTTTCATCTCATCTGGTGACCTTTCATATGTAACCATGTCATATCCTTTTCGGTCATCCATTCGATCACCTTCGCGGAGACTTCATTGTTCGTTTTCGTCTGATCAATTTGTGAAGACATTCCGTCTGTTCGGGCTGGTGACTTGTCATTGGCATCCTTTTTCAGCGCCTCCGATAAGTCCCGTGACCTTTCAACTGCGTTACTCTGTTTCGTTTGCGCCATTTCATTTGACCGTCCTTTTTGTCCATTTTGCGCTAAGTCCTGTGACCTTTCGTTGCGCTTCATGACAAATCCGCCACCTGTCAGCTTTTGTATGGGGACTTTTTCTCCATAATTCGGCGGTTTATCCTGTGGTGGAGCATTACGTGAATGATTCCAGTCAGCGAATGTCTTCTTATATTCGTCTGGATTGAATACTGGGACTGGGTTCGATGGCCCTTGCGCTGGTTTCCCGGTAACCAACTCTTCCAGTCGCTTTCTTTCACATTGCGTTCGCAACTGTTGCATATCCCAGTAATCCTCTTGTGACATTCTCGCTTTCTGCTTTGCTTTCGGCGTCACAGGTATCCACATCCCGTGATTCCCATTTGGTCTGTAGGCCACTTTTTGCCACCTTTCCTTCTGTTGTAACGTTACTGCATCGTCAAGTGAGTCGTCGGAGTTCTGGTGTGCCAGTTCGTTATTCTGTTGCTGCGCTGTTCGCAGTGTCAAGTCATTTTCTTGACCTTTTGACACGACGCTGTCGCCGTGACCTTTCACATTCGCACTCGCTCCGTGACCTTTCACTTGGACGTTTCCGACAGAAGGTGACCTTTCATCTTTACTGTTAACAGTGGTGTTCTGCTGAATCCATTGTTGCCTTATCAACTTCTCTTCTTCATCTTCTGAGCAATTCCAAAACTTTGGCTTTGGCTCCCCGTAACAATCGCAACTTGGCTCCTTCGCCCTATGGTTTTCTGCCAAATTTCCGGAATTTCGCGTGTTGCTCATTTTCCTCTTGCGCAGTATCGTTCTGCGGTGGTGAATTTTGGTCTTTCGATTTGCCATTTATCTGTTTCCGAAACCATTCGTGGTGCATTTCCACTTCTTCTGCGGTTTCAGTTTGCGGTTTCTTTTGGTTTAACAGCGCTTGTCGAATCTTGGCATTACGTAATGCACGACGTTCAGCTAACACTTTTTCGCTGCAATACGGTGACCTTTCATTTTGCTGCCCTTTTTGCAGTGTCGCGCTACCGTCACGACAATTTCCACTCGCAGTACCATTCTGCGGTGACCTTTGGTCCCGTTGCGCGTTTCCACTCGCAGTACCATTCTGCGGTGACCTTTTATCCACTTGAACGTTTCCACTCGCAGTGCCATTCTGCGGTGACCTTTCACTTTGTGACGGTATTCCTATAACCGTTCCATTTCCTCTTTGCGATGACGGCATCCATATAGCCGTTTCTCTTTGCTGTAGGGGCATCCATCTAGCCGTTTCTTGTGGTTGCGGCATCCATATAGCCGGTCCACTTTGCTTTTTCGCTGACGGCATCCATATAGCCGTTGCAGTGGTCACGTTCACTGCAGTACCATTCTGCAGTGGTGACCTTTCCCTTTTATCCGGTGGTTTAGGGTCGGGTCGATCAGTAGGCTCACCGGTGCCTACTGATCTTGCCCGTTTCCCTGAACCGGCGCTCCACCTTGTTGCGCGCCCTGCACATTTGCTTGTTGTTGTCCGATATCATTTGCCAGGTTAGGATTCTGTCCGCCACCGTTATTATATTGGCCGCCACCCTGTTGGTAGTTCCCTTGGCCGCCGCCATTGTTTTGGCCTCCTCTGAAGTTTCCGCGGCCGAAGCCTCTGTTTCTTCCTCTGAAGCCGCCGCGAAGCCACCGCCGCGATAGCCGCCGCCTTGGCCGCCCCCATTTCCATTTCCGTAGTTCCCGTTTCCATTCCCTTGTTGGTTTTGGAAGTTTGCCTTATGTTGGTACCATTGGGTGATGAGGTCATATCCGTTTGCGACCGCTGGGCGCCAGCCACCTATAGCTCGGAGGCGTTGCCATTCGTTAAAGGCAAACAGATTCGGGTTCTGTTCCGGTGGTGTATTGGCGAACTTGCATCCCTGTGTCTGATGGTTGCCATACATACAGTACTGGCACATCTGCACGTTGTTCGCCACCCATCCATCAATCATCTGGAACTTGAACTCTGTTCGTGATCCTTGATTCTGCTGTTGGTTCCCTCTGAAGTTTCCTTGACCTTGACCTCGTCCCTGGTTCTGGAAGTTCCCCTGACCTCCATTCCAGTTTCCATTTCCGTATCCGTTTCCGCCGAAGTTTCCGTTACCCCCTCCTTGTTGTGGTAACCCCATATTCGGAGGCATATTCTGAGGTGGCTGCTGGGCTACATTCTGGGGAGCCACATTCTGGGCTACTGGCCTCACCTGGGCCGCTGCCTGTATCGCTGCCACCATTGCGTATGTTAACGGTTGCCCGGTCTGACTGTCGATAAAGGTCACTTCCTTTGTGACCTCTTGGACCGGCGCCTCTCTGCGGTACTCGACTGGCTGTTGGACTGGTGTGGCCGCCATCCTCTGTTGCGGTGCATTTTCAACTTGGCCTTGGCGGATGGTCACGTATTCCTGATTACGTTGACCTTTAGGCGCCTTATATTTGTCTTCTCCTGCTGACCAGTGACGGAAGAAATCTTTGATTTCGGTTGGAGTCCTGCACTGTTGCGTGCGTAGTGCCTTATAAAGGTCACCATCCACTCTACATCCTTCAATCAGGAACCCGACTGCCTGCTTTTCAGTTATGATCCTCTTCGCCTTGTATTTCATAATCGCTTGATAAAACTGATCAAGCGATTCTTTTCCAAGGTCAAATTTCCTTGCCATAGCTTCTCGTAAGCCAAGAACTTCCTCGTCACGGTCTCCATATTCATCTTTAAACTTGGCCATCCATTCTGTAATGGTGTATTCCGTTTCTTCTTGGAGTGCGATTTCTCTCTCTCCTTCAAACCAGGTCTTCGCCGGTCCTTTGACTGCGCTGGCTATTTCAATCAAAATCTGATCGTCGGTGAGATGATATGTCCGTTGGGTGTCTCTGACCAGTTGTGTCCAACCGTTCACTGCGTCGCGACTTCCGTCAAAGGTCACCAATGTCGTTTTCCGTGCCATCGAATTGAGTGCATTTACCAATTTCTGTGTCGGATCTTGATCTTCTACTGCACTAGAATCACTGTCGTCATCTTCCTGGTTTCGCTTCGTCTTTGCGTAGCGGGACTTCCTTGGACGTTCTTGACGGCTAGACGGTCTATCCCGTTCTTGACGGCTAGACGGTCTCTCCTGTTTCCTTTCGTCAACAAAAATTTTTGTTTCAATATGTGGGGGAAATTGGGAGGGATCACCGCGATTCGAGTGGGAATAAGTTTCCGATGGTGGCTCCTTGTCGTCTTTGACCTTTCCACCTTCCCGTTCCGCTTTGATGCTTCCTTTTCCAGTACCAGTTCGTTTTGGCATTTCAAAGTGAAAGCTTTTACCCGTGCCCGTTTCATGCGCCTTGCTGTAACTGGGCGGGGGTGATTCTACTGTTGCCGTTCTGACTCCATATTGCAACAGCTGTTCATCTTTGTGTTTATTCGACATGGTGAGCGCCTTATTTTCGTCTTCAAGGCGACGGACTTTCAACTGGAATTCCTCTTTTTCCGTTCTCAAATTCTGATTTTCCTCGTTGACCTTTAGCATGTGCTGATGGAGTTGGAAAGTCTTCTCCTGAATGACCTTTTCAGTGTCATTCTCCACCCTTTTAATGTGTTCCGCCAACTGGGTCACATCTCTTTCCAACGTCATGTATTCTTCGGCTGCTGCTTTCAGCTGGTTTTTTGTCTGATTGACCTCATCTTCTCTTGTCATTGCCGTTTGGGTCATATCAATCAATTCCGTGTTGAGTCTGATGATCTCCTGTGTCTTCTGGTGAACCATTTGTTGCCACTCTTTATCCTTCAACTCAAGTGCGGTGACCTTTGTGTCTAGGAGATCTGCTTCGTGCTCCCATCTTTGGCCTCTTTCGGTAAGTTCGTCATTCGCTTCGGTGACCTTTTTGTTGTCCTCCTTCAACGCCTTAATCTCCTCTTTCGCCTGCTTTATCTCATTGTTCAACCGTATGCCTTCGGTGGTTATACGATCTCGCAGGTCTTTAGCCACTTTGGCGGCTTCATCGGCCCTTCTCTGATGATCATATGATTCCTTTTGGAGGATCCCGATATTCTCGTCGCGCAGCTTCAGGTCGTTCCTGAGTTTAAACACTTCGGTAGTGTTCGTCAGCAGTCGCTGGGTAGCCTCGGCGAGTTTAGTCGCGTAGTCATCTCTCTTGGCTTCAGCTTCAGTGATCTTTTGTTTCAGGGAGTCGCATTCGTCCTTTAATTCTGCCAAGTGCCGTGACCTTTCGGCTGATTCTTCTGACATGCTCTCGTTAAGGTCACTGACTGCAAGGTGACCTTCCATTTCTCTGTCATCTACCATTTTCAAGTACTCCTCGGCGAGTTCTTTTTGACGCTCGTATTTAATCTTCCATTCATCCGCTGCGCTTTCCAAATCAGCCTGTTGCTGCTCCAATTCGTAGATACGGGCGTCGAGAGATCCTATCCGGTTTTGATACTCTTGTTTCTTCTTTGTCGCCTGGCCTTCCTTGGCTTCGATTTCTTTTTCCAACTCCTTCACGCGTCTCTTCAGAGTTGACGTGGGACTGTTCGGTGATGGCGGTCTAACATTGATGACCTTTCCTGTTTGTGTCCGTTCAATAAGGTGCTCGGGTATGTCCTTAAATGGTGTCATCCCTTCAGCACGGTCAGCTTCTTTCATCGCAGTCTGGAAGGACATATTCATCGTCGCTTCATCATCCGTGAAGTATGATTCATTCGATTCATCCGAGACCATTGGAGTTGCCCAAAGGTCATCACCGATGGTCTTATCGTTCAGTGAAAGGTCATCCAGTCCCAGTTCAACAAGTTCCTCTTCAGTGACCTTTGTATTTCCATCTTCCACTTGAGCCAGGTTTACATTTTTATCCCGCTCATTTGTGCTGCTGGTGGTAGCATCCGACTGTGATGCTCCAACCGGTTCCGCTCTTCTTTCTGTGGGCTTATCCTCCCCGGTGACCTTTATCTGGTTCATCGGATTGCTTCCCGCCGTAGACGCGGGAGTGTGCTTCTGGTCGTCGCTTGAACTTTCCTGATTGGCGACCGCCTCGAGCGCCTTCTGATAAGTGCTATCAGAGCCTCGTGAATCCTTCTTCTCGAATGCCTTGGGCGCTCGAGTGTTCCGCTCATGTCCAACTGGACGTGAGTACGGGTACAGATCCTTTTTGTATGGATTTGGTGCGCTTTGCTGTGAGCTACGGGAGCTTTTGCTTCCCTGACTGCTGTTAGATGTTGGTTCCTCTTGTTCTCTGTCCATGTTGATCGGATAACTTGGACGCCCCTGTCAATTGTTCTCACACACACGTTATTGTATGGTTTATTCAATAATCCTAAAGGTCACTCTAAACCTCCGAAATTTTTCTAAGTCCTTATTAAAGGTCACTTTTCGACTGAAAAATTTCGACTAAGTCCTTTGTAAAGGTCACTTTTTCGGTAAAAAGTTCGAGAGATTTGCCCTAAAAGGTCACTTTCGGACAAAACTTCGAACCCGCTTTTACAGCTCAGAATACGTTAGCGAATGAAATCCTACAGCTACTGATATCGCTGTACTATTAATCAACTCAATTCCAACTCCGTTAAAGGTCACCGTTGATCACTTTCAGATCATAAAGGTCACTAAAATTAGGTCAATTTGATCAATTCCAACTTTTTGGTAAAGGTCACTTTTCAAAGTCAAAAGTCAACTTCTGGTCTCAAAGGTCACTTTCCGACTCAACTCAACTCAAAGGGTCACTTTCCAGTTCAATTTCTGTTAAAGGTCACTTTCCGCTCAATTCCAGTTAAAGGTCACTTTTAAGCTCAATTCGATCAAAGGTCACTTTTCCTTTGTCTCAACTCAAAAGGTCACTTTTCGTCTCAATTATCTTATCTCAAATCAAATTTCCCATTACAGCTAGAGTTCAGCGGAAAATCCCCATTCGGGTTGTTTACTTCTTTCTGATTGGTCCGCTAGCTCAAAATATTCAGTTCAAATTTCGGCCAATCACAGCTCAGATAACTGACCAATCACGTTATTCCGTTAAAAAATTTTTATCTGCCTGACGTCACGGTCAACGGCCAGACATGCGCGCCGCGTGCAAAACTCCGCCTACTTCTACGCTCAGCTCAGTACGGACCAATGAAAAATGAGAATTTTACCATCTAACCAATCCCGTAATTAATAACGGGTTTTCTACCTGTTTCCTCGTCCGTTCCACGAGAATCGATCCAGATGATCCAGATTCTTCTTCCACTATCCGTTCCCGCGCTGCCGCCGGTTTTACCGTAACGGTGGTGCCGCACGCTTTTGATAGGTTACTGTGCCGGCTGACTGCCGTAGCAACAGTGGTGGCGCTCTACTCCAGTTTGGAGGAGTCTGATCGGTCTTTTCCGTACGCCCCTTTCGGCGTTTCGGCGCTTCTGCCCCACGGCTTAGGATTCGCTGAATCCTTGCCGAGTACCAATGACACCAGTGTAGGTCTTCGCTGAAGACTCTACACCGAGGAACACTGGCGACTGAACTCTTGCACTCTTGCACAGTCCCTGCAACAGTACAGGTCTTCGCTGAAGACGCTGCACCGAAAACAAGGCTGGAAATCCACGTCAGATGAGGAACTTGCACCGCTTGTGGTGTTGCGCTTTGCTGTCGGATAGACCTGTGCCTTACTGGTCGGGTTTCACGTCAAATAACAGGCCAACTTTGCCTGACACAAATCAAATCAGAGAACCGCTGTCGGCTCTGCTACCATCTAATGCTAGATCCAGCTGTGATCCAGATACAGAGACAGAAACAGAATCTATCCTGTGGAGTGAGCGAAACGATATGGTTCGCGAACTATGCGGAAACACAAAACGTCGCACCGTAATCGCTGACTTTTAATAATATTGACAAATCTGCTCAACAGAAAATCAACACTGATCGGCGCAGCTCGATCGTAAAGCGTGGAGCCCATTCAACAGCGTGCAACGCTGTGCAGCACGTGCTATGCCGCGCCCACTAACAAAACATAAACCAATCAGAAGCGAGACACAACACAGGCCATAATCCAAAGGCGTAGCGCCTAGCGCCACTGACGTGAACGCTAGTGATCCCGGTCTCACACAGTTTAGAACAAACTTTTTGACGAGGGTTCAATACGTGTTTCAGACAAAACCGTTCAGGCGAAAGCTACAAGTGGGCACAGTGGACGGGGGCGCGGCGCCGTAAGCGAGCCATTTCGAATGTGTGGACTGTAACTGTAGTGAACAATTTAGATTTAATGAATAATTAAGACAGCAGTATTGTTGACTTACAGTGATGCACGATTTACATAATAATTATTAAGATTTTGAAAATGTCGTTAATGCGTAACTTCGACATACAGTGCGTCGTGATGGCTTTCGGGCCTTTCGATCAACACAAGTATCAGAAATAGACCATCCCAAAAAAATTCAACTGGAAGTTGTTTCATAAAAGAGTGGTTTAATTTAAGGTGTCAAGCAACAAAACAATTCAGGTCAAATGCATCTGATATCTGGTATGTACTCATATTATCAGGTATGTACTCGTATCAGGACTACCAGTTGAATATACTCAGGCGGACAGTTACGTATCATTCAATGACTGTACGGTCTTTCGTTCTCTGTACGGTCTTTCGTCTTTCGTTCAGTCATGAGGAAGTTAGAGATGCTCTAACTTCCTCATGACCCAAAAAACTGCTTTATGGGACATTTTATACGTACATATTGTGTTTGGAAAAGGCCGATGAGCCGTATTCGCTCACATAGAATATGCTGGTGTAAGTTACACCAGCATAATCTACATGCTTTGTATGTTTTGATTAAGTGTTGTCTCATTAATCTTTTGTCAGTGCTGCATAACAAAAGAGGGGCAGAAATAAATCAAATTTTCTAAGAATCGAGCATCCGCTTCGTATGAGAACAATGGATGGTTGCACGTACTGTATGCAAGGTGCGTGTACCAAACTGAAAACTCCATCGATCGTCATATCGACCGAAGAAGGATGCTGGCGGTACCGATTCGGTAACAGTGCAGTCAACACTGATGGGACGTGTACTTTTTTGAAGATTGAATATAGACTAATCTGCATTTCAGCAGTACTCGCAGCGTCATAATCCCGCTCTTGTTTATCATAAAGTTTTATGGGGAACTCATTATCAACGAAGTACGTAAGTAAGGTACAGCTAATGTATTGTACTCGTACAAAGGACATTCCACAAGTAAGTTTCCCTGTTTTGTTTCTCTCTCTTTAAACGTATGCAGCTAATATTACCAATATCGTCCGCACGTCCTTCATGGAGGAATCGAAAGAAGTTATAACCCGAAATAACTGATATCGAACTGAGAAGAATTGTCAGAGAAATCGTTGACAATTTCTGACGTCCTTCCTCGTGGTCTTTCCCCCATGGTTTTGGTCAGTTTTACCTTCTTCCTGCCCACTTTTCGTAAAGTGCAGAATGTCATTAACTTTAGAATTCTATCCTTTTGTAATTTAAATTATTAAACAAAATGATTTTGTCATGCCGCTTTCTAGGAAAATAGGGACGTTTCACGCAGGCCTAGGGACGAATGCGCGTGCAAATAAGTAAAACTAACGCGAATTTAGGTTAAAAATTGCAGTGAAACTCCTCTTAACATTCACCTTCCTACCCGGCGGCTACGCCCCTGAGCCCTTGAGGGCAGTGCCCCTGGAGGCAGTGCTCCTGTATACCATACACCTCTGTGTAACATTCAGAAAGCCTGGAACGGAGGGTGTATGTTATAGAGAAGTTTCACGTTTCACTGTAATAAGATTTGGATTTGCACACATACGTAAACAACTGCACGAGCTCCGATTCCGCCAACACTCACACTTCCGGAATGTGGGCTTCTGGCTTGTAGACACTAGACACGGCATCCTGAACGTTTTGCTAAAAGATTTGTGGTGTTAATGTCGTAATTCCGCCACAACTTGATAGTGCTTCCTTCATTGTACTAGGTGAAGTAGAAATATAATTCAAGTCTTCTGCCGGGAGAGGAATGGACAAGAAGCAGCGGAAACTCATTCTCAAACTGCTGGACCGGGGTTCCACACGGAACGAAATTGTGGAACGCGCGGGCATCAACCACAGCGCACTAGGGCGGTTTCTGCTAAAGGAAGGAAGAGTGCAGAAGAAGCGGCTTACGGACGAACAAAAGCAGGAGATTCTCCGGTTGGATCGTGACAAACAGTGCACAAGAATCGAGATAGCCAAGCGGCTGCAAGTTGACCTGACAACAGTCTATAAGATACTACGCGCTGCCGATCCGGTTGATGACCCGTCCGACGCCGCGAAGCCTGCCGTCAGTGAGGAGCAACGGAAACTGATCCTACAGTTGTTCGAAAAAGGATTAGCACGAACGGACATTGTACACAACGTCAAAGTGGTTGATTCGGCCGTGGACAGTGTAATTTATCAAGCAGGCCGCAGCTTCTCTAAACGGGACAACCTTCCTCTTACGCCGGAGCAGAGAAACACGGCACTGCATTTGTTCGACCAAGGAGCCAGTGGCCCCGACATTATGTGCCAGTTCAAACTGAATCGCTATCAACTGAAGACGCTGCTGGAGCAGCATGGAAAGTCCTTTCCGGGGCGCGGCCAGTACAAATACCAGCATCTGCAGGTAGGGTTGAATAACAAACAGTTTACAAGTACGCATTATGTGCTTTTGTTATGTAACTCCGCTAGTGCATATACGTATACCCCGTGCAGTGACCCGGTACATAGTATGAAAGTCGTGGACATGCACGGGAAGTTTCCGGTTTTCAAAATGTGGCCGGTAAATTTTCGGTCGGTGATGCACCTACTGCTAAGTGCCAAACGAGGACCGTTGAGTGCCGTAAACATACTGTCAGAGAGCCTATATTGCGATACATATAGGGGGAAATAGATAGCATACATTACACCTTCCCTGTACTGCTCCAGTCATCCGTATGGATTTCCACGTCAAGGCTGAACAGGGCTTTTTAAAGCTGCTGCATAATACCTCTACATGGATGCAGGTACATGTACCGTGTAATCAACAAAGTGCTGCAGTCACTGCAGTGACAGTAGAATTTGCACATTTTTGTGCGCCGCGCAGCCAGAATCTTGGGAGTGTTCACAAATCTGGTTCAAAAAGGCACATTTAACACTTATTGTTAGATTGATTCTCGTAATTTATTCTTCATTCTGCAACCAAAGTTGCGCAGAAGAAGCCACTCTTGCGCCCGAAAATCGAAAATTAAAAGGATGGAAGATTTCGAAAACTTTCTAAATGTGAGCCAAATCACGCGGGGCGGTGCCACTGTCACTGCCACCTGTGTCACGCGCCGGAAGTCCATAAAATTCGTTTTTCTAACGTTTAACTCTGAGGTCTTTGTGAATCTTTTGTAAAAAACAGGAAAGAGATTTTCCTGAAATACAGGTACAAGGCAGTTTGAAGGTAATCATTCGTACGCATTTCGAGATATGCTTGCTAAAGCGACTTTATAGCTATCAATGTTCAGGTATAAATGTGGCGCTTTTAAGAATCCCTCCTCGGCCATGACGTGGAAAGCCATACGGATGACTGGAGCAGTACAGGGAAGGCGTATAGAATGCTATCGATTTCCCCTATATATGCTAAAAGTACATATACAATACATAAAATGATAAAACTAGACGTCATCCCCTGTTTTCGGCTACTGCTGAGGTCAGCCAACTGGTGGTTTTCGTTGTGCTTTAGTAGATGGCGTTTCATGTGCAGCGCTGGCTGCGCTGCTATTAAAATTGCAGGTATGTGTGCATTATGTAAACTCCTGCAAAACTGCGTGAAACTGTGAACCACTGTTACCACTTATACCTTCAATGCACACAATATTAAATAGCAGCATATACCATGTAATTAAATATTAAATTGCATGGTTTTGACCATTAAGATCAAACCTTCGCACTTGTGCGAAGGAGGAAGAAAGTCCCCTCCCACCAAAAACGGTGCGAAGACGCTTTTCCCACACGTTTTAAGAAGAAGGTGCGAAAGCCGCTCACACTTTTTGTTCGATACGAATGCTCCCTTAGAACAGTGTGCGCTCACACTTCTTATAACTTTTCGTCTTCGCACTGTGCGAAGGCCTTCAAACTTGAAGTGTGACCGTAGCATTAGGCATGGCTGGTGCACTTCAAATATTTATATGTCCATATTTCTTCATATTTTCTTTGTTGTTTTACCTTATACTTACTTCAGAAGTTAAAATAATATTGGAAGTTTTGTATTAAATAACTGTTACTGCGACAATTGTAGTGTAGTAGCCATCATTCTGATGCCAATAAAGCGCTTAATGTGCACTGTTTGTATCTTTACTCCCTCGATTCCTCGACAAGCTTGTATTCGGACCTATTTACAGAGCAACCTAAAGAAAATTTCTAGATGAAATATTAAGAAAATGTACGTTAATGCCACTTTTGATTTTGGAATGACTCTATTTCAGCGTTTAACTTTGAAATCTTTAATGTTGGATTCCCGTCTTATTTGCAGGAGATTGTGCGGAAACTGCGGGATGAGGGTTGCACGTATGCGACCATTAAGGAGCATACCAAGGCCGGTACCTGGGTTGTAGAAAAGATCCTGAAGGAAGCCAGCCAGGAAGCCGACATGTGGGAGGTACGCGTTGTCAATGACGTCGATGACGGTGAACCGCAACTTCAACCGGCGTCACAGCCAAAGTCCATCCTACGTCGTCGCCCGAAATCCCGTCTCGGATGTTCAAAAAGTTTCAGGGGTGATCACGGCGTTCCGAAGCTTCAAGATGAGAATCAAACAGCCCATGACCCGTCATCGCTAAGCGAGAATGAGGAAGCAGCGGCTCCGGAAGCACCTCTGGAAGAGGCTATCGATTTCACCGATATTGAGGCCATTGCTTTCGGTTGCGTGGAAAGCCACAACGGTAGGTTAAGCACTGCGTCCAATTTACGTAATAAAGCAAAACATCAAAGAAACGTGCACAGTGACGCGTTGGGTTTCGAGATATGCAACGGGAAGATTTGTGTGTTTATTTATCAAAAGCAAGTACCATAACATCAGAGACGGTTATGCCGAGTTCCCGGAAAACATTCATTTTGAAAGCTTTGTAAGAAGAAACTTCTTCTTAAGAAGAAGTTCTACCATGTCGTGGTTACAAAAATATTGATTTTCGAAACTTTGTAACTGTAATCAACATGGTCTGGTACACCTTCAGACCAAAGTTCGGTTAAATCGAATGGCAACTTAAAATTTTTTAAATTTTTTTGTGATAGTTGCTCCTATTGTTTTGGCGGACTGAAGATCTTTCTGCTCTGCTGCCACCTGTGGTGAAAGCGCACAGCCGAATTAATGACCATAACTGGCAATAGAATAAGAAGGAAAAAGGCGTTAGAATAACAATCGAATGGCAGCTGTAATAGAAAGCAGACCAAAAGCATGTATACACAGTGAGGACACTAAGCGATAACAAGTCCCGCAAGACAAAGGGATAGGCCTAACACTGTTGTGTGAGCGCCAGTGGTCATTCTCCGCTCATATTATTGTGGCGGCACTGCAGGCGCAAAAGTGAAGCATTCCACGAAAGTGTAGAACAAAGAAAGTTCTTCGCCAAATACTGCGCAATTTGACAAATTTAATCCGTAAAATCTATAACTAATTTAGAAAACCTAAGAAAATTCCCAACTTTGAACAGTATGCAAAAAAAAACATTTGTTAAAAACTTTGTGGAGCGTTTTTCTAGATTATTGTTTCCCAGCTCCGTACATAAAAATAAAGGTGTCATCGGGTGTCAAAAAATGCAAATTTTAAACGCATTTTAAACTTTATTGAAAAAAGCTCTTCACAAAGTTTTTCATATTCCAGTATGCACTGTATCTGCGTAAAAAATAAATTTTTTTGACATCAATGAAATTTTTTATAACAGTTTAAAAAATCGTAGTGAATAACTTCGGTTTCTTTCGCTTAAAACATGCAAACAATTTTTTTATTTCATTGGAATGTGTAGTATAATCATTTTGGGTGTTATTAGTTGCCTCGGGTTTGCTATTAGCGCTTCGCGCATTGCGTGCAATCGATTCTGCGGCTTAGATAGCGAACACGGTAGAACCTCTCGTTAAGAAGTGCGTTTCGCTACAATGTACGAAATTCGGGCACATTCACGGAAACTTTCGTGCACCCTTAATTTGTACTTATATCACCTTTATAGACATGGCCCTTTTCGTATCACTTTAAAAAATCGACCCCGCTTCTTATTACTGTATTCCTAACCATAGGTATTCCGCTTGTATTCGTACTGTACTCATATCGTATTCTCCGCTTCCGCTATAATGTGATTTAAGTATTCTTTACCAATGGGCCGGTAATCCTGCGTATTCTGCCCTAATCCTACCGTAATAACAATTTGTTTATTATCTGACTTTGATGTTTGCCTCCAGTCTTCTTTAGTGTACCGAGATATAGTTCTTCCGTGTTCCGCAAGTATTCTACCGGAATTCAGCGCGTATTTTAATATTTTTAATTAAAAATCCAAGAATGCAGATGCATGGAGAAAAACGGGGGGAAAAGGGAGAATACCGGGACTCACTAAAGAAGACAACAGTCATGACTAAAAGCTATATAATGTAAACACCTCGTAAACACAGTAGAAATACAGACAGATTACGAATGAAATATGTGGTAATACCGTTGAAGACTAAAAGTACCTTACCAGGGCACATAGGGGTCCTCCAAATTCAGAAAAATTTCATATTTTGTAAAATGGTAGTATACTATCGCAGTATGCTTAAAAAAATATTTTCATCTGCCATGGTCAAGGGGGCGTGGCCAGACAGTAATTAAAAGTTCGCGTATTATCACATACTATGCAATGCAGTGAGCGGAGTTATTCGTATTTAGTTTTATATTGAATTTTTACTGTAGCACCGTGAACTTTTGCAGCTGTCCAGTTGTGATGTAAACGATGCCCACGTGCGGCAGCTCGTGTCATTGCTGCCAGTACACATTTTCGAAAATTTTTTATCAGTTAGTATTGTATGTACGAGTAAACCGTGCAAAAAACTTCTTTTACTAATTAGCAGATATGTACTCGTACTGCATTTCATAACAGATTTTCGAAAATGTGGATTTAGGCAGCAGTGACACGAGTCGCCGCACGTGGTCTTCGTTTACATCACCACTCAACAGTTTCAAAAGTTCACGGTGCTACGGTAAATATTTAATATAAAACTAATTACGAATAACTCCACTCACTGCATTGCATAGTATGTGATACTATGCAAACTTTTAAATGCTGTCTGGCCACGCCCTCTTGACCATGGCAGATGAAATATTTTTTTAACCATACTACGATAGTATACTACCATTTTACAAAATATGAAATTTTTCTGAATTTGGAGGACCCCTATGTGCCCTGGTTAGTAATACAGGTAGGACTGATAAGTGCTGTGGAGTGTGCCCGTATTTCCACGTATACAATTTGTATTCCGCCTGTATTCCCAAAGTATTCCTCAAACTTTGTTATCTCGCCTGAGCCGCCTCTATAACTACTGTCTACTTCCTCCAGCATGGTACCGGATTCCAAGTATGCGTCTTTTATTCACTAAGTATTGACTGCTGTTCTACAGTAGTTAAATAACCCAAGCCTGAAAAAACTAAGAAACCAAAACAAAATATGGTGACGTACAGTACTCTCAGGATACAGTATATCAGAAATATTGCCCTGGAAACAAATTGCGGGAAAAAAAACTTTCCCTAACACATACCCCGTTGAATGGATACCTGTTACGGTGGTTCTTTCGTACCGTTTTGACCCGTCTCAAGAAATATTTCGGCTTTATTGCTTTTTGACAATCAACAGAGACCATCTAATGCAAATCTGTTAAGAATACACCGTAAATACAGATGGAGCACATGTCGGAATACGTGGAATGCAGTGCACAAAAAAACGGGCCAGTTTTATAGGAAGGTACAAAATGGGCTGTAGAGGTAGAGGTTGATTTTATAGAGAGGTACGAACTCACCCTTAAACGCTTTTTTGCATTATTTCATGGTGCACTCGTACGCTTAAGCCACATAACTTGTGTATGTTGACGTGAAAATCGTCAACGCACGCAACTTCCGGTTGCGGAGTTACGACGGTAAGAAAGATTCCGAATATGCTGAACGCATTCAGGTATGCCATGTACCAAAAGTCGCGTTATACGGCTCGATCTTCTTCGAATCTCGCTGATATGGCATTAAGGTGAACAGATAGTTTTGACACGGGCCCATCTTTCCAGCATGTTTTAAAAACTGAATTTAAAAACAAGGAATGAAAAACTGAATTAGAAAAGGAATTACAGGCACCCTTTTATATTAATTGATTTCTTTTAAGACGACACCCGGAATTTTATAGGCACCATTAGACAGTTGGCTATATGCGCATTTAACGTTTGGTAGGTGCTGTAGCCTACCTAAATGCGCTTAGTGCGCGTACGAAAATTCTAAGGATTAACGATGGGGTCGTGGATTACAACCACACGCTCATTCAGAAAAGATGGAAGAAGATTCCAGAAAATTGACTGCTAACTGTAAACTCGGCGGAGAAAAAGACAATGGTATCACTAACTATCAGTCAAGAAGTCGCTAAAGGCATTAACAACCGTACAACTTCAAATGGGTAATGAGACGGGCAAAGATGTTGCAGGCTGTTGAGTGCTGACGATCGATCGCAGACATTCCCATCAAAGCGGAAATAACTGACCGAGGTTGGAGAACTGCGGTAGAAATGTTGGAACAAGTAAAATATTCAACGAAATTCATGTCAAAGATCCAAACGTTTTAGTTGATATTGTCATTTTGCCCGGTGGAAAGGTCATAATCAACAAAAAGTTTACGTACAATTTATGTAAATGTCAGATTCCTGAAAATGGACAATGAAATGGGTGTCTGTAATAACCGCAAACACGGTGTTCTTATTTAAATAATTGTAAAAGCGGGTGCTTTAATTTACGAGGTGCGAAAATGGGTGTCTATAAAAAACGGGGGTGAAAAGTGGTGGCTACAGTGATTTCCAAAAAAAAGAATATAAGTCGTTAACGAGACGTTTGGTATGACGTTTGCGTTTAATCGTTCTAGAATTTAATTTTACCTCACAACTTTCCACTGGGATATTGCTCGCACAAGCGGTTTTCGCGCTAGTATAATGCATCATTTCCCAATGCCATAAAACATTGCGAAAAAGTGTTTGGGAGTGCACGAATGTTTTCGTGAATGTACACGATTTTATTACCACATACCGGTTCGTTTCCTCTAAGAAATGGGATGCGTGAGTGACTGGTGTTTCAAGCCGCATTTTCACAAAGTGATCGGGCTTTGAGGCACATCGTAGTATTGCTCAAACAAAAGATCATATCCGTTCAATCCAGCGGATATGAATCAGAAATAATTTTTGAACCGCGGACCGGTGCCACCCGGTACTTTTTGTGTATTATTTAGTTTGTCCGTCGAATCTCTACGTATAACTGTAAATACATTCAGTGACTTACATTGCTTAATTTTTGCAGAGGTTAGCAGTGACGACGAGCAGCAGATGGACGCCTTTGATGATTTTTTTGGTGGGGAGTTCCACGTCGCCAGTATTGCCGAGCAACTGGGTGTGACCATGGAACGGGTCCGTAGCATTTTAATGTCCGGTCCATCCCATGAAGAAAGCGATACTGGAGAACTGTCTCCGACCCCTTCCGGACATGCGCGGGCTGAGGCAGCGGAGGCGCTGCTATCCTTAAGCGGGCAGATCGGTATGCGCCATTGCTGCAAGATTTCCATACCACATCTGCCGTATTTCTTCCGATGAGCAGAAACGGCACGACGCCACTGTGAAGTGCTTAGACTGTGCTGATTAACGTGTTAACTTAACGATTATTTACTAAAAGTTTCCATGTTGAGTTAGGTAGACTCTGTGGGCTCCGTGGGCTTTTAATGTGGATTTTAGCTTGATCTTTGTTGTGATTTTTGGATTGCTCCAGGGAAGTTTTTCCTAAAGAGTTTGTAATTTGCGATTTTAGCAATTTTATTTCACATTATGGTTTGTTTATGGCTTTTTGTCTCGTACAGTAAGTGGTAATTGTCGTTTTACCGTATTATATAACTATCAACTGTTTCCGTCGTAATCAGTGCTTACAGTTTATTGCTTTGTTTGTGCGATTCTGGCGAATCTGTGCGATTCTGGCCGCACGCTTTCAATATCATTAACAAGCAGGTAGACACAGCAGCGAGACGAATAACTTCCGCTCTTGTTATTCCTGGCCAGTTAATCACCGGAAACGTCGTAAGACTTTTTTGCCTATTTACTCGTAATTAACGGTGACATTCACTACGCAAATCTGAACAACGACTGAAGAGAGTGAATGTTGTAACATCCTTCCGAGTACCTAGTCAAAGAATTGCCCTACAAAGTGACGCAAACACTCGAATTGCGTTATTACGCAAACTGCGACTTAGGCTGCAAATTACTTGCCAAACAGGAAGTGAGCCAAGCGTTAGTCTGACGCTACAGCTTGTTTTCCGTTAGGCGTGACGTAAAAGCAAATCTTGCGCATCTGAACTAGCTTGCACATATAACTGCTCGTTTGGTTGACACGTAAGAACTATACACGCGTTTCTGAGTAATCGGGAGTTAAATTTGCCAAAGGCTGCATCAACATCGTACCGTTCCGTACCTTTGTGACCTTTAGTTACCACTGGTGCGTGATATACTGTAATGGCAAACGACTCCAACCAACCGACATTCGATACATGGGATAACCGCACCGGATCACCAATTCCAAAAAGTGTCGCTGATACGCACTTAACCGTGTGGTTTGCCGTCAACTTTATCCTGATGTTGGTTTCGGTGACCTTTCTCATCTTGGCCATTTACGCCGTCGTTAAAGCCGGACAAAATCGCATCAGCGCATCGCAAATCCTCATCCTCCATTTCCTGTCAGCGGAATTAGCCATCTGTAGCGGGTTATATCCTGCGATCCAGTTCACGTATTACCTGCCGAAGTTTCGCTTCGGGACCTATTCTTGCGATATTTTTCAGTTCTTTTATATGTGGATCGCGGGCGCCGAGCAGTGGACCATGCTGAACCTCTCCATTAACCGTCTAATGGCTGTTCACTTCCCGCACTCGTACAGCCGCTACGTCAACACAAAGTCCGTACTCGTCACGCTGGCCTTTGCCTGGATTGTCCCGCTAATTGTTATGATCATGTTGGCGGCGAAATTCGGTGGCCAGTCGATGCCGGTGTACATTCCCTGGGGTACGTGTGTGGTACGCCCTTCGCCCTCCGGACAAAGCTGGGTGCTGCAGGCCGTCAATTTCCTCTGCATGGTTATTCCGTTAAGCGGGACGTTGTTGTGCTACGCAATTATTTTGCTGGGATCGTGGAAAAAGTACGGAATCCGTCGGACGGTCCCGGATGATAGCGTTCTGACACCGGCGCAACAGAGTGACCTCCAGCGACAGCGGAAGAAGTTGAGTATGGCACGCATGCTGTTTGTCTCCGCGTTCTGGTATCTACTGTGCTATCTGCCGCATACGATGATTGTGTCACTGGCGCCGTTTCTCTATGCGGTGTATCCGCACCTTGGATTGTGGACGCGGACTGTGTACTTTATGGGCTTTGCCGGAAATCCGGTAAACTGTCGTGCTGTTTTAAATAGAATTCCATCTCAAAATTTTGATAATACTAATTACATACACAGTAAAGTACTTAAAAATAGTATCCACTCAAATAAAAATACAGATATTCAGATACAGATTTTTATAACAAATACAGAATAAAAGATGTTCAGTTAAAACAGTTAGTACTACTTGGTACTCGGTATATCGACAATTAACACTTACTTTTGATGTACTGCAAACAGGTACTACTTAGTCCATAATTTCTTTCGCTGTACGGTAATTTTGCTGAACCATTCCAATTTTGGACAGAGTTTATGTCTGTTATGATAAATAAAACATTAAAAGAAATACTGATTTGAAACATAGCTCATTAAAATTAGTTGGGTAATTACTGTAATTAGGTAAAAAAAGATCATTGGTGTGCAGCATCGGTCAGTATAGCTTTCATCTTATTGCATTTTATGTGTCAACGTTTATGCCTAGAAATAATTCGAGATAAAGAGATGAGCGTTTTGGGTGCTGCTCCTTTTACGATAATTGGGAAAGAGTTTCCTTTTATACCGGTATCAGTCAGCGATACGTGTTTCCTCATAGTACAAATTCTGGATAAAAACTACAATAAATGTTTTATTGTTTTAGGTAATATTTTTCATCATGTCAGCGGAATATCGCACCAAGCTCGTATCACTGATCCATGCCCGCAGAGCTGTTCTAAGCCGGCCAACTTCCCAATGAATGAATTTAGCTTTTCATGGCATGCAGTTCTTATCTTGCGTCACTCATTTTCACATGCAGTTTTACCTTTTCGGTCAAACGTGCGAGCCATTTAGTCATAAGGTAACTTCTGGCAGAATTAGGAATAATTAACTTGCTGTGAAATCTTTTGAATTTCAGACATGGTTCCCTCATTCACGTGCAGTTGTAAACACTTCATCGCTAAAACGTGTGTTCTATCGGAACGTGATCCACCATCCGGGAAACTGCTCCGGAGCAAACATGATTTTTTACAACAGAATGTATAACTGACTCAGTTTCCACGAGTATTGACTTCGATGCAAGGCTGTTTGGAATTTCTTCTTTATCTGTGGTTGGTTTTTTAAAAGGTCATGGAGTTCGCAAACAGAATACAGTGTATATTATCGTAACACAATACACTGTACAGTGTACACCTCGATTAATCCATTGTTGTTCGCACCGTTTTGAGTTTTGATTCAAAAAACTACAACTATGAGTACAAGTTGAGGCTGTAGTACGGTAGACGTAAATGGCTGACGAGCAGGCGGGCCAACGTTACGTAGGCTTCCCTGAATGGGATCTATTAACTGCGCGCGTTCCCTGTTTCTTAAATATCGGGGTATGGTATCACAACAAGACTGTAGCACGTCCTTACACTTGCATAGAGTAAATACTTCACGGATGCAGAACGTGCTAGTCGTATATGGACAACAAAAGGCTTTTACAAGAACCTTGAAAACGTCTACAATAGGTAGTAAAGTGCTGCCGGAAGCTTTGTGCTCCTAACGTGCTCAATGACGGCAGACGATGTGTTAGAACAAACATTCCCGTAGGAAGAAAACAGATCGATCATTGCGATACTGGCTAGAAACCCAACATTCGTGCGTAATATACTATACCTTTTTATGCTGTTGTAAATGTCTGTTTACTTGGGATGATTCTGTACAATTAGGCTTTCCTGGTGAAGCAGTCGTTTTCCTGTATTGTTTTTTGCTTTTTCCTGGATGCACACACGGACTTCCTTCAGGACACGCTGAAGTGGACCTTACTTTAAAAGAGCTAATAAAAGCAGGAGCAGGATAGGATGAATGTCGACGCTGCCATCACACTTGCCTTGCATCGCTTCAGTTTTGCGGCCAACTTTTGTCGAAACGATTCAGTTGCCGGCTCCACGCATTTCATTATGGATAATTTTTCGGTAAATTCCAGAACAACCTGTGGCCAAAATTATGATCCTGGCATTCTTCCCACCCCCTTACGTTTATTGGCCATTGTTTCGTATCCTGTTTTGTTGGTGCTTTGCACCATCGGAAACGGTGCTGTTGTTTGTCTATGGGCCAGGAAACTGAGGCAGACATCAACAAATGTCTACCTTGTGTTGATGTCCTTTCTGTCTATCTTGTACATGTAAGAAATCGTATATCTGTATATACAGATAGATATATCTTTCTATCCTACACATGTAATATTATGTAGCACGTGCAATCCTGTATTTTTTATAATATTATAGCACCAGTACGCTTATTCAGTCCCGGATCAGAAATAATCCGGTGTATAAATTTTTTTAAGATAAAAAATCCAATGATAAACATTTTGACCTTTAACTATGCCGTTCAGCGATTCCGTACTGGATCAAGTTTGTTCGATCAATGCACGTATTGTTACAATATGCAGCACTTTCGGCCGTTGATCCTCGTATACGTAATGCGACAGAATCGAAACCAGGAAAATCCAATCAAAATGGCTGACAGATTTGATAAGAGCGAAATGATTAAACCATTCATTTTCAGGTGGATCCAGCTTCCAATCAGAATTATGGATTACAACAGTTCTCAGGACGCCCGTCACGCTAACAGTTCGCTGGCCAACTCTTTATTGGATTCCTTCGGTGCAATAACATGTATTGGCAACACTTTGATCAACTCGGTTGATTGGTAGGTAATGTTAATCGACAGTGTGGTCAAAATCCACAGCCTATTTTAAAAAAAAAGCTTGATAGTTCAGCAAAAAGTGCAATATACCAACGAGAATTTTGGCTATTTATTTTTGCAGGATTCTTGTTATATACTCGGGTGAGCGCATGGTTGCCATAATCAGACCGCTATGGGTACACAAACGCATGAAACCTCAATTTGCCGTGACTGCGGTCTTGGTGGCTTTCCTTCTAGCATTCTTTCAAAACGTAGAACCGGCTATTGAGTATTATTATTTGCTACGACACCACGAAGCGCCCCCGTCTTCTCTGCAGCTCTGGTCCCGCGTCACCTCTAACGGGCAGGTGAATGATGCTCTCACTGTAAACAATAAAGGTGAATGTATGATATCGATCATACGATGAGTACTTACCGATAAAGCTAGACCATACTGTAATGCGTCTAAATCTGTATTTTCGGTTTTTAGTTGATCTTCTTCTTCGGAGTTTACGCTGTACTGACTGTCACAAATGTGGTTTTGCTGGCTTGGCTATTTTATACCAACCAAAGAAGCACTTTCACGCCTGGAAGTATTAACTCTACATCTGTCGGAAATGGCACAGATGCAACGAGCAGGTTGCTTGGCTGCTGCCTTGCTTATTGTGTATTTCACCTGCCAATCATTACACAAAATATTCTCAACATTTTTGCCAATCCCCCCTATTGCTTATATCGGTTCGGTACCAATGAACGCCCTATTTGGTATTCCATTTCTCTCCAGTTGAACTATTGTGATTATAGTTTGAAGTTTGTTTTATACTGCATGTTTTCTCGCAGATTTCGGAACATTTTAAAGAAATTATGGCGTAAATGAAAGACGGTTTACACGCCAAAATTATCAGTGAAGAAGCGTGCTTTATGTACCTACAGGTACATAAGGCGTGGCACAGTAATAATCAGATCCGGACGAGGCCAGTCGTACACAAAGATGATAAGTTATTATCAATCTTTTTATGTGTCTTGAGTACAGATACAGTGCTCATTGTTCAATCTGTTACGGGTTACAATGCGTCCAACAGCGATGTAACAGATCTCTGTAATGGATTTCGATTACATTTAACACGATAAGAACATTGCAGTATTGTAATGTAGATACTACTAACCAGTAATACAGGTAACGTGCATAACTAAAGTACACAATAATAGAACACACACTGGTTTACGTTGTGACGTTTGTGCTTAAAAAAATGCCATTGCCTTTAAAACTGAATGTCTTGGTTTAGATTCCTAGGTTGCATGGTACCTCTCACCAGATTCTATAAAATCAAACCCATAAAGATCAAATTCTGAATGTTGACAAAAAAGTTTCCAGTAGCCTGATAAATATTTTCTGTAATGCAGTTTGGCTATTGTGCAGTGTACCTGTACAACTGCGAACTGTACTTGGATAATAATGCGTACAAACGCAAAAAAAAGTACAATTAAAAAACGTGATCATTTGATGGCACATTATTCACCTTGCAGCTGTTGTATGACTCAAGTCCGGTGGATATGTACTGAATTTCTTACATATTTAAAAGGAACAGTTAGCGCAGATTTCAGCGTTTCAGACAGTGGCCATAACACCACTGGGTAGATTTAGTGCAATGAGCCAACGACAAATTGCGCTCTTACAGGTAGTACGGTTTCCCGGCTACTAGAAGGCTACTAACTCCGAACCACCCCGCAGCGGCACGGCGATGCACTGTATCAATTCACCAAACATGTACAATACCGATTTTAATTGAACGGTTTAAGCAATGCCTTTGTCATCAGTCGGTACCTAGGACAACAATCGCATTACCATTCTCCGAGACAGTAATTTATTAAAATAAGCTCATCTAGACGAGGTAAGAAACAACAAAAATTGGTGATTATTTTCCACCATACGAAGCCTGCAGTGCACAAATTTCTCTCATAACCAACATATCACAACCAAAACCCCACGGCTGAATCCGCGTACTTATTTGGGGACGAGTAGCGTTGCCTGTGGCACCAATATTCTGGTTCGTTGCATTCGACGCTACAATAGCGGGCACTAGTGCTAGCGACTGACTGGGCAGCGGCTTCTGGTTATTTGTAGTGACAGAAGTGGCATTCGATGCCGGCAGACTTTCGTTCTTCGCATTTGAAGCACCAATACTGGGCACTACCGACTGACTGGACAAGGGCTTCTGGGTGTTTATGGTGGCCGAAGTGGCATTCGATGCAGATAGGCTTGGATTCTTTGCATTCGATACTGCAGGTACCGCAGCATTGCTTACTTTCGATCCAGCTATACTTGGTGTCTTCTTAACAGTGCCGGCCAAAGCGTAGCCGGTCACTGTCCAAATGAAGATAAAACGCAGGCAGAAACTGTAGTACTGGGTATCCCGCATCTTGGAATAACCACTGACAAAAGTAATCCCGTCTGTGGAAGGCGGTTACAACGTTAATTATTGTCACAATGTCAACGATCTTCCTTGTTAGCAAAAAAACGTACCGCAAAGCTGACTGCCTCTTGAACCTATATATACCCAATAATCATAAATTTTTAAGACAACGTAACAATTTAGACAAACAGTCTGGAGATAGCTAGCAGGAAAGTTCCTTCAACTTCCTTGTTCCGAGTTTGTGCAACAGCACTAACAGTTACTCAAATGACCAAATCACGGCTGATCCAGGGGTTAATCGAGCAATCTGAAGTGCCTTGTCACAACAGAAGTACTGGAAAAAGGTAATAAAGTATTATTTATGAGACGCATATAGGAACATAATTATTCCCTTCAAGCAATCTTTTCTTATGCGACACAAAGAAAACATGAGGAACTGTACAGACTGTAAGGGCCTACAGCGTGGTGTGTATACACTTATGCAGGATCTGACAGATATTACTTTATACATACTAACAACTAACGCAACAAATTCTGAAAAAGTACTGACTGTACTGGATGCAAACTAAGATCGAATTAAAGCAATACTCGTACTATTATTGCAGGTTTTCTTTTTTTCCAGCTGCTGCTGTTCCACATTGCATCTTTCCTTGATAAAAAAATCAGAAGTGCTTTGTAAACCAATCTAAGATAAACGCTGATAACTAACACAACATAATTTATTTCTTTTTTGTGTAAACTCCAGCTGCCAGATACGGATCCATCCACGTCATAGGTGCCCCTAGCGCGTCGGCCGCGCGTCGTACAAAATACGGATCCCGGAGAAACCCGCGCGCCATAAAGACCACATCCGCCCCTCCCGTATCACACCCTCCACTTCCTCGGGAGTATTAATCATCCCTACCGCACCGCTCATAATTCCAGCGCCCTTCCTGATCGCTTCGGCGAACTCCGTCTGATACAGCGGTCCAACCGGGATCTTGGCGTAGGGATTGATCCCACCCGTCATGCAGTCTATCAAATCCACCTCCTCCGTCTTCAAAACCTTTCCCAGCTGTACACTATTCTCCTTGGTCCACCCGCCATCCGTCCAATCCGTGGCGGAGATCCGCACGAACAAAGGCAGGTCCTTCGGCCACACGGACCGAACGGCGCGTACAATTTCCACCAGAAACCGAACGCGATTGGAAAACGATCCACCATACTCGTCCGTCCGGCCGTTGCTTAATGGAGAATAAAACTGGTTGATGAGGTAACCGTTGGCCGCGTGGATATCCAGCACCTGAAACCCGGCGTCCAACGCCCGTATCGCACAGACCCTGAAGTGCTCGATTTCCCGGTGAATGTCGTCTTTTGTCATTTCCACCGGTTCCGGCTCCTCTTTACGGAAGCGTATGGGACTAGGCGCGATCCTCTCCCATCCGCCGTTCTCCAGCGGAATCAGTTTGTCTCCGCGCCACGGCGCTGAATGGCTGCCTTTGCGACCGGCATGCGCGATCTGAAGCCCGGGCACGCAGTCTTGCTCTGAAATGAATTTCGTAATTCGTCTCATGGGAGCGATGTGCTCGTCCTTCCAGAGTCCGAGATCTTCTGGAGAGATCCGTCCCTCCGGGCAGATGGCGGTACCTTCGACGAAGAGAAGGGCGGCGCCTCCGACCGCTCGGCTGCCCAGATGCACAAAGTGCCAATCATTCGCGAACCCATCAACCGAGGAGTACTGGCACATGGGCGAGACCGCAATGCGGTTTTTTAACGTAATGCTGCGGATCTGTAGCGGTTCGAGGCATTTTGCGGTGGATGCGCGCCGGATTCCGACGTAAATCCCTGAAGATAACTACAACACAGAATCGTTCGTTTTGGGGTTTAGCAATGTGATTTACTATACACTTATTTTTTCATCCTGCAGGCATCAAAGCGCTCCGAATAAATGCCAGCTCACAATATTACAAAACGGCTTTATTAAGTACTCTGCAAGAACCGTGCATCGAAATCTTTAACATCAAGAGTAATTCCTGGAAGGTAAGTACATGCATGTGTACTGGGTGTTCGATGAAATGTTTACCTTGTACGAGCGAGGTCCTGGGTGAATCACAGCGGAAGAAAACCTTAAAATTGATCTACTCATGTTAAGGTACTTGAGCCCTGCTTATACAGTAAGTTAGGATAACGGTGTACAGTAGCACCCGATTTTACGGCGCTAGAGCTTTGACTTACGCGTTGCTGCTGTTTGTTGAACGCAGCATGGTGTATTGTACAACTGTATCAGTGGCATAGCAACGCACTCTTACACAGATAGAATGTTTGCGTTTTCACGGTGCACTGCTTGTAGCAAGTACGAGTACTTGGTACGTACCCGTACGAAATGCTAGTTTAGGTGGTGGTGCCATATTGATTTATTTACTACTGAATCTTGAAACGTCCGGCATCTGTGCGTTTACGGTATGTATACGTACTGACATTTCGCACATAAAAATATTACGAAGCCGGTAGCCCTACATGCGGTACATGCATACAGTAAAAGCTGCTGTAATCAAGCACCAGCAAGTAAGTACCGGTTATACTAGGTACATGTACAGTATAATAATTGTCCTATATAGCATTATGTATGTAGCATAGCATCATCTGTAGTGCTGCATTGTCTGACTGCAACTGCTATGTATTGCTTTTACTTGTTATGTAGCAAAAATGAAAAGCTATAAAAACCGGTTTAATTGACTACTTTGTCTACAATACTGTTTGCGATGAAAAGCCGAAACCGCAATTACTCACAAATATACATCAGCAGAATAAGCAAGCAGCCGCATAATATTATTGCACCGCCAATAAAAAGAACCTCATTATCACAACGGGAACGCCATTGTAGAATCTTGGCTTTCAGCACACCGGGAAATCAGTATACAGCGAGCCAGGTTAATTCTACAATCTGGCAACATGGATCCATAAAATTGAAATAAAACATTAGGAAAGTGCAATTAACTTCACACTATCGGTGCGGGGAAGCACTTAGTGATCGCGGATTTCTGGTATCAGCAGCCAAAATTATCGCCCATCTTCTGAAAATTCTTGGAAAACAAACTGCAGTCCTACCGCGAAAGACCATGCTAAAGATGGTCTCCTAATTATGCCGTTTCATTTTATTTCGCCTGCGGCAAAATACAGAAAAAGGAGCGGTAAAATTTAGAACACTATAAAAATGGTTAAGTATAAGTGTGAAATATAACCTTTTGAAAACGCTTTCTTGAAAATGCAGTCTCCGGCGTTTGTGGTACTTTCTCTCGTGGCGTTGTTGGCAGCGATCGTCGATGGTCGCCTTCGTGATATGGACAACCCAACGGACGCACACAGCCCTTCCGTGAACACCACCGGGAAAGTCCTGCAGAAGAACGTCCAGTACGCGTCGGGCAGTATCCCGGCGGGAGACTGCCTCCCGGTGGAGTATTACTTCACCGATAAAGACAACAAATTATGGCGGAAAGACCAGGGAAAGGATAAACTGGTGAAGATTGCCGATAACACCCGTTCGGCCTTCACAGCGTGGGACGATTCCGTATGGAGCGTGGATCAGGAAGGTACACCCTCCCGTTTCCACTTCAACGGCAGCCTGGAGAAGGTAGGCACCTCCGCTTGCGGCCTTTATAGTTTCCAGAAAATTTAGTAAATATTGCTTTTGTTTGCGTACCCACCCAAGCTTGATACATGCATTGGCTCATGACCTTTTCATTTTGCAATAACTTCATTGAATTAATGTATTTTTACAGGTGCCAAACAGCGACAAAAAATTCCTGACGATTGCGCCGGTATCCTTCGTGGAGGCGTACGCTATCAGCACCGACGGCGATCCATACCGTTATGTCGCCGGTAAATGGATCCTCCTGGACGCCGGTAGTGATAAGAAGACGCTGAGCAGTATCGGTGTGGGAATGGACGGCAGTGTTATTGCAGGCAGCCGAAAGAACATCAAGATCTTTGCCTTTGACCACGGCACCCAAAAATTCAAGCCCTACGAAATCAACGGTTTCGGTGGGGATATCTATGACGCCGATCACGTGATTGTCGTCAAGGATAAGGATTTCAATGTGAAGGCCAAATCAGGAGGGAAATGGACAGAGCTCAAGGAGAAGTGTCAACGGACGTCGGCTTTCAGTGCCGACCAGTTCTACTGTACCAATCCCAACGGTGATGTCCTGCTTGTTCATTATCCATAAAAATGTTTGCAAGTATCCGCAATAAATAATTTAGCGTTTGATATGCTGAATGGCAAAATTAATGTAATAAAATAGCCGCCGGAGCGTTAAGTATTACGATTACCCGGAGTCTGTGTGTATTGTACGACCCGTTTTTGTGTGGTGCATTTAAATATCTCTTCCGTACGTGGTTAAAAGGAGTGGCAGCTTGGAAGAAAATCTTTATAAGACCGTATTAATAAAAGATAATTTTGCTTATCCAAATTGAATTTCACCTATCCCAGCGAAGCATGCTCTGTACACTTTAGTGTATCGCTTATTACCATTTAAATTATTTTGTATGAATGCTAACTCAACCGTGTTTGCCTTTGCATAAGCTAAAATTCGATACCATACTCCGAAAATACGTAATACACAGTTACACACTAAGTAAGAATGGACTGTTATATACGTAAGTGCTGACAGGATAAAGCTCCCCATTAACAGGAATAAACAAAGTTGTAGTTTTTCGATAATCGACTATTACTGCATTCAGAATTAACGGTCGCAAATTTACGACATTTATTTGGAAAAATTAAAATTCATAAAATAGGTGTGTATTTAAAATTTCACGGTACTTTACGGGATTCCACAGCATGGCCTTCTCCAAAAATAATAGATGTTGCAGAGCAGTAGCTCCTGCATAATACACGCAATGTGTACCGTATGCAAAACTGTGCGGGTATTTCATATATTTACTATGTGCATAAAATTGGTTCCATAAAATATATTTTCGGCTTATTGAATTTATATATATGCGAGAGAATTAAGAGACGTTCCAGTATACAGTAGTTTTGGTTGAAGTTGTACTACAGCATTAGAATTAGTACATGAATAATTACGTATGAGAAGTGGGACGACTGAAAATCGGTGTATGTTCCTTGATGAGCGATAAAACACGCATCCGGTATTCATGTGACATGATGAAAAATATTACCTGCAAACACAAGCAAGAGTTTAATCAACAACCAGCTATACATACGCATTCTGATTCATATACCGCATCATTACCGGGTTGCCAGCAAATCCCATAAAATAAATCGTACGCGTCCACAAACCGAGATGCGGATACTTCGCGTAGAGCTGCGGTCCAAAAGACACAATCATCGTGTGCGGCAGATAACACAACATATACCAGAACGCGGAGACAAACAGCATCCGTGCCATCCCCAGCTTCTTCCGCTGCCGTGCATGCTCCATCTGCTCAGCATGGGTAACAAACCGCTGATCCACCACCGAGCGACCACTACCGTACCGTTTCCACGATCCCAGCAGAATGACGGAATACGACAAAATCGTCCCGGCTAAAGGGATAACCATACAGACGAAATTCACCGCTTGCAATGCCCAGGTTTCTAGCGACGGAGACGGCCGCACGACACACGTACTCCAGGGAATGTACATCGCTGCAGATTGTCCCCCGATCTTGGCGGCCGGCATGATGGTCACGATTAGCGGGATCGTCCAGGCGATGCCGAGCGTTGACAGCATCGAGCGTTTATTCACGTATCTGCCGTAGGAAAGCGGGGCGAAGATGGCAAGTAAACGGTTTAATGATAAGCTGAACATGGTCCACTGTTCGGCACCGACGATCAGCATGTAGAAGAACTGGAACAGATCGCAAGAATATGTGCCGAACCGGAATGTCGGTAAATAGTATGTAAACTGTATAGCTGGATACAATCCACCGCAGATAGCGAGTTCCGCGCACAGCAGATGCAGAATCAGCGTTTGCGATGCGGAAATCTCTTGCTTTTTTCCTTTGGCCACGGCATAGATGATTAAGACTAGAAAGGTCACGGCCACTGTCATCAGTATAAAATTCACGGCAAACCACGCGGTAAGGTGCGCATCATATATGCGGATTAGCGACCGCCCGGCAGTTTCGTTAACGGTCGTGTTCAGGATGGACGAGTCGTTCGTCATGACAGCAAATTTCGGTAATTTCTACCATACGACAATTCAAACTCGAAACGTAATTATTTGAAACGATATGCCAAAATAATACAGCCACATCCGGTGAAGAAGAACAATTTCGTTCCAGGCGGCTAACAGCATGGGGTCGAATGACTTGGATTACTAATTCAACAAACTTGAACCCGCTTTGCGCCCAAATCTGCCTGCGCCGCACATATAACCTGACTAGGAATCACGAGACAAATATAATGGTCAATATACAGGAATTTAATTTCATGCTAGCCATGGTAGTTTTGCTGATTAAGTTTCCCTTGGAGTTAATAATTCAAATGGACAGGTAGACAGAATCCGAGCCTATATCGGTGTAGCTAATACTGCTGTTACGTTCATTATATTAATTGCTGTTTTTCTACATGTTCGCTATTAAACTTCGATTACGATAATAGACGTAGGAAGGTATTTCTATATTATTATGGGTGAAATAGCGAGTGACACCCTGTTGGAGATCTAGATCTGCTTCGACAGCACACGTAAGCACGCTCCAGGGGGGTTTTGTGGTACATGATCCAATCACCAATTATTCTATTCGAAGCTGTTCACCATGCTTAACGCGTTGTGCTTCGCATTTCATTATTACATTGGGAGCAGTACAGAGAAAATAATTCTACATACTGTTATTAGGCCTAATATATACCTTTATTTATCCGCATTGTGGCTGCACACAAAACATATGTATTATATTCATTTTAAAAATTCCGTGATAGCTTCACCAAAAAGCCGGCAAAGTTCGTGCGTTACTTACGCAGCAAAAACCAATATAAATGTAAGCTAAAAAAAGTAAGCAATGCTAAAAAAAGCCAGTATTATGTTTTGCAGTTACTAGCCACAATTTAAAGATGACTGGGGAGCCGTGCAGGGAACTGACAAAGAAGTCCATATGGGCTTGCAGAAGGATTTTGCATCTTAAGCCGATTTTTGGCTTAACACGTTTGGATAGGTGACCATTTGTCCCGCTTATCCTGGCACAAACAGAATTTTCCACGGCAACGTCCTTTTTTGTTATCCTGTTTTTTGCAGGTCTCATTGCACAATTGTGTTTTCGGGCATCCACACGGAAGCAGCGGTCGCGGGATGATCGGTCGCGTCCCATTTCCTCTTCCTGCTTGACCTTTAGGAAAGTAGGACATTCAATAATCATCAACATTTCTCAAACCCTGTATGCTTTTGCTGTATAAACAGAACTGTTCAATATAATTTTGAGTGGTAGAGGAGCGTGACTGAGGAGCGCCGTGTGATTCGTATCCGTACTTTAGTGTCTTTATGTAGACTTACTTGCAACGTGGTCTAACAAGAGGCTCAAACCCAAAACACCCAGTAGTACTAATTTCACCATTTTTGATCCGACAAGACTCCAGAACATATGCAGAATATGTAATGCAGGATAAGATGACCTTTTCAAATAGTAAGCTGGTATCCAGATGTGGTTACTTTCAAAAATATCGCCACTATATCTTCCGTCAAATATATCGCCATATATTTCGCCACATATTTATCTTCCGCATTCTGTCGCATCACGTTAGTGCTGCATGACCAAACAGATAACGTGATAGTAACAATCGTAAACTACGACGTAAAGTGAACATAAAATCTGTGGTGTAAATACCTCGTATATAGTATAAGTACTCGCATTGTCAGAATCCCAGAAACTGGCGTTGTAGAAACGTCGTGAGATCTTACTGTAGTATTATGCATTTTGGCTACGTGATTTTCCTAGTGTACTATACATAAACCGTACAGTATGCGGTGCACCACCGGCTAAAGCAGCATTAAATTCTGATATGCTTAATGCTGGTAATGAAATGCGGAATTGACATTTGTTGCACGCTGGCGTCGACGATTATTCAGTTCCACATTTATTTGTTTATTTGTTCGGCTGCAGCGGTAAACACATTTCGTATCAAAATATATAACCACAACGATCCATAAACTTGAATATAGCTAACAAAGAGAATGAGAATGGGTATCTTAAAATCTGCGCGGCTGTTTCGCTATGCAGCCCGGAAGTTGTCCCTTCGAGATATATTACCGTTATTGATTGTTTACCGTTTGCCACGTTATGCTAGGCTACAAAATATGGGACTTCGATAAGCAAAGTTGAGTAAAGCGTAGAGACCATACTGGGAATTAAAAAAAAATTAGTTTTATTAATTAGTAAGTTGTAACAGATTTATCTGTGCTCAGTAACAACGTAAAATGGTTGCTAACAATTACGCAAACAACTTATATTTTCCCACAACAAACCCAACATAATAAACGGGACCCTCAAAAGATTACCAATACTGCATGCACCAACCAGCAACAATAATTCCACTGCCATATAATTAATTTTTGTTTTTATAAATCATAGTATTTTCACTAGTTCGCTAATTGTGGCCACTGCAGATGTTGGTCGCATCAGCATTCAGCATGTATCAGCATACATTGTACCGTAGCCGGCCTCGTTCACCGTAGCATCCACAGGATAATTTAACATATCGATGACATTTACCACCGCGCGCGTATCCTTTCTCCAAGCAGCGGCGCTCGCAGAGATATTCAATCCAGGGACATCCGCACGTGCCATCGGACTGCGAATTGGATCGCTCGTTACCGGTGGCGGTGAGGGGCGTTCGTTGGCTGCCTGCAATTATTGAAATTAGCTGAAGGCTTCTACGCTTAACCCGGAAAAACATCATGTTAATTCTTTGCATTAACTGCATCGTGCGTATTTATTTTAAGAAATATACATGTTTAAAACGGCAACTACTGCATAGATGATTATTAAAACTGACTATGTAAAGGATGGATTCTGTCCAATAAAAAAATTCAGGCAACAAATACGTAAAACCTTTAAATGCGTCAACAGTTATATTTACAACTTTAACCGCAGGGTAACTAAATTAAAATGAGTTACATAACTTAAATGTAAATAAAGTGAACCAGGTATAGGAACGAGAATTGCTTACCAGTTATCTGCTCGATTGCCAAAAGTGTAAAGTAAACGGATAATAAGGAATTCCTCATTGTACAGCGTCTGTACTGATCTGGTTCCCTGAGTGAAACAAATGCCGGCGGAGAAAAGTTCCAGTTACTGCATCATTGATAGCTGTGGTTTCTACCCGTAAACATTCCCTAAGAGCGATGTCGATCGTGTTGACGGCCGTGCATTGCATGGAGTAAGAAGAGCAGATCGACATCCGTGCCAACGCTCGCGAAGGAATGTGTGATTACATGATGGACGGAGTTAATTAGCGGTAGTAAGCATGTTATTGATGAATATCCTTTAAGTGATACATTCTTCGCAGCCGGTTTACGTACTTAATCTGGTGTTCAGCTAAGTACTTTAGCCTTTACATGCTTTAGATGCTAGTAATCTGTTCTTCTCTCCGGTGCTTGGATAATGTGCTTTACGTGTTAGTGTTTTTCCCAGTTCGCCATTATGAGAAACGCATAAAACCAATAACGTACGCCTAGAAGAGAAGGTTAGCTAAAAAGCACACATGTAATCCAATTTCTTATCCACTGGAAGAAAATAGACATCTGTAAAGATGTACGAATGGAAGATTGTTACTTTATGGGAATATTATCAAACAGCACCGAGTTTTCCTTGGTTAACGTGATAATCCATTCAAAAAGCTTTATCAAAACCACGCCTTGAATAATTGAATTCTTGCGCTAGCATCAGTTGAATCGCTATACAGACATCGGTTTTGAGAAGATATAAATAATTATTTATGCCATGATTGCCATCGATTCTCTTATTTTATCCAGCAGTATATCAGTTCACAACAACGAGTTTTTGTGGTGGATTTATAGGGTTTTACCACGAAGAAATTGTTAACAATTCCGAACACATTCACGAGAAAAAGTCCGCATTACTTTCTTATGTTCCGACTGTGTACTATAAGATACCGGTAGTTAATGGAAAAGCGACACGATATACCGCAGGTTATGCTCGAAACAACAACGGTACCGTTGACGCACCGGTGCGTCACCATAACCCTGATACACCGTAATGTACCGCAGCCGGATTGCAGTACATACATACAGTACAATCACGTTAACGGATTTAATGGACAAACCACCATTGAATTGTTATTTAGCAATGAAGTCAGAACTAAGCAGACCATAAGTTACGTGCCACTTACAAGTACAATAATCACGGCATTTACCTATGCTAAAATCGCCTGCGCTTTGCGTATATATAAAGCGCTCGTGTTTGTATAACGGCGCTTCACAAACCGTTTACCTCAATTAAATGTTCTGTGTATAACAGATTTCTTTGCCTCTTTATTACTTAACTTAAAAGAAAGGAACCATGCAAATAGTGAAGCTCTTTTGGATGGTGCTGTTGATTGCAGTGCTCGCTACGGTACGCCATCGTAAAGCTTATGTAGCTTGTCGAACAGCTGATTGACAAATCGGTTCTGGTACATTAATGCTGATTTACTCTATTTAATTACACTTTCCATTGTAGTTCAGCGTAATGCCCGGCGTCGACGGAAAGCGCCGCTGTCCCGCGCCGGTCGGCTGTGTACCGGAACTGGAAGACGGAGACTCCGTTGCCGATCCGGATGGAATAACCGAATAACCTGACAAAGAAATGCCACTTGCTTCTATTTTATTTCTCAGTGCAATATGTGATCAATGTATCCAAGGTGTGTTACTGGATTTGTTAGCGCAGAAAGCAGTTCAAGCGCGGAATGGATGCGCTGCACAGGAATACTGCGGTATCCCGCGATTTAGTGTGCATTTGTAGTAGGGGTGCATTTTCTATGTTGTACGGCTCACAAACAGCCCATTCAGAGCAGTTTATGTCCTGAATAAAAAATTGAAAATGCTCCTTGCTCATTACTGACTGTAAATAAAAATTCAATCGAAAATTAAACACAATTTATTCACTAGAGCCTCGTTAATGCACTAAATGTTTGCACCAACAATTTAAACCATACCACGTTTTTTGTGTCATACAGAGGAACAATCATAATAACAATTTGTGGGTTATAATTTAATTAACTGTTGTCGTGACCGGACACCGGTATCTGGTCGCGTACTTGTCTTGCACTCTTAAAACTCAATTTTATAATTATGGTGGCAAAGCATTTCAACAGCGAAGCTTATGAATTTTACATCCAAATCGGTCTCATGTTATATTTTCTTCAAATGCTTGATTACATAAATATTATCGAAGTTTTGCGGAAGTTGTTTGTTGTTATTGTTTTCGTTCTACATACATTTTGAGAACCGTTGTATGTCTTCACAATTGCTGGAGGGAACGAACTTGATCTTTTTAATGACAGAAACAGCAGTAAACACTTTTACGTACCAACTACCAAGTATCGGCTGTTGACACGTTATACGGTACACATTACATACTAGGGTAGTCATTGATGAAAAGCAAAAAATAGTACAAACAGAGCTAAATATAACCGCAAAGGGCTTTTGCACAACTGCTGCATGTTAACTGGAATACCTCACTAATCATAATGTTTTTATTTTTAATGACATCAGATGCAAAACAACGGCACATGGTTGTTCACTGCGACAAAAATTCTGTTCTTTACAAAGTATATAAAGATCGTTGGCGCGCATACTTATGAAAATTTAAATTTTATTCTAAAGGACTACTGGGTTTGAATTTATTTAAACGGTGTTTTGAATTATTTAAACGTTCTGTGTACACAATGCAGGTGCTTAAATCACTTTGGATACTGCTGTTGGTAGCACTTGTTGCTGCGGTAAGTGTATCTCATACGGCAATTATGACCAAATTTAATATTTAATTAGGAAGTTTGGAGTATAATTTTCCATACTTTCAGCTATTTACTGCAGATTTAGTCATCTTAAGTACATGTATTCGTAGTTTATAAGAAGAGCTCTCTTGTAGCAACTGATTAGACTAACAAAAAATATTTTCAGCTTGGTGCAATATCCGGCGTTGAAGGAGGCGTGGCTCCGAAAAATTGTGGAATAGTCCATTGTAAGAGTCCATCCGAACTCGTTGCGGACGGCACCGTTGAACAACAAAACAAATAGTGTGCGCAGTATTATTTATTTGGAGTCTGAAGATTCCTCCGCTGTGTGTTTTTTTCTCTCGTATCTCAGCTGGTTGCTGGTCGCAATCGGCCATTGCGAACAGAACTAAAACACAAAGATAAAATTATGATGTCGTCAAACGGATATCAAGGTTAAGAATCAAATGCTCTAACGAATTTGTGTTCTTCGAATTTAGATGATTGTATATTTGCCCTGCATCGTACTGCGAGAAACTGGTCCATCAAACAAACAGGATTAAGATTTTTATTTAGTGTAAACCGCTACCTGACATCAGCTGTTGAAATTAATAGGCAGAAAAATATCTGTATACTTTGATTCCGGCATCTAAACACCGCCAAAAATGAAACAAAGATTAAGAAGCGCTGCAAAGTTATTTACTTACTGGTCGACATAATATTTTATCGACATGTATGGACACACGCGCATATGGTAACACTACTAATCGCTCTCGGATGTTACTTTCAGTGGCATTAACATATAATTGACACCCAGAATGCGAATGGTGGGATAATCGGGTCAGGAGCAGTAAATCGTGCCGCTAAAATATTCAGGTGTTCGGATATAACACGTGACGTACCACGACGTGTTGGTTGTGCGCTTATCCCCATCCTGCATGACAACTGTAATAGCTAATACATATGTAATAATATACGCAGTAAACACTTATAACGAGCTGCCTTTTTATGTTTCTTTAGTTAGTAAGTACGTATGTGATCACATACATAGTATGCCGGCATTTTTTTTGGTTGGTTATTGACTTATTCCTGGAGGACAAATCGCTGATTTAGATAAGCATATTTCGCGAGATGGAGAATCAAAAGAAATACTTAATGTTGTTGTGCGTGGAATTAATTTTGCCACGAAAGCAAATACGCTGGTGATGTATCTAGCGGTGATTCTTGACTCTTGAGAAAACTGTAAACAGGCACTTGACGACACACATACTGATAAGGCTTCCGTATTTGCGAAATAACTGTTCTAATAGTAACACATTTCGCGACGTGACTGATAACACTGAGCAGCTAACAAAGACTCTATCAGAGGGAACACATAAAAGTGTCTTGTGGATGAGCTTGAATATCCGTTTGGGGAGCCGCAGCAGTGAGTATTGAGGATGTGCTTGAACAGGTTCTAAACATGACTTCCGCCTTTTGCTTCTATGCCGAGTAGACAACAATTTACCAAAGATTCATCGTGCATATATAAAAAGCGGACGAAGCCGCGGATTAAAACAATCAGTGAGCAAAAATTAACTCAATTTGAAGGGATCATTTACTTACTGTACCAAGTCTATCTTTATTCATTTGTTTGGTAATCACCTTTTTGCCTTGGAGTTTCATTCTTGCATAAGTTTTACTCATCATCGACAATGAACAGCTTTATGTTAACTTTTCTTGCCTGTGCGATTACGGCTTCCAGTGCCTCCTCTGTCTTGCAGAGTACGGATGCGGATTCAAAAGATTTATATCTCTAAAAGATTTCTATTAAATATTTTTTAATTTAAACTAAAAAAATAATTTAAATTCGAAATCTTTAATTCTACAGTGTTGACGGTTTACAGATACTCAGCCATACATCAAGAGAGCCGTTGCGCAGGTGCAACAGGCCTCGCAGGAAACCGTCCCCACCAGCGTGCTTCGGCAAGCCAATCAAACCCTGTCAGCTTTCGACGACCTGACCCATTCCACAGAGATCGTCGCGCGGGAAATTGTATCGGATCTGCGTGCAGCTAAAGGTCAGCTGCAGTTGAACGGCTTTGACAATGCCGGCGGTGCAGAGACCATTGCCAAAGAGTTGATTACGAAGATTACCGAACAAGGTTAACCATTTCACTTGAAAATCGATCTGCCTTCTTTTGACTTTTAATCAAGTTTGTTACTGGTTACAGGCACTAAAGGGTTTTTTGGAAGAATTTGGCGGTGGTTCAAAAAAGCTGTTCGAATTGCCCATCGTGTGGTGCGTTTCGAGACCCATAGTATGCAGTTTGTTATGGTACTAACTATGCTTTTTCGTAGATCGCTATCGTAGATGGCTTTGTCAATGGTAATGGTAAGGCTGACGATGCTACCGCCGATGACAATGGATTGATCAAGAGCGTCAGCGAGGTCGTCGACTACTTTAAACCGCATGCTGCTAAGGAAATCGGGGCGGCGTATCAGTTTGCTGCAGACTCCATTCTCACCATTAGCACACAGCATCATAACGAAGTCGTCCGAGCCGCCCAAGATTTCCTTGGATTTCTGGTTAAATATGAAGGCACTTTGGGCAAGGTCTACGCGGAAACCGTACAGGCCGTCGAATCATTAATCAAAGAATGAAAAACTACGGTCTCAAATGTATCTGCTGTTGTACAGCGGACAGATGATGTCCCTTCATTAAAGCGGCGATTGTCGCCAACGTGTTTGACCTTGTACATATATATTTTGAAGCGGAAATAGGCTTTTGACTTCCTAGATTGTTCAGCTTTTCTTAGTCTAGCTGACTTTGGTTTGACTATTCTTCTTACATAAAATACGACGTCAAATAAACTATGTCCGATGTTCGACCGATGTCCGACCTAGACGTCAAATAAACTATGTCCGATGTTCTCGGGATTCAGCTGTCGTGGTGACTTTAGATTTTTTTACAAACCTTCGCAGAAACAACTTCTTGCGAAGCGTTGTAGTACCTCTAAACAAGTCAAAATGCTTTAGTAGCGATGTTTTCTGACATATAAGAGTATATTTTCACAACAACAACATCCAACGTTCGAAAATGCAGAGCAACTTCACAGCGGTGCTATTCTTTTCTGTTCACAGTGGTCCCTGGTCATTTGAAGGATCTCTGGCGATTTCCTCGTGAACGTGACACAACCGCCTGTTTTCCGGGTTACAAATCCTACATACAGAAGGTCCAACCAGCTGCAAAATAAAAATACTTAGTGCTATTTTTTCAATCTAATTTTTTGTCAACCTCAGAATAATTAATGTCAAAAACTTCTACCATTTGATGAAAGTATTAAGTATCTTTAGGCTGTAAGATTGATATGGATTCGCGTTGTTACCATCAAACTTTGCAACATCACCACTAGCTATAGGTCAACCACTCTAAGCTCTGGGTTGTCCAGGTATAAACGAATAGCGGAAATGATATACTGTATGGTGGTAATTGAGCAATAAATGTTAATTTTTATCTTACCAAACTCGCGACCACCAAGACCAACATCATCCAGACGGATCGTAAAACATTCATGTTTGCTAGAGCAAGATACGCAGCTGGGCTCGGTAAAACTTCAGTAAATCATCAAACATAGATTTAATTGACTTTGGTGATATGCGCCATACGAACAGCACCGTATTCTTCTTTTATATCATGAAAGTAGAACAAAAATTGTACGAGTATGCGCAGCGCAAAATATAAGCTACAATAATATTTGTGTACGTATTGTACTGGTGTTTACGGCATCAGTGGTACTGTATATTTCAAGGAATTTCATTTTCGACATCACCACCAAGCCGCTGCTTGTAGGAATTTCCACAAAAATCATTCACAGAAGCATTTAATTACAAAACAAGATTTTTGCCGCGTTAAACTGAATTTTTCGCAATCATTGACAACAAATCTTCGAAGCAGTTCCTGCTTTGGCGTTTGAAGGGGAAGTGATTTAAAGGAAATGAAAACTATTTAGACGGGATTTTGACTATAGTATACTCGTATAATATTGGTTTTGGTCGGTATTATCGCCAATTTCGTCTTTTTGCATGTCGCTAATTAGATCTGGTATCTTTTTAACGAAGTTGCGATACGACACATACGAGCTATCACAATTCAGTTTCCGAACCAACTCGAAATCTTCGGCGCTGAATATCGCCGGTTTCAAGATGCAAATTCAAGCACCTCTGGGAGTGTTTTGGACCGGAAATGTATGAACCTTTAAAGTATGCTCCATATTTAACAACATCAGCATCCCGAAACCATGTCTGGGTCATCGTGCTCAATGGAAAACCTCATCCGGCTGGCAGAAATCATGAGAGTGATTATCAATCATCAGTACCAACTGTGTGGCTACTGTAACTTTTCGTTAATAAAATGCACAGTCTGTCCGATCCATTCAGACATCATGGACCTTATCCGTAACGAAATCATCGAACTGGACGTTTTAAGATGCAGCACCAAGCAAGCAACCGCAAGGATTTAGGAAACAGGGATGGATCCAAATTTCAGGATCCAGTCGGATCTGCGTTTGAAAATTCAGAAAATGCACTTTTCCCGAATGCCACAAATACGCAGTATCGGACTAGCGTATTGCACCACCGCTACGTTTGAGCCGTACACGTTTACTGATTTACCTTATATATTTGCAAAATGTATTGCTTGAAGACAGCGTGGGCTGTCATCTGTACCTGCACGATGTATTTTACGTATACCATCGTCCTCAGGTAAATTTAGGTACTTGAAAATGTTCGTCGGCTTAATTAATAAACACTTAGGGTACTTCCAGTGTCGGGACTCGACTTTTGACTTGTCAAAACCCATATCAAAATCAGTTGGTCGCAGTCCGACGAAATCCAAAACGAATAATAATCTGGCCATATTTTGCAGAATTGTTGGTACTGCTTGAGACTAACGCGTAGCAAACTGTCAACTGGGTATTGTCACAACTCACAATCATAAACTGTACAATAAAGGAGATCGCTTTTGCGTTTGGACAATTTACGAACGTCTGCAGGGCTACTACGTAATTAACGAGAGCAAAAGTACTTGTTGAGTTGAAAGATTCATTACAAGTTATAACCACTCTAGCACAGGTCAAAATGCAAGTAAATGGCGTACGCCGTACACACGGCGCAAATGTGCTGTTCATCCCGTATTTACAGACTTTCCGGTTTTTTCTGGTTCCGTACTTTATTGGCTCCGTCCCTGTCATAGACGATATGTCATAATTTTAAGTGTGTGAGGCCATTCAATTGAGATTATTAGGGATCCCCGTGTTTTACATGTTGTCAGGGATGCCAATACGCAATGCCCCTCATCTGCATTATGCGGGCCCTTATACCCTCGTATTTATTCTTTTTGCACAAAGCACATGATCGAATTATTGGCCTCCTGCAGATACACCTTATAAGGCCTATAATACATATGTACCAGTGACCACCTGTTTCGTTAAAGCGGGTACCATGAAATGAACGTCCTTCAGTTATCACGTTCTACGGACGGGAAACGCGTGATGTGACCATTCAGTTTCCGGTGATGGAGCGACAGTTGCCCGGCACAATGGGCAAACTGTGGAAGGGTACAGGCCAGAGAACGCAATATTCACCATAGCTCCCACCCAACGTGCCTGGCTGGAGGTTGTAGAAAATGAAATCTTGTTGAGATGCCCAAAAAGCAACGGATGCAGACCAGTGAGCAAGCAGACCCCTGCAGAAGGGGCTACGCGACAGGTTGTCGCCTGACATTTGGTTTTACGGACTCTTCTGTCACGGCAGAAGGGCGATATTGTCGTGCGCGTGGACCGGCGTGCGCTTCGATCTGTGCTGGCCGAACAGCCAAACCGGCTCATTGTCGGATGGAGTGCCTAATATACCATTGTATGTGAATGCCTGAATCCTAGTCATATTAAATCGCCAAAACATTTTTGTGAACCGAAAAACTGTTCAATGGATCTTTGTCACCCCTCTGAGAAAGAAAAGAAGTATGTATACCTATAGCCCGTGGAAATGCAGGGTGCGAGAATTACCTAATAGAAAAGGGGTGACTATAGATTCGCCCTAATTTTAACTTGTTACTGTTTGGTATGAGCTTGCTCTCAAACTGCTGGCGACCTTATCGAAGTTGTGAATGGAAAAATAGCAGAGACAGTTCGAAGGAAAGCCGTATGAAAGCCAACCGCCGAAGGAAATTTTCGACGCAAACCAAAGTTATTTTTATCGTTTGTTGTGTAGTGCACATTCTTAATAACAATCAACATTGGTAGATCAGTCCGAGCCGCATAGTGCCCACTACGGTTGAACGTTATTTGTTAATTCGTTCTCACACCGCGTAATTGACAGTCCAGTGATCTGCTTGCGAAGCGGTTTAACAACATCCGAGTGCAGGTGATCGTCAGGGCCAGGTTCGGACTCCAACTGGACGAGCACAGTACGATTAGGACTGATTTCGCTGACATTCCTGTAGATTTCTTGGAGGATTTCGCACTGTTCCCAGTGGCAGTCGATGTAAATGAAAGTTCTCTTTATATCACGAAACCAATATGGGCTGGAGCAGTCAAGACTTTGAACGGCGTGTATGTGTTTTTACTGCCGTTTTTTCTCGACATTGTTGCGTAACGCGAACATTCTTCCATGGTGACGGTGTCGGTGCGCAAGGGAAAGCTGACAGTGGTAAGGACATGATCCTGTACTGCGTACGATTCTGGTGGGGAGTGGCAGTCCGTTTCCAGGTTAGTGTTCAAACCTGTATTAACTGTTAACGGCTATCTGGAAGATGGCGACCGTAAAGTGATATCATACTTATTGCTTTCCCAATACTTCTAATATATTGTATGCATATTGTATTCTTATTATACTCATGTTCTATTCATATTCATATATTGTATTATTTTGTTCACAATTCTTATTTCCGCCTGTCAAGGTCATTTACTTACCAAAAGTAAGCCTTAAAATGCCGGTCACTGAAATGCATAACCAGGTTATATGCCTCATCATGAATAAAAATATTTGTATGAGGTACAATGTGCGGAACAAGAAGACGCGCAAACATATTAAAGCTGGAGCGACCCGACTTGTGCATCAAATTTAAGCCTGGGCTACAAAAATTATTATGCGAAACCTGACACTTACGCATATATACTCGTACGAGACTTGTCATGCACATTCTCAGATTCACATTGCAACTTCCAAAAGTACCACCAGAAGCACGGCGCTGATGATCAGCAGCCGTCAGCTGGATGACCTCGTAGACTGTGGCCGAGATACGATCAAATTTAAGCAAATTTCTACAGCCTGGAACTGAATGCAAGCATTCATAAGCATTTTGCAGAATTCTAAGCAGCAGCTTTTCCGGGCTAGCGTATATCTGTAGCTTAACAAGTTGTAGTATCTCATGATACTTTCACGCTGTTGCAGTAGTTTAGAAAGCTCGCTTACACAGTCCGGAATAAAAATCCTAAACACCGAGATAAATTCTAGACCCCGACTTTCAAGTAGATCATCATCATTTTTGGCCAGCTGCTTAATCGAAGCATCAATGAGAAAATGCTTGTGCCGAAATACAATCGTAATACTGAAGGAAAACCGAATCGTCGATAGTAAGGAATTCACCAGCGAAGTTCACGATGCTTTCTGAGTGATCCGGCTGATTCCGGCAGCACTTAACCAAATGTCGGTGCCTTGCTTAAATACGTTTTATGTACAGAGTACATGTTGTATGTGCTGGAACGAAGGTACGCTACGCCGCTAAGCGCCGTAATAAAACATGTTTTATGTTTAGGACCTTAGGTAATATGTTTTCCGAGTGACGGCAAAGTAAATGGCTCTACAACTACAGTAGTGGTTGTACCGTTGCAGTGTTGTTTCACAGAATGCGGCGAATGGGGTCTGCTGTCA